CGACATATCTGTTATTAAAATTGACTTAACACTGCAAAGCTTGCAATGATTAGAAAATATTTAAATATTACAAGTTAATGAAAATTAATATTTAAGTCTTTAACACTCGTTTCATTTATGACTAAGTTAATGTGTAAATATTAAATATTTACTAAGAAAAGTCTAGTTATCCTTGACATTTAATAATTAAAAAATTATGAGAGTAAATTTATAAGTCATTTCTTTCAGCGTACATTATACAGTTCCTTGATCGACTTCCTTCCTTTTTGCATAGGTGAGGAGTGGGTGTTTGAATGGACACTTAAACCATATCCTTTGAGTTTTCCATTGGGATGGGCTAATGCCTTGAGAACATCCTGTAACATCCTAGTCAGCTTACTCGTCTGATGTCCTAGCATCCTAAAAGCCTGTTCATCCCGTTTGTCCATTCATCTCATTGCTCCACTAACTGTAAACTGAGATTTGTTGACCTGCTGTTACGTATTCTACTTGATGTAATACAGAAAACAAAGGACTGGAACTTCCAGTGTTTTAATCAGACACAGCACCATGTTTTAATGAAGTTTGGATATTTAACATCTTGTATTAATTAGACTAGTAGATCAGAACGCAGAATAGACTTGGCATCGATGTATTAATCTATTTTCCCAATGCTTCATTTCTACTCTTGAATACTAGAAGATTTACCTTGCATTTCTGAGACTACTTAGACAATCCAGCTCTGCAATCCAGAGTTTCCCCTCACAGCCCTGCAGTGAAACAGCTGCACAATCTCCACAGCAGTCAGACAGCTGGACAGCATAAAAATAGACCAGCAAAACAAAATATGTTAGCTTCAGTCCATTGCTTTCAACCATCCTATTACATTGAATGAAAATTTGTCAGGCAATGGCATTGTACCATCTACAATACAGAGAAAATATGGTTTTGCAGAGTATTACCTTTATGCTCGGCTCACTAATCCCGAAAGAACTGGAAAGATGTTTTTAAAAAAAAACACAAAATACATGAATCCAATCAGTTAAATTCATCCAACCAACCAACTAATCAAATCCATCCATCTATCATTCATTCCATCCATCCATCAATCCACCAAAGCAGGAATCAATCCATCCATCTAAATCAATCCATCCAACCAAATCAAATCCATCAATCAATCAACCAACCCATCCCTCCATCCATCCATCCATCAATTAACCAACTAATCAAATCAATACATCCATCCACCCAACCAAATCAAACAAGTCAATCCAACCATCCAACAAACAACCATCCAACCAAATCCATCTATATATCCATCCATCCAACCAACCAAATCAAATTCATCCATCCATCCATCCATCCATCCATCCAACCAACCAACCAACCAACCAAATCAAATCAAATCAAATCAAATCAAATCAAATCAAATCAAATCCATCCAACCAACCAACCAACCAACCAACCAACCAACTCAAATCAAATCAAATCCATCCATCCAACCAACCAAATCAAATCAAATCAAATCCATCCATCCAACCAACCAAATCAAATCAAATCAAATCAAATCAAATCCATCCATCCATCCATCCATCCATCCATTCATCCAACCAACCAACCAACCAACCAACCAAATCAAATCAAATCAAATCCATCCATCCATCCATCCATCCATCCATCCATCCATCCATCCATCCATCCATCCATCCATCCATCCATCCATCCATCCATCCATCCATCCAACCAACCAACCAACCAACCAAATCAAATCAAATCAAATCCATCCATCCATCCATCCATCCATCCATCCAACCAAATTAATTCATCCATTCATCATTTAACCTACCAACCAACCAAATCCACCCAAATCAATTCATCCATCCACTAACCAAATCAATCTATCCATACACAAACCAACTAACCAACCAACCAAATTATCTATCTATCTATCTATCTATCTATCTATCTATCTATCTATCTATCTATCTATCTATCTATCTATCTATCTATCTATCTATCTATCTATCTATCTATCTATCTATCTATCCATCCATCCATCCATCCATCCATCCATCCATCCATCCATCCATCCATCCATCCATCCATATCAATCAATCCATCCATCTATCCATCCAACTCATCCATCCAACTAAATGAACCAAAGCAATCAATCAATCTATCAAACAAACAAACAACCAACCAAATCCACCTATCAATTCAAATAAATCCATCCATCCATCCATCCCTCTTTCCATCCAACCAACTCAATTAAATCAATCCGTTCATATGTCCATCCATCAACCAACCAAGTGAAATCCATCCATTTCAATGAATCAATCAATTCATCCATACAATCAAATCAAATCCATCCATCCATGTCATCAATCAATCCATCCATAAATAATCAAACGAATTAATTAATAAAGCAATCAATCAAATCAACTAACCAACCAACCTACCCATTCATCCAAATCAATCAAATCTACTTATCCAACTAAAATCTATCCATCCATCAATCAACCAATCAAATCTATCCATCCATCCATTCATCCAACCAAATCAGTCCATCCATCCATTCATTCACCCATCCAATCCAATCAATCAATACATCAATCCATCCATCAATTCAACAAAATCAATCAAATCTATCCATCCATCCATTCATCCAACCAAATCAGTTCATCCATCCAATTATTTATTCACCCATCCAATCAAATCAATCAATCCATCAATTCAACAAAATCAATTAAATCAATCCATCCATCCACCAACCAACCAACCAACCGGATCAATCTATCCATCCATCCAACCAACCAAATCCTTCAATCTATATCAATCAATCAATCAATCTATCTATCTATCTATCTATCTATCTATCTATCTATCTATCTATCTATCTATCTATCTATCTATCTATCTATCTATCTATCTATCTATCTATCTATCTATCTATCTATCTATCTATCTATCTATCTATCTATCTATCTATCTCCATCAATTAACCAAAAAATTAAATTAATCAATCCATCAATCTATCCAAATCAATCCATCCATCCATCCTTCGAATCAAATCAATCAGCCAAAAATTAAATCAATCAATCCATGCATCCATCGAACCAAATCAATCAAATAAATCCATCCATCCATCCATTCATCCATCCATCCAACAATCAATCATAAATGAAGAGGACTCGACCATGAAGATGTGAGCTTCTTGTTTATTGTTATCAAGGAGTTGAAATGTTGGGTTAATTGCATTGATAGCCAAACGACAACATGATCAACCCTATTTATTAGCTTCGGTAAGGCTCACCGTCTGGCACGAGAAGAGATGCTGCTGGGTTAAACATACAGTATATCTTAATGGCAATTACATATGTTTAGTAAGTACATTCTCCTCTACAAGATATTCATGTACAATATACAAGTTTTTAAAAAATATAGTTTGCATTGAGTTCTACAACCGTTTCGCTCTCTTCACGATGACAAAACAAAAATTCACATTAGTTGCTTTGGACTGTAATGCTTTCTGGGTAGCGAAGAGGACTTTGTTTCGAATAAAAGAAAAGGAAAATATTGGTCACTGACACAGAGTCAAAGTTAGAAAAGAAAAACGAATGCGAAAAAAAGACATCAAAAAGCAAACGAACAGCAGTTTTTTTTTTCCAAAGAACAAACACATACACACATCAGGACGATAGAGAGACTACAGTATGCCGGTAAGCCAACTCGAAGAGCACCGACTTGAGTTTTAAATGCATATGGAATCATGTTCAAAAGTCAAGGTAAGATAATAGCAATTAAACAGAAAACACAAGACACCGACGGCTGTGAACGAAGTCAAAATATCTGATTCTGAAGGGAATTTCTCAAAGCACTTGTGAAAATGTTAAATAAACAAATGACAAAACACTGCTGACCTCGGACATAAGCAACGCTAGTTGAATTGATGAATTTGGTTTAGTGAAACAAGCAAAGATTAAAGTGTTAGCTGTTAGTGTTAACTATTGAAGCCAAAAAAAAGACGGCATTGCAAGAAAATGGCGGCTTGTGACCTGGTAAAAACAATCCAAAAGTCAAGTTTGTCCATCATAAAGGGCCTAAGTAACACCCAAATTACTTCCACTGCTCTGCAAGCTAGAAATGTGCAGTCACTCTTAAAACAGTGATTTAGAAATTAAGTTCGTACGGTGCTTTGACGTAAATAACACACTATTTTCTTTAAAAAGACAGCGAAATATCATTAAAAAATAATAAGAAACAGGATTCGCAGCCAAGCGAAAGCAGCTGCTGGGTGGCCTGATGCAGCAGAACAATAATTCAGTAACACAAACAAGCCAGTGACACGGACATTTCGTCCCACGGAAAAAGTCCTCGGGGTGTCGATCTCATAGGGGACAAAAAAGGCAAACCGACCCGTCTGGACTGAAGTTCTCCTGCTGCTCGAAGCAAAGTCTTAAGGACGCTGGGTTTTAAACAGAAGGCAGAGGATGTGTAAATGGACGAGAATGATTGGGATCCTCCAATGTGAATTATTTAGCACTAGCACAAAGATGGCCTTTTTACTGCATATAAAATGAATCAACGATGAAGAGCTTCCCTTTCCTTTGCGGTGAACTGCTTCTCCTCTGTTTCTAATTATTTTAGCCAAGGCGTATGTGATGATAGGATCCGTTTTCTGCTAGATTATTACACGTAATGCTTTCCAGAAAGGGTTCTCACTTGGTTCGAAAGAGACAGATAGAAAAAAAAATGACGTAAGAGATGAACAGAAAGCGCAAGCTTTTCCCACACCCGCTAAATGTAGCCTGAATCGCATTTAGAAAACTCCACACCCAAAAAAACATGATTTTGCAGGGGCTGTTTTGGGTTTATTCAGTATAAGGCTTCATGATCGTCACAGTGGTTTCTTAGTGTGGGGTTAAAAGGCTACGTAGCAGGAAGGAGAAATGAAATTCACTCCATCCACATGTCTCTGAGCTTGTGTGGACCGGTCTCTGGATTTTTTTTTTTTTTTTAACTTTTTTTTGTGGCTTTTTTTTTTTCATCTCTCGGTTTAGTCATGATCACTTCTCAGGTGTTCGGGAGCGTCTGGCAACAACAAAAACAGTTCCTGTCAAGAAAAAAAAAAAACTGAGTCATTACTCTTTTCCACTTGGCCACCACAAACATTCAAGGCCTTTCGAAGATCAGAGCTGTCGGTACTGTCGATGATAACATTGGAATTTTATTAGCAAAACAGAAATGGTTTCTAAACTTCTTGGAAAAGAATAATTATAAACAATTAATAATAATAATACACATTTTGCACTTGCTACTAGAGCTGGGCAATACAGATATCATGTTTCATATCATTCAGTATTGAGAGTTATTGAATATTTTTTTAACAATACATTTAGGAATATTAGGATTTTTTTTATTTAACGACTTTATTTTCATTTACCAACATTAGTAAATGTAGTTTTAAACATAGTTTTAATAGTCAAAAACTAAAATATTTAAATATTCTCATCTCTTTATAATAAAATATCCGTGTTGAAGAGACTCTAAAACCTGATAAATAAAATGTTAAGAAGTGTGTGTGTGGCGAGGCAGTGGCGCAGTAGGTAGTGCTGTCGCCTCACAGCAAGAAGGTCGCTCGGTCGCTGGTTTGAACCTTGGCTTCCCCCACAGTCCAAAGACATGTGGTACAGGTGAATTGGGTAGGCTAAATTGTCCGTAGTGTACGAGTGTGTGTGTGTGAATGTGTGTGTGGATGTTTCCCAGAGATGAGTTGCAGCTGGAAGGGCATCTGCTGCATAAAAACTTGCTGGATAAGTTGGCGGTTCATTTCGCTGTGGCGACCCCGGATTAATAAAGGGACTAAGCCGACAAGAAAATGAATGAATGAATGAATGAAGTGTGTGTGATGGTAAAGTGTAAACGCTCAACAATCAAAGCAAACATTAAAAAGTGAATAATAATGATACAGTAACCCTTAAATTCTATGATTATCAAATCTGAGCTTTCAAGTAAAGGAATCAGCCATCATTATTCAAATACATACTGCAAATTGTGAAATTGTGAAGTTAAATGACTACATTATTCCTATGCTAAAAGCTCTTTCAGATGGGGTGCTAGTGGCTGGGATGCACAACAAAAGAAACCAAAAAGCCACTCTGGCGACATCCCTTTTCATTTACAATCCCCTCACTGCTGCTCGTCACAGCACTCATTTTCACATGTGTTATTCTGACCTGAGGTGGCGATTATGAAACCCAAAACTTGCAGGTGAAAAACACATGGATGTGCTTTGTGCTCGTGCTTCCCTGGTGTCTTTCATTACTAGGTGACCATCAAATGTTTTCACAAACAAACAAACCATTGCTGTGGTTTAGATACAAGTGTTTATTTCTGAAGAGAATTAAAAAGCACTGCAGTGTACCGCTATTACTGAAATGTGTATTTCAAACAAAGTGTGAAGCAGATTGTTTAGTTCTAGTTATATGAATAGCGATGTGCATGCGGCATTCTGGAAATTGAGATGTTTTTAACTAGGTTCACCTGGAAAATCCCAGGGCGTCGCTCCTTATTTGCACACTCAATTGGAAATTACCCTAATGCCCGATTCACACGGGGCTTCAGCATCAAAGCGTATTGGCATTCCACCCAACTATATCGATTCATAACGAAACTTCATACCAAACTTTTTTATCTTTTTGACAATGGTATTCGGTTAATACCAAACATTTTATCAGCACAGCCCCTCTAGCTACTGTGTGGAAATGGAGTTAGCGTGTCAAAATAACAGCTAGTGAAGGAGGTGAAGCTGTGAAGACTGAGCGTCATACCTGTGATTTGGACAGTGCTGGGATCAGGGTCTCATCTGTGACTCTTCTGCTGCTGCATGAGACCCACGTTCTCATAGACTCGAGAGCTGTCGTCCCTCATGCTGAAAAAAAACACACATACTCACATCTTAACCAGACGTCATGAGAGTTTCTATTTGCATTGAGCAAGAAATCTCCACTTCAATTACAACAAAATGTATGGCTTTATTACTTTTTATATTATACAACTCGAATTCCAGAAAAGTTGGAATGTTTTTAAGTGCATTATGCGATTTGATTGACGACTACTACTACTAAGACAACAACTACTACTACTACTACTACTACGATGACTAATACTAAGACAACAATGACTACTGCTACTACTATGACTACAACGATTACTACTACCACTATGATGACGCCTATGACTACTACTATTATGACAATAAGAACGACTACTACAACGACAACTACTACTACTATTATGATGACGACTACTACTATGACCACCCCTACTATGATGACAACAACGACTACTACTACTTCGACTACTACTAAGACCACTACTACTACTATTATTATTATGCCGACTACTACCACAACCACTATGACGACAACAATGACCACTACTACGACTATGACTACTACTACTAAGACAACAACTACTACTACTACTACTACGATGACTAATACTAAGACAACAATGACTACTGCTACTACTATGACTACAACGATTACTACTACCACCATGATGACGACTATGACTACTACTATTATGACAATAAGAACGACTACTACAACGACAACTACTACTACTATTATGATGACGACTACTACTATGACCACCCCTACTATGATGACAACAACGACTACTACTACTTCGACTACTACTAAGACCACTACTACTACTATTATTATTATGACGACTACTACCACAACAACTATGACGACAACAATGACCACTACTACGACTATGACGACTACTACTAAGACAACTACTATTACTACGACGACTATTACTACAACGACAACGACGACTACTACTACTACCACTATGATGACGACTATGACTACTACTACTACAATGACTACAACTTCTACTACTATGACGACAACAACGAATACTACAATGACAGTTACTATGACGGTAAGAACGACTACTACAAAGACAACTACTACAACTATTATGATGACGATTACAACTGCGACGACTACTACTATGACGACAACAACGACTACCACTACTACTATGACTACTACTAAGACAACTACTATTACTACAACTACGATGACTATTACTATGACAATGATGACTGCTACTGTGAATATGACGACTAATATTAGTACTACGACGACGACTACTACTACTACTACTACCACTATGATGACGACTATGACTACTACTACTACAATGACTACAACTTCTACTACTATGACGACAACAACGAATACTACAACGACAGTTACTATGACGGTAAGAAAGACTACTACAAAGACAACTACTACAACTATTATGATGACGATTACAACTACGACGACTACTACTATGACGACAACAACGACTACCACTACTACTATGACTACGATGACTACTACTAAGACAACTACTATTACTACAACTACGATGACTATTACTACGACAATGATGACTGCTACTGTGAATATGACGACTACTATTAGTACTACGACGACGACTACTACTACTACTACTACTACCACTATGATGACGACTATGACTACTACTACTACTACAATGACTACAACTTCTACTACTATGACGACAACAACGAATACTACAACGACAGTTACTATGACGGTAAGAACGACTACTACAAAGACAACTACTACTACTATTATGATGACGATTACAACTACGACGACTACTACTATGACGACAACAACGACTACCACTACTACTATGACTACTACAAAGACAACTACTATTACTACGACAATGATGACTACTACTGTGAAAATGACGACTACTATTAGTACTACGACGATGACTACTACTACTACTGCTATAACAACAATGACTACAATTTCTACTACTATGATGACAACAACAACTCACTACAACGTCAGTTACTACTACTACTATGAAGACAATGAAAAATTTTATACAAGAACTCTTGCTTCATTGACCCTTAAGATTCTTTTACACATTTTAATTATCTGATCCTTTAACTCAATATATCAGGGGTACCCAAACTTGGTCCTGGACAGCAGCTGTCCTGGAGGAGTTAGCTTCAACCCTAATTAAACACACCTGAACCAGCTAATCAAGCTTTAACTAGATATACTAGAAACATCTTGGCAGGTGTGTTAAAGCAAGCTTGAGCTAAACTCAGCAGGACACCGGCCCTTCAGGATTTCGGACACTCCTGCAATAGACAAATATACTTTTCTATAAAACAAACTAGCATTCAATTTAGATTTGAAGAGCATGTGTGTTCTCACTCGGCACAGGTTGGTGTTGGTGTGCAGGGCGGCAGAGGGCTCTGATCTCCTCCACTCAGGTCAGAGAGAGAATATTTGATGTTGGTGTACTCTCGTCCTTTAATTTTACTTTTCTGAAAATGAATCAAAACAGTCCATTAAGCCAAATCACATTGCTCAGGTGTGTTTTTTTCACAGACTTCAACAGTGTCAAAATCTTGATGGTTCTGAGGGTCTCGTCTATCAAATCTGATCTTTAATTTGTATTTTCTACTGGGTTTAAGTCAGGTGATTGGCTAGGCCATTCTACAGCTTGATTTTTTTTCTCTGAAAGCATTTGGCTGTGTTTTGGATCATTGTCTTGTTGAAATGTCTTCCCTGGTTTCATCTTCATCCTCCTGCTAATGTAGATGTTGGACTGAAGCAGCTGATATTCATTTACACTGAGGAAGGGCAGAGGGTTGCTAAAGAACTACTGAGATTTCAGCTACTGCCTGGGCTTTTACTGGCTTTCTACACCTCACGTTCTTCATATGTTCAATACTTTTTCCCTGTGTCATTTTATTTTATTACACATAACTTCATTTGTAATCTAAACAGTTACTTTTATAGTTTATTTGGTTGCTATCAACATCTGGTCAAAATTTCAAGTCAACAGCACCTTTAGATGCCTTTAAAAATGTGTTTTCTGAGATAAATGGTTATGTGTTCAATACTTATCTCCCCCACTGTAAGTGTACACACCTGCTCCTCCTCTATGCGGCGCTGCAGAGTCTCAATATAATGCTGTACGGCCATGTAGATGAAGCGATACTGTGCTTCAGTCTGTACCATTCCTGAACGCTGAGATCGCACCATCTGGATAGTCTTGGGCACATCGATATCGCAGTCCACCCCTGAACACAAACTGATGGTTAGACTGACCTTTAAAGTTTGATTTTAGGGTCTTGTAGTTAACTAAGAGAACCAAGTGGTCGACCAACATTCTTTGCTTTGTGTGTGCGTGCGTGAAATGTACATTTTTACTACATATTTGATTTTTCACTTGCTAGCTATTTTTGTTTGATTCATCTCCGGCAGTGCCCACAAACCTGGTCATTTTTTTTCCTTTCTTGTTCATTTGTTCTTTTATTCTTTCTCGATCGTCCTTTCTTTCTTATTGTCTTGTTTGTTCGTTCTCATTCATTCTTTCTTTCTTTTCCTCGTGTACTTTCTTTCTTGTTCGTTCTTTCTCATGTGTTCTTACTTTCTTGTTTGTTCGTACTCTTTAGTTTTGCTTGTTTGTTTTCTCATTCGTTTTATTTTTTTTCTCATTGGTTCTTTCTTGTTCGTTTATTCTAATTCGTTTTTCTTTCTTGTTTGTTCTAATTCGGTCTTTTTATTTTTCGTTCTTTCTCATGTGTTCTTACTATCTTGTTTGTTCATTCTCATTCGTTTTTCTTGTTTGTTCTTTCTCATTGGTTCTTTCTTTTTCTCGTTCATTCTCTCATGTGTTCTTATTCGTTGGTTCATATTTGTTTTTCTTTCTTATTTATTCTAATTCGTTCTTTCTTTCTTGTTTGTTCATTCTCATTTTTTCTTTTTCTTGTTCGTTCTTTCTTATGTTTTCTTTCTTGTTTGTTATTTCTCTTTGTTCTTTATCATTTGTGCTTTCACAAATTTGTTCTTTGTTTCTTATAGTTCTTTCTTATTTGTTCTTTTTAGTTTCTTGATCGTTCTTTCATTCTTGCTTTATTTTTAGTTCTTTCTTTCTCATGTTCATTTCTTTGCACCCTTTGTTCATTCTTTTTCATTCATTCTTACTTTTTCGTATCTTCTTTCTTTCTTGTTTGTTCATTCTTTCCCGTTTGTTCATTCTAGTTCGTTCTTTCACTTTTGTTAGTTCTTTCCTTCACATACTTCTCTTCATTTTTTTTCATTTTCTTATTCACTCTTTGTCTTTCTCATTAGTTTTTTTTTTCTTTCTTCTTCACTTTCTTGCTTTATTTATTTTTAGTTCTTTCTTTCTCATTTATTTGTTTGTTCATTGTTCTGTTCTGTTCGCTCTCTTTCTTTCTCGTTTGTCCAAACTCCAAACGTATGCTTGGAGTTTTCATGAATCAACTTTTACAGTCTAAACAGTCTACTGCATACAACAGTGCTCACCGAAGGTTTGAAAAAAACAAACAACAACAACAAAAAAAAACCTAATAATCCCTAATAACAAAAAAGCAAACACTAATACTATTTGAAAAAAACAATTATTTCCCAGTTTCCCAGCAATTTACAAGTCGACCACTAATTAACAGATGATCAGTCTAGATGTGTAAACCTTACCCTTTTCTCTGATGATGTCTATTAATATATCAATCACGATAAACGTTCCTGTTCGTCCAATTCCAGCACTGTAGGAGAAAACAGAGAAAGAAAGAAAAACAATAAATAAAACAAATTAAAAACTGACATGTCTTACGTAAAGTCTAATGAAAAGTCATAAATATTTTTAATCAGGGCTGGGTAGGCCTGTCACGATATCCATTTTTTGTTGTACGATATATAGCACCAAAATATGCGGTGATAAATGATATTATTGTCATTTTAAGACCCCCATTTTATACCCCTCATCATATAATGCCAGAATGACACTATAATATCATCACAATGCAAGTACACTCCTCCAAACACATATTTTATCATTTTAACAATTTAATAATAAGGCATTAGAATCAGATTATAAAAAATGCATTTCTAAACAAATAAATAATAATAAATGTTAACAAAAAATGCAAGGTAAAAAGTAACAGAGGCTGCCATATCTGCTCCCAGATGTTTGTTCAGTTGTCAGACACCCACATGAAAATATTCTATAGCAATTTACAAATTACAGTAAATACTATCGTGTTTCTTAACCATACTGACACCTCCAATAGAGATAGAGAGGTTGTGCAATCAGCTAAAATGTTGCTAGAATTGGTTTTATGTATGGGCGATATATATTGCATCACCAAAAATGATTGAGGTCATGACAGGCCTAGGGCTGAGCAATATGATATATATATAATATATATATAAATAAAATAATAAATGAACAGTACAATTACACATTTAACATTGTAATTACATTTTTATTATGTTGGACCTGTAACCATTAGCTTTTGAAGTATTTTGTGTAAACACGTTTAGTGAAGTTTTAATAATGTGAGAATTATGATATTATAAATAAGTATATACATTAAAAAGTAGAAAAGACATGGTTCTTTACATGTAATCAATATATATAAATTGTTAATTTACAGACATTGTACCATATCATGATATACAGTGTAGGTCAAAATGATTTGCCCTCCTGTGAATTTTTCTTTTTAAAATATTTCCCAAATAATGTTTAAGAGAGCAAGGAACTTTTCAGTATTTCCTTTTTTTTTTTCCTGGAGAAAGACTTAATTTTGGCTAGAATAAAAGCAGTTTTTAAGTCTCTTAAAACCCTTTAAAGGTCAATATTATCAGCCCCCTTAAGCAATATTTTTTTCGATAGTCTCCAGAACAAACCATCTTTATACAATAACTTGCCAAATTACCCTAATCGCTTGGGTTTGAATGCGGAAAAATGTCTCGTAAAACGCTGATGATAAACGCAAAGGCTCCTACACACTGGGAGGCTTTTCGCTTGCGTTTATCTTCAGCGTTTTACGAGATGTTTTTCCGCATTCAAACCCAAGCGATTTTCACTGGCGTCAAGCAGAAGAGTATGCAAAATTCACTCCTTGACGTTAGATGGCGCTACACAACTTTAAGCTTTCAACACCTGATGACTCGAACAAGCATGGATGGTTCAAGTAGCAGCTCCAGCTCTAGCGATGAAGAAATGATTAGTGTTCACAGAGCAATAAGCAGCTCCACGTTTATATCGCCTCTGGGCATCTTCTTCAATGAGCGCTCGCATTGACAGTATTGTGCTTGAGTGCCTCAAAGTGCTGTTTACTGTAACTTCAGCAGCTTTGTGCACGAGAACAAAAGTGCCAATCTGATTGGTGGAAAAGGTTTTAATGTGGCACGTCAAATCAAAAAAACGAGCATGAGGCGTTTTTTTTTCAATGCTGCTTTTGCGCCTGGCGTTTTGCGCATTGGTGTGCACGATTACATTGACGCCCTTTATTTAGTCACGAGGCGTTAAACGTTGACGGAAAACGTGAGCAAAAAACGTCTCTGTGTGCATGGGCCTTTAACTTGCCTAATTAACCTAGTTAAGCCTTTATATGTCACTTTAAGCTGAATACTAGTATCTTGAAAAAAATCTAGTCAAATATTATTTACTGTCATCATGGCAAAGATAACATAAATCAGTTATTAGAAATGAGTTATTAAAACTATTATGATTAGAAATGTGCTGAAAACATCTTTCTGGTAAACAAAAATTGGGAAAAAATATGTAGAGAGAGACTAATAGTTCTGAATTCAACTGTATATCATGATGAGCAGCCTTGTCTCTTGATATGAGATTGCTGTCATAATGGCCAGCCCTAATTTTAATTGCACGATGTCATGAGCTCAGCTGAGTTTGAAGTCTATTTCTGATGGTTTTGTCATAACCTGCAGTGCACCACGATGGGTCCAGCCCCAGTTATGCCCTCCTGCTTCAATTTGACCTCTTCCAGGAAGTCCAAGACACCACCAGGGTCTCCAGGCACACCGTGATCAGGCCAGGCACGGAAATGGTACTGCCAAACTGTACGCTCTGTATTTCCCTATAATCAATCAGACAGATTGTTGCTTTTGTGTTTTGGGGTAATGCAACAATTTGAGTTGTTGTTGTTGTTTTTTTTGCATTACCTGTCCAACTTTAGACAGCTTCAGCTCTCGCAGGATGTAATCGTGCGCCATTGTTTCCTTAACATTGCGCACACGCATGGCTCCGTACTCCTTCAGTGCAGACACATCAGGCCAATACTTCACACACTTACTCTAAAAAAGAAAAAGGAAAAAACACAAAATGTATCAGAACTGTTCAGAAAGGGAAGCACAAATAACAAAAAAAAAATTAAAAATTAAAACAGTAACTTGGCTTTGTTAGATTATCAAAACACAAAGGATACAAATGATATAATTGAACCTATTTGCTCATCAGAGTGAAAAAATATGCGACAAATATCTTCCAAAATATCTAAAGAGAATTCTTTCTAAATCTTAAATAAACAAAAGAAGCTTTAAAGGTCTTTTTTTTGTAATTTGTTGATCAAATACATTATAAAAGTGCATTAAAAATTCATAAACCAATTATATTTTATCCCACAAATTAAGCTAAAAAAGTTTTCATGGATCTTACGCCTTTGCCAAAGCCAAATTTAAGCTCTTTTAATGTGCGTTTTCAACTATTTCCAGCACATACAAATGCACTCTATGACATCAGAAAGGTCCGACTCTTCCTATCTGAACATGCAGCTCAACTCCTTGTTCAAGCTCTTGTTCTCTCCAGACTGGACTATTGCAACTCTCTACTAGCCGGGCTTCCAGCTAACTCTATCAAGCCTCTTCAGCTGCTTCAGAACGCAGCAGCACGAGTGGTCTTTAATGAACCTAAAAGAGCACATGTCACTCCGCTGCTCATCCGTTTGCACTGGCTGCCAGTTGCTGCTCGCATCAAATTCAAAGCTCTATTGTTTGCTTATAAAGCAACTTCTGGCTGCGCTCCTTCTTATCTGCTCTCACTTTTGCAGATTTATGTGCCCTCCAGAAACTTGCGTTCTGTGAATGAACGTCGCCTCGTGGTTCCATCCCAAAGAGGGAAGAAAACACTTTCCCCAACTCTCGCATTCAATCTGCCCAGTTGGTGGAATGAACTCCCTAACTGCATCAGAACGGCAGAGTCACTCGCTGTCATCAAAAAACGACTAAAAACTCAACTATTTAGTCTCCAATTTCCTTACTAATCTGCAATTGCCTCTCTGGTTCTACCGCTAACTGTATTACAAAAATAAATAAATAAATAAATAAATAAAAAATGACTAATGTTTTACTTCTTACACTTTACATACCTCAAACTTGCCTACAGCACTTATTCATTGTTGCTTTTATAGTTGTGTAAATTGCTTCCTTGTCCTCATTTCTAAGTCGCTTTGGATAAAGGCGTCTGCTAAATGACTAAATGTAAATGTAACGTAAATGTGGCAAATTACATACATCATTACTACACATCAGATGCTATTTTTTACAGTGTTCTATAGAATGGTATAATTACATAAAACTACTGTAATTTACCCAGGTTAAACAAAAAAAGACATATATAAGACATATATAAAGAGATATATAAAAAGATACAGGCATATGTGCATAAATTCCGACTTTATAAAAAAAATTATAATAACTTTAATTAACCCCTTTACTGTCGCACCCACTTTTTGAACATGGACATAAAAATGATATGTTCAGCCTAAATGAAGGATAACTTCAACACTTTGGTGCATACATTTAAGCTTGGTCTCATTTGAAAGAAGACAGATGCCAGATTGAGAAGTGCTCATGTGAAAAAGTTCAAAATGTAAATAAAACAAAAGTTTTGTGCCTTAATATTTATGAAAAAATACTAAAATGGTAATAGTTCAGGTTATTATAATGCATAAAATATGTATTTTATAAATTGTGTTATGGCATAAAATTGTCAGAAAAATCAAAGCTAAATATCTGAACAAATTATACTCCAAATTTGAAGTTGATATCTCAAAAAATGAACTTTAGTATGATTTTGTTTGGCCGCAGTACCAAACATCACCACCAGATGACATGCAGTTATCATTGATAACCATACAATAACCCTAACCATACATATCTTAAGGAATATGAACTGTATTTTTGAACTGTATGAACTTTATATTTGCAAAGAAGACATCAAATTCTAAGTATGATCAGTTTAGTAGTATTTGATTTGAATTTACCCTCTAAAAAACAAAGCAAAAAAATAATTTCCATGTAGATTGCTGTAGCAAAGTAATGCTTTACGACTCTGATGACCTTCCTTGCTGTAAATAAAGAAATAACTGTAGCTCCTGTTTATCTATCAGATATAGAAACTACACATGTTAAGTTTTCAAATGATATATAGTTTGTCATGACTGCTTTATGTTTACACTACAATATTATGGTTTAAAAATGTAACTGTAAATGGTCGCACATGTTGTAGGGTGAGCATAAATGTGTTTTAATCGATTACTCTTCCAACATAACAAAAAACAGTGATAAAATATGTTTTCAGAACTCTAATATCTTCCCAACAATATACAGTTCGGTATGATTAGACTAGAATTTACATGCAAAAAGGGATGTAAACTTAAGCATCCAGGTGGTGAATAGTGACAGTTAAGGGCTTAAACAGTTAACAATTAATACCCATTTAACAAGATAAATAATTAAGCACTTTTCAAAGCTTAAAACACTTGATTAAATTCAAGCATTTTCAAAGTTTTCCAGCACCCGTACAAATCTTTATTATTTCAAAGAACTATTAATCATTCTTAATGAATTTATATGCTATATTTATTTAAGCTATACTGAAATCAGTGTCTTAACATCAGGAAACCCTTTACCTTTCCCCGTTCCACTTCTTTTGTGGTCATGACGATGACTCGAGAGTTTTCCTGAAACACCATCCTCCAGAAATCACTGATGGTGTTCTGCAGGCAGCCTTGTGTGGCAATGTAGCTCCTCTTCAACTTGGAATTGTTGCTTTTAGCCTCATTATCAGGCTGGCAGAGAAAAAGAAAAGGTGTTACGCTAACAAACGTACAGTACTGTGCAAAAGTCTTAGGCCCCCAGTAACATTTGTTGTTTTAGGGAGGGTATAACGACATTATATATTACTGCTCTTTATTAAAATACAACCAGAAAATACAGGTTCCAGTTGGATTTTTTTGGGTCTAATTGTTTAAAATACATGAAAGAAAGAGTTTGAGAAAGATGGAAGAATGAATGAAAAATACTGGAGTTTCTGTCTGCATTTCTGCCAGAGCTATTGTCCATATTGCCTGAATTGATGGGATTGCAAATGCTGAAAAGGCATAGTTCGTCCTGTAATTCCTACTAGAAAGCACCTAAATTGTAATCGTTTTATTTTTCAGCATGATAATGATCCCAAACACACACTGCTAATGTAATGAGATCATATCTGGATAGAAAAACAACTGATGAATCAAAGACAGTCATGAAATGGCCTCCACAGAGTCCAGACCTGAATATTATGTATCGCCAATATTATAGGCAGTATAAGAGTCACCTGGAGAGAAAAAAAATACAGAAAATGCTAAATCTAAGGATTTAATAAGGTTAATAAGGTTTGCCTACCGAAGCTGGAGGTGACCTAAGGGGGTCTATTTTGACGGTCCATGCGCAGAGCGCAAAACGCAGGGCGCAAACGCTTTCAGGGTGTGTCAAAACGCATTTTGGCTAATTTACGGACGGGAAAATCTGCTTTGCGCCACGGCGCATGGGCTAAAAGGGTTGAGTTTATTTTCTTAATGAGTTATAGGTGTGTTTTGAGAATAAACCAATCAGAGTTTCATCTCCCATTCCCTTTAAGAGCCAGCTGTGTCGCGCCAAGAGCGCATTCACTATTTACAGGACGCAAAGTAAGTCTAAGTAGAAAAAAATGAGCATTTCACAAGCAAACAGTTAACAGTGTTTTAACAGAAAACTGTTAAACAGAGCATCTACTGCGTGAGAATGAGAGATAATGGATCACTTTCACTTTCGCTCTTGGATAGGGAAACCTTTACACACAGACATCAGTTAGCCTATAAATAATTAATTTCGTTTGTTAAGCGCAAATATTTGTTTCAAAACTATTTCTAAATTCAGTTCTAATTTCCAGCAAATGAATAAATTAACAATAATGACCAAGTGTGGTCAAAATATTGAGTTATTTCCAAATACACCTGCCATGCCCCATATGGTCTAAAACCTGACAGGTGGGCAAATCTAAGCTTGTTTTTAATAAAACAAATATAAATATGGATATAATAAATAATACTGCTAATAATAATAACATTATACAAAAGCAAATTGTTATGAATGAACTGAAAAAGCCTCCCGAGATGAAGAAGACATAAAAGCAGTGATTTTTCATATTTATGTAGGCTAGAAAATAATATGTTTTGTAATATTTTAATCCTTTATTTGTATATCCTACATCTATTCTTATTATATCCTATATATATCCTTAATATTAAAATGTTTTCATATGTAAAGATATTTGCCTATTGCTCTCTTGTGTGTATTAAGCAGTGTGTAAGCGAGTTTAGACCGGGTTTGTTTTGGTCTAATGAAAAATCTATTATAGTTTCTCAAAATAGCAACGCGCCAGCGGTCCGCCTCAGAACGCCTTCCTTTTTAGACCAGAACGCCTATGGGCGCACATCTGAGCGCAAATGCATTTGCTATTTAAACAGCGTGGCGCAACGCCTCAAAACCACTCTTGCGCCAAGCTGAAACTACCAAAAGACTACTGCGCCACGCCTTGCACCACACTGCGCCGGGTGTATGATAGGGTCCAAGATGTTTGCACAGTACAGTGAAATCTGGGCAGACCTTAAAAAATCTTGTTACCATAATGAGGTTGGCGTTGATGTAGTCAGAACCTTGTTCATTCACATCGCCGTCAGTGAGCACGACTCGAGTGTGGTCGACTGAGAACAGAGATAAGAATTTTAATAGCATTATTGGCTCACATGCACATGATTTATTTCATGGATTTGCATAATGATGATGATGATGTTCACTCACAGGGAAGAATGTTCTTATATCTGTTCTTGTTTTTGTTTTCTGGTCGCTGACCCTCTTTGCGACTGTAGAGGAGTTTACATTCCTGTTGCTGAAGCGTCTGTGGACAAAAAAATGTATATATGTGACCAAAAACTGTTCCAAAGTGAACAGATTATTGGCATTAAAGCGGATGCTTATTGGCTCTCACCTCAAACTCCTCCCAGAATCCCTGCTTGACTTTATCTGTGGCCTCTGCAAGCTTGCTGAGCTCTCGTACTCGACTTTCGATCTCTGCTGCATTGATGCGTGTCGTGTTCAGAGGCTGCAAGAAACACAACGCTGTGATAAATGTGCCCACACTGCTGCACCACTGTGGGGTTTTTGGTAACATCTTTCAAACTGCATTTGAAAGAAGTCTCTTATATTCACAGTGGCGCTCTATCAAATTACAGCAAAATTGTGAAATATCATGAAACTCAATGAATTCTTAACCAATCCTCTAAAATGGGCAATCATTCACCTGTTTGAGCTGCAGGACTGTCCCCAGTGTTTCCACCATAGGGTTTTTCTTGTAGTGCTCCACGAGATCCGTGAGCGAGTCAAATTTCTCCCCACCTCCAACATCATACTTCAGGTCATGCTGTCAAAATACCAACAGATTTTATTTATAATTATAAAAACAACACGGGTAATATTGCTTATATTTTGCTCATTTGGTACTAAATATAGATTGTTTTTCTGCAATAATACAGACTATTCCTAAAAGACCTTAAGAATGCATGTTAAATTAAAGTGTACATAGCACTGTCTTTAGATACATGTTATCAAATATATGTGCTGTAATTGGCTCATTTTCAGCCTTCAGTAACCTTACACTTGGACCCATATTTGCATTTGTCTGCCAGAGAGGATCATAATGCTGTTTATAAAGTCTAGTCTTTGCAAAGAGCCACAGCTTTAGCAACATACATATAAATTATATACACACACACACACACGTATATATGTATGTATATATGTATATATATATACACACACATGTATGTTTATATATATATATATATATATATATATATATATATATATATATATATACATATGTGTGTGTGTGTGTGTGTGTGTGTGTGTGTGTGTATATATATGTATGTATGTATATATGTATGTATATATACACTCATGTATATATATATATATATATATATATATATATATATATATGTGTGTGTGTGTGTGTGTGTGTGTGTATATATATATGTATGCATGTATATATGTATGTATATATACACTCATGTATATATATATATATATATATATATATATATGTGTGTGTGTGTGTGTGTGTGTGTGTGGTTTAAATGTGTTTTATCCCATTTAAATTTTTTTTAGTCATTGTAATTCCACACAACTTGAGCACACTAATTGTCTACTTAATATTAAGGATCTAGACGATTTTAATCCACATCTGATAAAAAAAAAACAGGCTGACAATATAAAACCACATAGTTAATAATGCATTTGATTTATTTTTTTTGTTACCTGGCAGCGTATCATGACGTGTGTGACTTTGGGTTTGCCATCGCTGGTGTCCGTCTTGTCATCTCCAGTTCGTACGGAGAGCACAAAATCTCCTGGGTGACTCTGACTTTCTCTCACCAGGAAACTTCCGTTCTTGCCCTTCTCTGTCAACAGCTTCTCAGCTTCACGACCAGAGAGGTGACCATGAAACCACCTTGTGGTTGCAAAAAAAAAGACAGGACAGTCAGAAAAGGTTTGTTCAAGTTCACAGCCAATAAAGAGAAGCCTATAAAACACAACTCATCCCAAATTGTCATGTAAGGACAGACAGATAATGAGGTATGTATGTGCTCACCTCTCGGAGGTGGGATCGGCACAGTTCAGAGGGTATTTCAGCTCAATGACGTCTCCGTTTTTCTCTTTCAGCTGTCCATGATGCTCCATGTAATACTGGACCAGCTCAGCAAGAGTGGCAAACTTCTCTCCACCATACAGGTCGTAATAGTCTCCTGTGTTTTGAATCTTAATGTGTGTGACAGCGCCATTTCGCCTAGTGAGGAGATGAAAAAAAAAATGAAAGAAGATTTAAGTAATTTTAAGTAAAAAATATGGATTTTAAAAAATGATTCCGTACAAATTTGCATATTTGGTTGTTTATTAAATCTGAACTTATTAAAATACATTTATGTAGCCAAACTATACAAAACACATAATATCAAACTTTATAAAAGACTCAAAGTCCAATTAAAAAAACACATTCCATAACAATTTACGCCAATGTCTCCACAGCTCTGTATGACAGCGTGTACTACAGACCTCAGTGTTCTAAAATAACTTGATTACATAGATAATGCAATTTATTTATCATTTGTATCGTATACATATTAATCTTTTTATATTTAAATATAAATAATTATTTTCTCAAACTTATCCATGCATGCATTTATATATACTGTACATAAATATACACAGTACACACGCATATATTAGAGATGCTCCGATCGATCAGCCAGAGATCGGTATCGGACAATAATCACATTTCATGACTCGATCGGTACTCGCTAATCTGTTCGATCTCATCAACCGATCACAATTGTGTGTTTACGAGTTTACGAAAATGTGCTTTATGCATTATAAAGCTTAAAGCATCAGAATCGGTACTTGTTATAGGCCAATGACAATCCGCCTGTTAAGTGGTGACGTGTTTGTGACGTATGTAATACTGTTTCCGGGTTCAAGCCGCCACTCATTTGAGTGGAGAAATCATTCGTTTATGATCACGTTTTATCCCTATCACACATTAAAATTAATTTTATATAAAATCATAGTGTACACAACAATCTCTGGGCTTGCTGCATAACAAATACCAAAAATGTAACAATTTTATAAAAAAAATAATCACTTTCCGGCCATCGGATATTAGGCTTGGACATATATACTGCGATCGTGATTTTCGAAAGCCTTAAATCGCTTTGTAAACGTTTATTATTACCATTTCATGAGTCTCCCCATTCAGTTGAATAGAGCGCTTGGACCCGGAAGCCGATTCGCATGACGTCACACTTAACAAGCGGATGACAAGGAATTGGTACTCGGTCTCCGCTCTAATTTCCTGATCGGAGCATCCCTGACATATATTATATCAGAACAAACATTTATTTTGTATGCAATTCATTTTTACAAAGCACAATTTTTTTTTCACTTTTCTTTATTTGAAACCATTTATGATGACAAATAATAATAGTTTGTAGTAAGTGGGGGGGTTGTTTTGGAAGTCAACTTTAACGTTATCAAACCAGAGTAGATGTCATCTAGTCACTGGGGTCCGTTCTTCGTACGTGGATTACTCAGTTAGCTGGATTTGGATATTGACGATTTGACACGATCCAGGATCGTTTCGTTCTTCAAAGCTGATCCGAGAGTTGTTGTCATAGCAACAGTTCTGCTAGCTCAAACCAGATCAGGAGCAGGTTCAATTCATATAAACAGGATTAGATCGGCTCAGTTCAAGGAAAGATAATAGAGAAAGCATGTACCGAATTCTGATGTTTTCTTACAGTAGTAGTTATATACACTTGGGAAAATAGTAAATATTTTACTATATATATATAAAGTTATAGTTATTAATAAAATAAATAAAGTTATATATATTAATAAAACTTATGCAATCTGCACCCCTGAAATGAAAGTACAAAGACTGCCACCTGGTGGTGCAAAGAGAAAACTTATTAATATGAACTTTTTAGATCGCTTTAGTACAAATTGTGTATAATAATAATGCACTATATGTGACTTTTTAAAAAAAAGAAATAATACATTTATGCAGTCATAAACATGTTTTGACGGTTAATATGCCAGTGATTATGCTTAACAAAAGTTGCAGATCCTTTACCAATATATATAATGCTTTTATAAACATCCAGTTATTCCTTACAGCGATTAAAAAAAACGGCTACAATAATAAAGAAAATCTTTTCTAAATGTAGAACTAAATACATTGATATGCATTGAAATGCATGATGAATACTCTTGACACATGAAAGTGTAAAGCCTGCCGCTCATAACAAATGTGGAAGGTTATTGCGTGTCATATTTAACGAACCGTTTACTAATTTAATGTAATTTTGCTCATATGGATAATTGAATATTAATCAGATGTCATTACGCTGCTGTGCCGTCAGCCAATTGTTGCATTGCTGATCATGATTTTTAGGATCGATAGATCTGTCCTTCACAACACACGCAGCGATCTCAGATCAGTTTATCCAGACATTCTAATCTGATTCGCGAACTTGTTTGAACAACCAAATTAGCGAGAGATCAGTAATCAAGATTAAAAGATCCAGGATCTGCCAAATCATCTTAGATCATTCAAGCGATGTACGAAGAACGGACCCCTGGATATGTCATCAATAAAACACAGGCTAAAAATGTTTCGCAACGTGCCACAACTTGTGATTTATTTGCCAGAAATAAATGCAAATACTGTTTGACAGTTCATAACACAAAACAATGCAACATTACCAATGACTAGGCCCACACGGAATCTGCGCAGATTTTTATTGATTCGGTTTATCTACTTGTGTGTAAATTTATATTTATTCGGTTTTTAAATCAATTTCAGTAATAATATTGGCAAATATGAAAATATTCATATGATTTGTTTACAATACAGTTTGTAAAGTAATATTTTCTGTCTTTTAGTAGATATATTATATGAGAGACTTACCAAATAAAGTAGATCTAATTGGATTTGCATTGTAAATATTAAACAAAAGTTAAAAAGCTATTATTTTTCATTCATATATTAAGCTTGTTATGATACTCCCAAAATCATTTTGCATAAATCTGTAGATTTTTAACACAATTCTGCGCAGAATTAGCAAAAAATGTCTGCAGTTTCTGTCTGGCCCTACCAATGACTAATTTAGTGTAAAACAAATGCATTGTTAATAATGCAACATCAGCACCCAGGCTAATTTTACAGCTAAATAAATGCATTCAACACACTGATCCCTGCAGGTTTTATTAGGGATGCAACAATAACAGATATTTTAGTGCAGAAGTAATGCATACGTCGTCAGCACACAGATTCATGTGAAGTTATTTCATAACAACACAACACACGAAAGACAAAGGCTATAACGTTAAGCCTTATTACACTGTCTTGACTTGCTTATGGGACATGTTTTATTGCTAAGATTATGCAAGCTAGAAAGCTGCTCAAAATCCTGCTCAAGACGGGCGTTTTTCGCACTTCTTGCTCATCTTGGTTATCAGATATCTTCTCGCAGCACATCTTCAAGCGTTCACCAGGGATGATGTTTACGCATGCTATGAAGTTTGTCACACCTCCAGCGGCTGCACACTACACGGTTTCAGCACGCTTTACAGTTCATTCACAATATATGTCAGCATCTACGCTTCGCAGAGGACAACAGCAAATCACATGACTTTTACTAAGGTTGCGTACATGCGATTGGCTAGTATCTGCTCTAGATATTTGCATGGAGTGACCTAACTTGCATCTGTTTCTGCATCTACACTAACATATTATTTATGCATTTAAAAAAAAAGACTTAAAATAATCCAAGGGCAGTTTTATTCATCTGTCATGTAGTTCAGGTCAAAATACACAGCGGGACTAGTCGACGTCAATCAAAAAGTGTCATGGAAGAGCATTAAAGTCAACCCAGTTGACCAGTCGGTTCAACCCCTAGCAGAAAGCAAGCAAGTAATACAAGTACATGGTAAGCCATGTGTCTTTTAAATTAGGCTAAATTCATTAAAGTATTTATGCCTAATAAAGTACATCTATAATCTGTTGCATAACCATTTTAAGTGAGTTTTTTTTATCTTTTAAAAATTATTTACTTTCCATTGAACTTTGTTATTCCCAGCCCAAATTCAAGAGTATGGGTCAAAGCACACCTGACAGAAAGTGTAAAGTCTCCAGGGTTGCTTTTGCTGGGACGGGCCAGAAAACTGCCATCCACACCCCGAGTGAGAAGGAGATTCTCTGCCTCCACTCCAGTGATGTTGGGGTGGAACCACCTGTAAACAGAAGCACAGCAGTCCATCATATTAAAGGAAAGTTGGTTTTATATTCGCACATTCATTCAATGACAACTTATGACACAGTCCTTACATTGTTTACCATGATACTTTGAATATTCGGTCTGAAATTGCATGCAAGTGTGACTTCAAAACAACATTAGCACTATTTAATTGACTGTGTACTTTGGTAGTCATTGGCAGCCAATATGTTCTTCCCTATTTAGAATTTTCATATAAAACTTTTCTGAAATTTTATTTCTAAGGAGAAAGTTCAAATGTGCGAATAATGTGTCCAACAATCAAAACAAGCACAAATCACTCAAAAATCAAGAAATCAAAACATTAAAGAGCCAACAGAAGCATCAGTAATTATATAAAATTGTCATACTGAAAAAGTTGGAGCAATAATAATGCATGGGCATACTGTGACACCCCAATTACTTGAATTAACCATTACCTAAATAGGCATGGGACGATAATCGTTTTCAAAGTATACCACAGTTTGGAAAAGTTTTATTTATTTATTTTTTACTAATGAAACAGAAGTCAGTAGCATCCAGAAACGTGAAAAACATTTCAAAATTGGAATATCACATAAAAGACGTGTGAATACAGCAGCGATTCCATCCAACGAGTCAAATCGAACAAAATAGTCACTTGCTGATTAAAATATATGATGCACATACTGGAATTTGTTTGGTAAAAGTGTTTCCATTGTGGTTTATGTGCATCTTTTCTTATCAAATAAAAAGTTTATCCTCAGTTTTACGCATTTTGCACGTTTATGGGCATATCCAAAATGCCCATACAAATAGGTGAATGGAAACAGAGCTAATGACTAAGCCCACATGGAATCTGCGTGATTCCGGAGATTTCCCGCAGATTTTTAGCCCATCATTAATTCTGTTTATTTACTTGAGCAAATTTGCGTAAATCTATATTTATTCCGATTTTAAATTAATTCCAGTAATATTATTGGCTAATATGAAAATGTTCATTTGATTTATGTACAATGCAGTTTTTACAGTAATATTTTCTGTCTTTTAGTAGATATATTATATGAGAGACTTGCTTTGTTTACCAAATAAAGTGAATCTAATTGGATTTGCATTTTACACATTAAATAAAAGTTTAAAAGGTATTACTTTTTATTTCATATATTAAGGTTTTAGTAATGATTACTTCCAAAATAATTCCGCAGCAATCCGCAGATTTTTACCAACGTTCTCCACAGAGATAGCAAAAAACGTCCGCAGATTCCGTCTGGCCCTACTCATGAGTCATGACTCATTTGAATTATTTAGCCTGACATGTTTACTGTTCCAAAATGTTTTAAATGTTTCTCAAAATTAAATATATTGCTTTTAAAGGGGAAAAAGTTATTATTTTTTATGCAAACAAGTAAAAAGAGCATATTGTAGAGCAACAAGCACAATAACGCTACCGTGAAACTGTGATATTTATATTCAATGTTATCAGACTGTCAGAAATGGAGGTGAAGTTGGTTTTATATTCGCACAATTGTTCAATTAATGGTCCCCATATTGTTTACCATGCTAATTTGAATATTGGATCTGAAATCGCATGCAAGTATGACATTAGCACTATTTACCTGACTGTAAACAATGTTGTACGATGATAGTCAATGGCTGTTAATATGACTTCCTCATTTAGAATTTGAAACAATCCTTTTCTGTTATTATATTATTAAGGAGAAAGTGAGAATGTGAAAACATATAAAACCAACTTTACCTCAATCCTTCAGAATCTTTTACCGGCCCATGCCTACTCTTAAACACCTCATGATCGTTTATTAACTTTAATAAAAATTTTAAAAAGTCCACTTACACAGTTTAAACATGCTGTATTTTATTTTCTAATGCATTGAACAGAGTATTAAATATGATTTGAGGGTCCAATTATGTCTTACATTTCTATTGTAGCATAAATTATGCATGCGTCTATTAATTTGATCTGTTTATAATGCAAATGACAATAAACCAACGTTAATGTAGGCAGATACATTCGCTAAACCGAAGACAAATGTTGGCAGAGCTGTCATGTCACATTCTCAAAACACAGTGTCATGTCTTGTCCCAAATTTAAAACACGACCTGTCAATCACGATCAACGGATATGAAATATGAACATTAAAAAAGGCTTACAGTGCCCTAAAGAGAGTTAATGCACAATTATTCTGACTCTTCCAGACTCAAACATGTCCAGTCTCGCCCTGATGGGTTTAAATCATTAAACTGTCTGCTATTTAAATGAAACACGTTGCTTTCGCACTTCTGACAGTCTAAAACTATCTTAACAAACAATTTCTTGGTTTATCATAAAACTAAGACACTCTGCAGAGACAAGAAATGCTAAATAATAAGTAACAGGAAGAATGTTTGGTTTGTTTTTGCTTGTTTCTCACCTTCGGGATGTCATCGCTCCCTCGCTCCGTTTACTGTAGTTTTACTCACTTTCCGGGTATAAACTCCGTTTAAATCGACAGTGCCGTGTTCAGCGGCTCATACGGCAGCGGGTACCGCTCGGTTTGGGTTCGGACAGACGAACATGAGTGAAAAAATGACAGGAAACGGCAACCGGGAGCGCTAGGCCGCAGCGGCGGAGAGTTTTCTGGAGTCGATTGGAAAAACGTCACCAAAGCTGCGACACACAGAGAGCGACGCTCCGCGCTGACGCGCCCTCCAGAGGGGGACAACAGGAACAACAAATGACAACAATTAACAAAATATTTTTAATATAATAAAAGATTAATCACGATAGTAAAATTTTATCAACTTTGTTGTATTTTAGACGTTGCAACCGACTACAGATGTTTATATACGGATAATAAAATATAACACGGATATGTACAGTCAATATATTTTTCTTTATAAAAGCAGACGTTGTGTATTAATAAATGTAATATACATGCAAGACAATAACTTATAGTGTTCCTGTTGAAGTTCTGATTTAAGGTAATAATTTTTTTCCTAAATATGAAATTAAGCAAGCTCTAATCGTGCACATTTGTGCACATTTTCTACGTTTTCTTTCTTAATTTATACATTTTTTTAATTCATGTGTTTGTTTGTGTGTTTGCTGTGCAATAACCAGTTTAACAGCAGCACTTTGACGTTTCAACACCTCATCTTTTTTTTTTACAAACGCGAACTGCGTCCGGCGTCGTCGCCTTTATGTCCCATCCGGCGGATCGTCTAAATCTTGACGTGGCATCACCAGTAGCGCAGCTAGCGCTTGTCAGTCTCCGCCTTTATCGGCCCAGCGCGGTGTAAACTCTCTTTTATGGGTTTAACTCTCCATTAATTCACCGCACCAAACATGTTTACGTTCTCGGAACTCATCGTTCTCCTTTGCGCGTTGTCCTACACGGCGAGCGGCTATTTTGTGAGCATCGACGCGCACGCGGAGGAGTGTTTCTATGAGCGCGTGAACTCGGGCACGAAGATGAGCCTGATGTTTGAGGTCGCCGAGGGAGGATTTCTGGACATCGACGTCAAGGTGGCCATTAAAATACACTCTCTGTATCATTCCATATCATTTAATAAAACGATTGTTTATAAGCAGCCACTGTAGGATGTTTGCAGGTGTCGCTGTCTGCTTAGCAGATGGTGGATAAAGCCGGAAGTGAATTCCTGTCTGGGAGTGATTATTAATTCTTTAAGTACTCAATTATACATTCGTCTACATATTATTTAGACGAATGTAGGTCAAAGTATGCTATTTTGCATCCCGCAGGTTTTAGTTAAACATAGGAAATAGTCTGGTGTTAAGATTCTTCTTGTACATTTGATTTGTGTGTGGTTCTGTGTACTGATAATATATGAAATTATGTGTATATAGTATATAATATTACACGTATATGAATGATACCGGGTGTTTCCCATGTTTTGTGTTTGTATCTTGGTCTAAAGTGTCAAAGGTGACACCTGCTTTCACAAAGCATACGTCATTTACTAGTCCCTTTATTTCTTAAGGCAGAACGTTAGAATATAACGTTTTAATGTATGTTTTTATTGTGAGTTTTTCAATTTATTTTAATCAAAACAATATTTCTGACATGTACCTGTTAACGGTGAGTTTTACCTGATATACTGGATTGTGGTGAAGTGGTGTTATATTCACACATTCAGACTTTCTCCTCAATATAATTTCAGTAAAGTATTCATTGCCAATTCTAAATGGGTAAATCATATTAGCAGCCTATAACCAATAAAGAACAACATTGTTCAGTCAATGAAATAGTTCTAATGTTGATTTAAAGTCATACCTGCATATAATTTCAGTCGGAATATTCAAAGTAGCATGATAAACAATATAGGGAGTTATCACTGAATGATCGTGCGAATATAAAACCAACTTTACCTCATCATTATGCGCTGCATATCTTTAACAGATAACGGGTCCAGACGGGAAGCAGATCTATAAAGGAGACCGTGAGTCCAGTGGGAAGTATTCTGTAGCCGCTCACATGGACGGAACCTACAAGTTCTGCTTCAGCAATGAGATGTCCACCATGACCCCCAAGATTGTGATGTTCACCATTGACATCGGCGAGGCGCCCAAAGGACAAGACATGGAGACAGAGGGTGAGCAGACACACTGACCGTCATCTACTTTTTTTTTTTTTTCATAGAGTGAATCTGCACTGATGTTATGAAACTTTCCAAAAGTTGGCGAGGGAAGTTTATGGCCTTCTGGTATTTGAATGAGTGTTCAGTAATTAATCTTAAATAGTCAACCCTGACACGTTACCCTTTTACATCCGGTTTTAACATGCGTTTAAGTGTCTATCTGCTAACCACTTGTGTTCAGATTTTGTCGAGACCTTTCACTCTTGTTTCAGCACATTCATTAGAGAGCTCATAATTATTAGCAGCTAAATGTGTCTGTAAAAATATTCAAAGGCTTTTATTCTCATAAACCGCGCGGACGTGAATGCGTCTGACTGTTTTGATTGGCTAAAGCAGACGTCTCACGTCAGCACGTTCTAGAAGTGCACGCGCTCTTTCCAGCAATCTTCCTTCTGCATTCACACAGCGCAGCATTCCGGCAAATTACCGGTAATGTTACAACTTCTCTTTCCGGAAAATAGCCAGAACGAATTTACCGGCATTTTCAAAAAGAGCCTGTTCACACACACACACACACCTTTCCAGGAAAATTGACGGTACTTTTCCGGAAAGGTCTGGGGTCCGTTCTTCATACGTGGATTACTCAGTTAGCTGGATTTGGTTATTGACGATTTGACACGATCCAGGATCGTTTCGTTCTTCAAAGCTGATCCGAGAGTTGTTGTCATAGCAACAGTTCTGCTAGCTCAAACCTGATCGGAAGCAGGTTCAGTTCATATAAACAGGATTAGATCGGCTCAGTTCAAGCAAAGAAAATACAGAAAGTATGTACCGAATTCTGATATTTTCTTACAGTAGTAGTTATATACACTTGAAAAAAGGGTACATATTTTTTAACTATATATATATATATATATATATATATATATATATATATATATATATATATATATATATATAAATATATATATATATATATATATATATAAATATAAAGTTATAGTTATTAATAACATAAATAAAGTTATATATATTAATAAAACGTATGCAATCTGCACTCTCGAAATGAAAGTACAAAGACTGCCACCTGGTGGTGCACAGAGAAAACCTATTGATATGAACTTTTTAGATCGCTTTAGTACAAATTGTGTATAATAGAAATGCACTATATGTGACTTTTTTAAAAAAAAAAAAAGCTATGATAAATTTAATGCATTAATAAACATGTTTTGACAGTTAATATGCCAGTGATTAGGCTTCACAAAAGTTGCAGAAGCCTTTACCAATATGAAAATGCTTTTGTAAACAACCAGTTATTCTTTACACCGATTAAAAAAACGACTACTATAATAAAGAAAATCTTTTCTAAATGTAGAACTAAATACATTGGTTTGCATTAAAATACATGATGAATACTCTTGACACATGAAAATGTAAAGCCTGCAGCTCACAACAAATGTGGAAGGTTATTGCGTGTCATATTTAACAAACGGTTTACTGCTAATTTGATGTAATTTTGCTCACATGGATAATTGAATATTAATCAGATGATGTCATTACGCTGCTGTCAGCCAATCGTTGCATTGCTGATCATGATTTCGAGGATCGATAGATCTATCCTTCCCAACACACGCAGCGATCTCAGATCAGTTTATCCAGACATTCTAATCTGATTCGCGAACTTGTTTGAACAACCAAATTAGTGAGAGATCAGTTATCAAGATTAAAAGATCCAGGATCTGCCAAATAATCTTAGATCATTTAAGCGAGGTACGAAGAACGAACCCCTGTATGTGTGAAAGGGGACAATGTCTGAAAAGTAGGGTTGCCAGTGATAGTTTTACAGTACTAAATCTTCAAATTAATGTACAATACCGTATACTTTATAAATAGCAAACAATGTTGTTTGTGCTGCTGTTATGCTACTTGAGGTATAATACATTTCCAGTATACACTACCTGACAAAAGTCTTGTCGTCGATCCCAGTTGTAAGAACAACAAATAATAACTAGACATTAAGTTAATCAGTTGAAAAAGTTGCAAAAGGTAGATTTTTACCATGAATCATCTGTTGAACTGCATCACAAACACTGCAGAAGACCAAGGTAGGCCAATTGGTCAAGGTGCTTTAGGATTGGCCTATTGAGCATGTCTGGGGTAAGTTGTAATTTTGTCCTTAAAATGCTGTTTAAAAAATTAAAAACCCCTTTTATTCTAGCCAAAATTAAACAAATAAGACTTTCTCCAGAAGAAAAAGTATTATCAGACATTCTGTGAAAATTTCTTTCCCCTGTTAAACATAATTTGGGAAATATATTTAAAAAAAAATAAAAATTCTAAGGGGGGCTTATAATTCTGACTTCAACTGTATAATGCCACTTTATTCGTAAGACAACACATGTATAAAGTGTGTGTCAAACGTTTTAAAGAAAGTAGCTTTTCTCTTAGTCGAAGCTCTTTTAAATTATTCATGTTAACCAAGTTATTTTGAAGGCCTTAACATAAGACTTGCATATTATAAAAGGGAACAAATTGGGTTATGTACTTTCCCCACAGCAACTGCTTTTCCTCATTTCCTCATATCAAACCATTGTGTAATCATTTAAAAAGTATTGGCTGAATATTTGTAGATATTACTCTATTTTATATGCTCTACTTTCTGCCCAGACCTAATTTAAACTATCAATAGCTGAAATGAAGTTGGAAATGGAAAACACTCTGATGCTGTTCGTGTGCATAATATCTACATGTACTTTCCATAATATAATATAATATTATATATATATATATATATATATATTTTTTTTTATATATATATATTTTTTATATATATATATATATATATATATATATATATATATATATATATATATATATATTTTTTTTTTTTTATATATATATTTTTTTTTATATATATATATATATATTTTTTTTTATATATATATATATATATATATATATATATATATATATATATATATATATATATATATATATATATATATATATATATATATAAATAAATAAATAAACAGGACAAGTATACTTGTTGGCCTGTGTAAAAGTGTATTAAACTAATTTGCGTAGATAAAAATGTCAATGAGGCGGAGAGTCAGCACACAGCCATTGACGCAGGATTTCTGGGAATCCAGTTTTTTTTTTCTGTTGTGTCCTCACAGCTCCATATGGTTGGGTTCCCATGCTCATGGAAAACTTAAAAGGTGTCAGAGCTTTCAATAATGACTTGACTCGGAAAAAAAAGTTGCAAAATATTATATATAAGTCGTCTAAATTTCTCTGTCAAATTTTATGTCTAGTTCCAAAATCTTTAGTAATTTTTCAATGTTTATCTTTGCATGTTGAAGACATTTACGCATGTTTGTATGTGAAGTACACCAACCTTAAGTCACACACATTGATAATGTCTTGTCTGTCTGTTTTAAATGTAGATTATGGAGATGTACTCTTAAAAAATTATGATTATGTTCTGTTTTACGCTTTTAAAATTACATGTGTATGGGGTTGATTCATGCAAGAAATATTTATGACTTTTTTTTTTTTAATCAATTATTTTGAATCCCCCAGAAGTCATCTAAATATGCGTATATTTTTACCTATTTATTTGTTTATTTAAATAGTTTTATACTCCGAGCATTTCTTTATTTTTCAGAATGTATCCCCAGGAACAATTTTAAGTCATTTACTAAAAATACATCTAATATTTTTAATGTAATCTTTGTGTTTATTTTGTATCTTCTCTTATTGAAATATGAAATTGATATTGTAGTAATTATGTAATATGTATTTAATCTATATTTATTTTGCCATTAAATAGCCATAAGTCACTGACGTGGGAATAAAAAATTATAATAAAGTATAACTTTACTGAAGTCATGTTTTTAATGCTTAACGTGACCTTTTTTCCCTATTCAGGAGGTGGTGACAGCTGGGATGGTAGGAATAGACTGTACAGTAGATGGTTTTAACATTGGTTGAGCAGTAAAATGAACCCTAACAGCACTTGCACTTACATTTGCACGTGTGTGTATAAATTATCTTAACATTTTCTGAGAGATGTGCTCATAAAAGTGGCTTTTAATGGAAGTGTGAACGTTGAGGAATGAGGTGTGGATTTTACTGTGGTGGTAAAATCTTAAATTGTTTAAAGATTTAAAAATGTTTATCTAGAATATTTGTGGTGTTTTACGTTCTCATTGCCTGTTTTGACCATTTATTTAGTTACTTTTTTATAAATGTCTCATGAAATTAGGAGTTTTGTAGATGTTAGAATCAGTGTTGTTCATTTTTAAGATATCCTTAAGCTAGTGTGCTCCAAAACGGTGACAAAATTAGCATAAACCGAAATGAACATGCAATCCTTGTAGTTTTTTCCACTTAATTTTGATCCTGAATGGATCAATGGTTTTATTCCCATCACCTCAAACTTCAGTTTCACTGAAAAAATGGTTGCATGCAAAACCGTTGCAAACAATTTATTTGTGTTGAATTTAAACAAACTAATTAAGTTGAACATTTAATTCAAATGTAATTTGTTTGTTTAAATTCAGTACAAATAAATTGTTTTCAACCACTTAAGAGTATAAGATTTGAGTAAATCCAAGGAATCAGCTTTGAATTAATTTTTTTTTTCCAGTGTTCTCGTAAAATCATAACCAATCAAGTGCTCCCTAGTGTCTGACATGCCCCGCCCCATTCAAGATGCTTCTCGGTTGCTTTTCTTTTGATGCAGCTTTTTTTTAAGGGGGAGGAGCTACTCTGTTCCGCCCTCTCATCGTGTTTCAGTTGAGATTACATCAAACATCAACTAAAAATGCATATTTCAAAGCTCTCCACAGGACCTTTAAACCTTTATTTTACAAGAAAAACCTCTTGATATTTGTAATCTCTTATTCAAGAGTGCTTTTCATATTATATTTGAGTTGTTTTATTCAATTTTAAAGTGTTTATCATTTAGATAATGCAAAAACAAAAAAACATTAAAGCATCTTATGACCTGTAAACTTGTGCATGTGTGAGTGAGGTGTTCACATTTATTACAAACTTATTATATATTGCAGTTTTTTCTCATTTGCATGCACATCATGCGTAAATTCCCATCATCCTGAGTACAATCCTATTCGTTTTAATTCCAGCTCATCAGAATAAGCTGGAGGAGATGATTAACGAGCTGGCGGTTGCCATGACAGCAGTCAAACATGAGCAGGAATACATGGAGGTCCGAGAGAGGATACACCGCGCAAGTAAGTCTGATCCTCGATGATCGCGTGACCAGTCAGCCTTCCTAGATAACATTTTTAACGCTTGTTGAGACTACTTATTTAAATTGAGCTGAAACGACACCATTCTTAAGTGTTTTGTTTTGATTTATTTGATTATTCCCTGTCTAACCTTTGTGTTTTTGTGTTTTGTCCTCTAGTCAATGACAACACAAACAGCAGGGTGGTGCTTTGGTCCTTCTTTGAGGCTCTAGTGCTGGTGGCCATGACCCTCGGACAGATTTACTACCTGAAGAGATTCTTTGAAGTGCGGAGAGTCGTATAAAAATCCTGTGTTCTCCAACAAACACATCGCGTCTGTGATTTACCAGTTTCACGAATTGGACGTCCAATTCAGCAGATCGGAAGAACTTGGTTGTTTCTCTAGTCCACCAGTCTTTGTTTTTATTCGCCCCAGTTGTAGACCTTCGTCATCGTTTTGTTTGCGAATTGGTTGCGAATGTTGTTCATTAATTGATTTTTGGTTCGTTTTAGCCCGGTTTTTTTGTACATTTTATTTTGAACAGGCGTCTTTTATTTTATGTTTTTGGCTTGGTGTTTCTTCTCCAGTACTGTTACAATTGCACATTACTATGAGAATGAAGTAGAGGTGGCGTTGCTCCATTGAGAATGGGGTTTAGGATTGTATGGAATGGCATGATGTAATTAACCATAACACGAACAGAGCGAATGGGGAAGTCTGACCGCAAGCACATTTCATGTCATATTCACTGCTTATTATCACATTTAATTATGCCGACAACCTCCATGGCACATATTTAAACCTGATACTGGTAAAGCAGGAAAACTAAAATGACTGCTCGGTTCAATTTGCAGATTTATTCTGGTGTGTTTTTAATGTTTAGGCAGGGTAGGCCCGATTTCTTTTTCCTTCTCTCTATCTTCAGTTTCTTCACACGGGAAGTACTTTATGTAGTTTTGTACAATTTTTGTTGTCTGAACCAACTCTTACATGAATGATGAATACTAAAGTTATTTGGCTAAGACTACTGGGAAAATGAAAATAATAATAAAATGAAAAAAAAAAAAAGAGTAAACATCTGAAGTTCAATGAGTATGTCAAGTATGAGTTTGATTTAATAAACATGGAACATGTTCTTAAAATGACTCGATCAATGTGGATCTGGGTGAGCATTGTGGGAACTTTCTGCAACATTTAATGCGCTAAGTTTTAACTGCATGTCAAACTACATGTAAAGAATAACAATGGTCTCAATGTATTTCCCGTTTTTACATGTTTAATTTCTATAGCTTTTAAAGAATCCAAAAAGAGCCACATATTGATAATGTTACGGCAGCTGTTTTAACTTTAAGTTATGATTGAATTGCCTCGTTACAGTTATAAAGTAGTTTGATAAGCAGGAAATGTTCATGGGCCAATGACATGTCCACATTGAAATGGTCTATACTGTACAAACGTAAGACCTTTGTACAGAGCACTAGGTTTAATTTTATACTTTATATATTTTCAAGAGATAATTCACCCAAAACGAATAATTCTGTCATTATTTACCCAACCTTCACTAGCCACAAACATGAGAACAAAATAAGTTTTGAAATATGTTAAAAATCTTTAACCATTGACTTTCATCGTATTTGTTTTTCCTTCTATGGATGTCAATGGTTACATGTTTCCAACATTTTCCAATTCTCATCTTCCAAAATTTGGAAAAACTTGAGGGCGAGTAGTATTATATTTAAATTTTTGGGTAAGCTATCACTTTAATTTTAGCTCTCTATTAAGAAACAAAGAATATGAACATTTTGAGAGGAAAATGTATACCCAGTTTTCAAAATAAAAATACTTATTTAAGCATCAGGGTTCATACGGTCCTGGAAAAGACATGGAATTTTAGCAAGGCTTTTACCAGGCCTGGAAAAGTTTTGGAAAAATAAACTCAACGTTTTGGAAAAGTCATGGAAATTTGTTTGACAAATATCTGTATACTTGAATATATTTGAGGTGATAATATTGGGTCAAGTTCAAAATCATTTGCAATGTCTATCCCTTCACGTGACATTCTCTATGTAGGGCAAAAAGCTGCTTGCAGTCTATTGAAGTTTTGTAAAGACACAAGTCAACATTTTCACACAAGATATTTTCTAAAAACTGTTTTACAGGTATAAAATAAACACTACCTAGATTGTCACATTGTTTTGATATGCTGTAATAAATTTGAATATGCACTTATTTTCTTATTTACCACGTCCGTAGACATTACATGAAACAGTAGGTCATGAAAATTTACCTGAAAGTTTTAGTGAAAGTTAGTAGTAAAAATGTGTATGAACCCTGACGCATGGTATGTATTTAATGGGGCACCAAGCAAAGCTTTAACTGTTTTTAGGAGACTGTCATGGAGTTTTTTTTAAAATAATGCGCAGTGTAATATCAGGTGTTTTCAGCACTTCCCAGACTACTTTCTCTGCCCAGGGAACCTATTAAAGAAACAAATAAAATATTCAACAATAAATCCAAAAATAATTGATCCTAAGATAGAAAATGCTCACATTTTTGAGAGATTGTCTAACACAATGTTGTTTTCCTTATATTTTGAGAGCTTATATTTTGTCTCATTATGATAAGAAAAATATGTATGATATTAGAAAAAGATTTCTTTCATATCCTGTTAATCCTAAATGTAAAGAAGTGCTCTTTAAAATATTGAATCACATTTATTTATGTTAAAGTTCAATATCGGTGACAGTTTTGTAATTTAGATATTGAAACGACTGAACACTTGTTTTTCCCAATGTAATGTGGTACAAGGGGCGACGCAGTAGGTAGTGCTGTCGCCTCACGGCAAGAAGGTCGCTGGTTCGAGCCTCGGTTGGGTCAGTTGGCGTTTCTGTGTGGAGTTTGCATGTTCTCCCTGGGTTCGCGTGGGCTTCCTCAGGTTACCCCCACAGTCCAAACACATGTGGTACAGGTGAATTGGGTAGGCTAAATTGCCTGTAGTGTACGAGTGTGTATGGATGTGTCCCAGAGATGGGTTGCAGCTGGAAGGGTATCTGCTGCCTAAAAAAACATGCTCGATAAGTTGGCGGTTCATTCCGCTGTGACGACCCCGGATTATGAAAGGGACTAAGCCAAAAAGAAAATGAATTAATGAATTTGGTACAAAGAGTTTTGGGATGAAGTATTAGTTTTGATACAACAGAAAATATCTTTAAGACTTACCATCTTCAGGGAAAATTAATAAATTTGGCCTAATACTTAATGATAAAAAAGATATATAATGAATAATTTGATGTTATTATTAAAATTTTATATTCATAAATATAAGTCTTAAAATTCCCCGAAGACTATTGGTGTTTAAAGAAGAATTTGGGAAATATTTGAAGACATTAAGAAAGATGAAAAGCCAAAAGGCAAGATATTTAAGTTCATTAGAGGATTTTGGTTTCATATTTTGAGAACTTTAACTCCCCTGCTGCTTAATTTTCTTTCGCATTTAATTTTTTGTTATTTTATTTATGTTGTATTATAATGGGGATGGAAAGATTGTGAATGTATGCAAATTGATTGTTATCTCAGTCTTTTGTGTAATTCTAAAAAGCATGTTTAATGCCTTTCTGTTACTGTTCAAGCATTGTTAATTAAAAAAAAAAACTTTCTCTGCCCAGGGGGTCCCGTACTGTCTCTATAGATCTGGACTCCATGTGGGCCATTTCATGACTATCAGCTAATTTGTTTTCTTTCTTTTACCGCTCAAATATGACATTACTACACCAGCAGTGTGTCTGGGATCAGTACAATACTGAAAAATAAAACCGTAACCAACAAGTGCTTTCCAGAAGTAACGGCAATATAGATTATGTATTTTTCAGCATTCACATCCCCATCGATTCAGACAGTGTTTCCAACACCACTGGCAAAAATGCAACCCCAAACCAGGACGGAGCCTCCATGTTTCAAATAAAAAATAAATGAAACTGTGTGTGCGATTTATTTCTTCCTTTGCCAGACCATAACCAACAGGCTGTCGGAAGTTGTAGAGGTGTGATATAGATGCCATATGGTAGTAAACTTTTCCTCAGCGCATTTTGGCCCACTTGTTTTGGCAGACTATGCAGCGCCACTAATACGATCCAAGACCAGCGATGAGATGATCCCAAGGTTCCCATAATCCTGGACCAGGCCGTATCCTGAGCAGCTGCTGTGGTGGTTTTGGAGGAGTAGAGAGCATGAGTCTGATTCCTGTGACGCTCCAGGGACAGACGAGTCTTCGCTGATGTCCAGCTTCTCCAGCGCCTTTTTAATTCCTCACTTACATCAATTGGTGAACTTTTTTACTCGCTGCTGTCTTGCATGGTTCGGGACCGGAGGAGCTGCGCATCGATGGATTTGCTCTTCAGTGTTTGGACTCCCAGTAGTGATTATTAAACCACACTGAACTGAACTGAACTTAGACACTGAAAACTGAACTGACACTGTTTCAATTTACTATGATCTTCTATGTGAAGCTGCTTTGACACAATATACATTGTAAAAGCGCTATACAAATAAAGCTGAATTGAATTTAATCAAATTGTTCACTCCATTTAAATGTATTGGTATGAATGCAGATAATTTAATTTGTAAATAAACGTTTTAATGCTATAAACCTTTTTGAATTGACTTATAATGCAATGAAAGATCAACGAAATCCACAAACGACCCACGAGAATGACTGAGGTAATGCGGAACGTTAGTGCCGTCCATTTGTTTCCTATTCGGAGCATATTTCCTGCAGCACACAGACTCTCCCCATGTGTTTACTTTTGTGGAATAAATTTATCTAAACTATGGAAAACATTACCGATGGAAAATGGGGGAGTCTGCCGGTGAAATTACATGACAACATATTACAGACTCTTAAAGAGCTGGGATTTACATATATGACTCCCGTTCAGGTATTGGATTACTGTTTATACTGTCGCATGTTTCTTACCTTATTATCTGACGTAGAGTTGGCTAACTCCGCTGTCTTTCATTTCAGTCTGCCTGTATTCCTCTTTTTATGAGTAATAAAGATGTGGCTGCCGAGGCGGTGAGTTTGTATTTTTATCATAATGTGTAAGCTGCCCTAAGAACGTGTTATAAATATATAATAATCATTAATTGTCATTTCAGGTGACTGGCAGTGGGAAGACTCTTGCCTTTGTGATCCCTGCATTAGAAATTCTTCTAAAGCGAGAAGAGAAGTTAAAAAAGATGCAGGTGTGCACACTTTTGACCCTACTTATACAAGCCCAAATACAGTTTGTACAGTATGGAAAACGCAAATTAAAAAAAGAAAGCAGTGATTTCTAAAATTACTATGACATGTAATTCATTGCAGACAATACAGCAAACATTATATAATTTGTTCCTTATGGTCCCAATTTTGGTTCTTGCAACACATTTTTTAAAAAAGTTGTAACAGTAAAACATTTAGCACTTTGTTATGTTGTCATTCCTTTTCACAACAGTTAAACACGTTTAGGAATTGAAGACGCCAAGTGATGAAGTGTTTCAGGTGTCATTTTGTCACATTCTTTCTGCAAACAAGTCTTAAGGTGGACAACAGTATGGGCTCTTCGTTCAAAATTCACCACACATTCTCTATTGGAGACAGGTCAGGACTACAGGCAGGCCAGTCAAGCACATATATCCTCTTCCCCTGCAGTCAGGACTTTGTAAAGTGTACAGAATGTGGTTTTGCATTGTCTTAAAATATGCATGGGCTTCCCTGGAAAAGAAGGCAGCTTATTGTGCTCCAAAATCTCTATGTACTTGTCAACAATGTTTGTCGTATTGTCTGCAAAGAAATGCAAGTCAAAGAAAATTTAAATCACTACTTAATTTTTTTTTTATTTGTTCCAACCTTTTTTTGGATTTGGGGTTATCATTACTGTTTTCTTTCTGTTTTGGGGAGTGTAGTTCTTCCTTGTGTGTTATATAAAGTTTTAAAGTGATAGTTCACCCCAAAAAAATATAATAATTCTGTCATCGTTTATTCTTTACTTGTTTCAAATCTTTATGAGTTTCTTTCTTCTGCGAAACACAAAATAAGATACTTTGAAAAAAGCTGAAAACTGATAGCCATTGACTTTTATAGTAGGAAAACCAAATACCATGGAAGTCATTTTCCAACATTCTTCAAAACATCTTCTTTTGTGTTCAACAGAAGAAACTCGTTTAGTTTTCAAAACAAATCAAGGTTGAGTAAATGATCGATTTTAGATTTTTGTGTGAACTATCCCTTTAACTACAATTCTTTTAATGCATTTTTAGGTCGGTGCGTTGATCATAACGCCCACCCGTGAGCTGGCTATGCAAATCAGCGAAGTGATGGGTCGTTTTCTGCAGGGATTCCCTCAGTTTACGTGAGATAACATTTTTTACTGTACAAATGTTCTTACGAAGTTTGTTAGAAGTGTAAATCTTACGAAACGTGTGTTTGCTTTTAGACAGATCCTTTTAATTGGTGGAAGCAACCCTATTGAGGACGTGGAGAAGTTGAAGACTCAGGGGTGAGTACTTGCCCTGGACATACAGTATGCCGACATATTCAATATATTGTGTTCATGAAAGCGCACACAATGCTTTGTGCCCTTTACAGAGCCAACATCATAATTGCGACTCCCGGCCGATTGGAGGACATGTTTAGGAGGAAGGCTGATGGACTTGATTTGGCCACGGCTGTGAAGTCTCTAGATGTCCTAGTCCTGGATGAAGCTGACAGATTGTTGGACATGGGCTTTGAAGCCAGGTGATTTTCCACTAGAATCTTTAATAGGGGTGGAAGAAAAAAACAACGATGCATCAATTCTTTCCCTATCCCCACGGTCTCGCTGCAAATCAAAAGGTGATCCAGATTTCTGTGCTGTGGCCCAGCTCTGGAACAGTCTCTAGGGGTGTCAAAATTAATAGTTTCTTCGGTGCACCGCGATGCAGACGCAAACAATAAGGTATCGGTTCAGTAATAATCATAACCGGTTATTATGTACTGACGTCATTTATCTCCTATGCGCTCTGTCGCGAGGGAGGTGAGCGCGAGTATTTACAACACTCAGCCAACTCAGGGCCGGCCCGTGGCATAGGCACCAAAGGCAAATGCTAAGGGTGCTGTATATACAGGGGGGCGCCAGAAATGAGCGCGGTTCAGTTGGTTTTGTTTTCAAAATTCCTGACACACATTCAGTTATAGACGGCATTAACTCAAAAACCTCTTACCCTACAAAGATCTAAAGTGTGTTTCCTACAAAAAGACAAAGCTGGTTATGTTTCACAGCTGTCTTTTTATTTTTTTCGCTCGATATTACGACCACTGCTCCGTTTAAGCCCTCGCAATATTTGTTTAACCGGGAGAGCTCGCGCTGAGAGCAGCTCTCAGCAAGGGACCGTCGGAAAAGTGTTTTTTTTTTGTTGTTTTTTTTTGTTTTTCTGCTCCGCTCAGCGCGAGCTCTCCCTGTTGCGAGGGCTTAAGTGTGTGCGTGTGTGCGTGCGTGCGTGCGTGCGTGCGTGCGTGCGTGCGTGCGTGCGTGTGTGCGTGCGTGCGTTCGTGCGTGCGTGCGTGCGTGTGTTTGTTTGTTTCTTTGGTGCTGTCTATGTTTGTGTATGTGTTTGAATGAGAGACAGTGTGGTACTGTGTGTTTATACAGACAGCTTGTTATAGCCTCCCCCCTAAAATATAACACTGTATTGGAAAGCATCGTCAATGCACCGTGATGCACCGAGATATCGAATTGTACCGAATCGAAGGCATGATAATCATAACCGAACCGTGAGACCAGTATAGGTTCACATCTCTAACAGTCTCCCTCTGAACATCAGGATTTCTCCTTCATTGGATGCTTTTAAATCTAACTTAAAGACCTATTTTTGCTCTCTTGCCTTTAATGGACGCATGCATGCTATTTTTTTGTTGTATTTTAGTATTACTTTTATACACATATATTTCCTTGTATTTTTAATACCAGTTTTTAGTTTTATTGTCTAGTTTGTTTTATTGTAAATCACTTTGGATCAACTACGGTTGTGTAAAATTGGGCGGTTGTGTAAATTAAGTTTGCCTTGTCTTGCCTTTCTTCAGTGGAACACAAAATGAGATGTTTTGAAAAATGTTAAAAACTTGTAAACATTGACTTCCATAGTGTTTGTTTTTCCTACTTTGAAAGTGCCGGTTTCCAGCATTCTTCAAAACATCTTCTTTTTGTTCAAATGAAAAAAAAAGTCAAATGATTTTGGGACAAGTAAAGAGAGAGTAAATGATGACTGGATGACAAGTGCAACCCCAAAATGAAATATTCCAGAGTGTAGGAATACAATTTAACAGATTATTTTTGATGTGCCTCTGCAGTTTAAACACCATTCTGGGGTATTTACCCAAGCAGCGGCGCACAGGGCTTTTCTCCGCCACTCAGACGCAGGAGCTGGAGAAGCTGGTGAGAGCCGGTCTCAGAAACCCTGTGCGAATCACCGTGAAGGAGAAAGGGGTCGCGGCCTCCAGTGTGCAGAAAACCCCTGCCAAACTCAGCAACTACTACACCGTGAGTCATTTCTAATCAGCTGTAAATCAGAACCGCTGCGTTGATTATGGCTTAGAATTAGTATTGATCACTGTTGTGATCTCAGAAGCGAAAGAAGGATTCTGAGAACTTGCTATTGCTGCAGTTTCTGATCTACAGGTGTGAAAGCACCCTTATATACATTTCTAGGTGGTTTTGATATATGGAGTTGGAGACAAATCTAAACAAAGCATGCATATTGAACTGCAGGAATCAGCATAACAGAACCAATTGATTTTTTTCTTCTGGAGAAAGTATTATTTGTTTTATTTAGGCTAGAAAAGGTTATACAGTAGCCCCTTTCACACATACAGACCTTTCCGGAAAATTACCGGCAATTTTCCGGAAAGGTTGTATGTGTGAACAGGTCCTTTTGAAAATACCAGTAAATTCGTTCTGGCTATTTTCCGGAAAGAGAAGTTGTAACATTACCGGCAATTTGCCAGAATGCTGCGCTGTGTGAACGCAGAAGGAAGATTTCCGGAATAAGCGCGTGCACGTCTAGAACGAGCTGACGTGAGACGTCTGCTTTAGCCAATCACAACAGTCAGACGCATTCACGTCCGCGCGGTTTATGAGAATAAAAGCCTTTGAATATTTTTCCAGACACATTTAGCTGCTAGAAGTTAGTCAGATCACGTTTATATGTTCTTCTTAATGCCAACTGTGTAAATAATCATCGATGAGATGCTTATGATAAGCCGTTGTTTGTTTACCTTCAAGCTTTGCGTGTGGCTGTGAAACAGCCTGTGAGCGCCTGCACACGCACATATTATGAACATCTCGACATGCGAAAGTGATCCTGCGGAAGTTGTTCACAACACTGATCATCCACAGAGTTTGTAATTTAGTCAAATGTTTACAAATACAAGCGCAGCCGTTTAAAGCTCATTTGTGGTGAATGATGTCAGAATTTACCGGTATTTTGGAATGGATGTGTGAATGCTCTTTTCCGGAAAAATTCCGTAACGTCCTCGCCTGTGTGAACAGCGCTTTTTTGTATATACCGGTAAAGTCGTTCCGTAAATTTTCCGGATATTTACCGGTATCACTGTGTGAAAGGGGCTATTGACTTGCCTAATTTCCCTAACCTGCCTAATTATCCTAGTTAAGTCTTGTACACTGTTTAAATCGACTAGCCTTTTGGTATGTTTGGAATGAAAACATCCACTGAATTAAACTGCTGTAAAAATGCATCAGAAATGTATTTTTTTCAATATGTTTTTTGAATAAATCTGTTAATCAGCCGCTGTCGTGATTAAAACTATTAAATGTTAACTCTTTAATTGACAAGTTCACAAATTATATATATATATATATAATTTTTTTTTTTTTTTTTTTTCCAATATAAAAGGTAATCATAAACTTTTTTTTTTTTTTTTTTTCTTTTATCACAGTCTTGGACATGTGAATGATCAGTAACAACACTGGCTTTGATGCATTGTAAGATTTTGATTGTTTTTTTACCTAATTTTCTGTTGGTGGCTGTTTTTCCTCCATTGACTTCCATTATAAGCACATTTGATGGTGCATAAATACACAGTCTTTGTTTTTGTTTACTTTGTGTAGTTCTGAAAGCTGAGATGCTTATTTAGATTTTCTCAGACACACACAAGTGCTCAAAGGTCACTCTCACACACATATTTACACTTAAATTTGCTGTTATACTCCATATAAAATCCAAAAACTAAGTTGTTTTTTGCACAGGCCTATCTAAAGGGTTAATAGTGCCAATTGATGATCAACAGTAAAAATGACTAACCACCAACAATCAAACGGCAGGATGATGTGCTGTCATAGATTTGTAATACAAAATATATAAAAAGGGGTTATAATGGAAGTCAATGAGGCAAAAACAGCCACCAACAGTAAATTAGAGAGAAAAAAAATGAAAATTAATCAAAAACACTGCATCAAAGGCAATGATGTTTCACATGTCCAAGACTGTGATAAAAGGAAAAATAATCCACAATTACTTTTTATATTCAAAATACGTCATTTTGTGTGTGTTTTTTTCGTATAGGGGTCTGTATTGTTGACTGTTTAATGCATGTTCCTTGTCTCATTATTATCACTTCTCTGCTATAGTCCTCCAGTTAGTCTGTTGTTTACTTGTGCTTTTTCTTCATTATGTGCAGATGTGTCGAGCAGAGGAGAAGTTCAACACTTTGGTGGCCTTTCTCAGGCAGCACAAGCATGAGAAACAGCTGGTTTTCTTCAGGTGTGTTAGACTGAGTCTTCCACATACACTCAGACTACACTCAAACACTTGCACTCAAACCTTTGCCCAGGATGACGGGGTTAAAGCCCCTACACACAGAGAGTCAGAACCTCGGTTTAACGTCTCATATGAAAGACGGCACTCACTGAGCAGAATAGAGTCCCATTAATATACTGGGGCATTAGGACTCACACAGACCACAGGTTGAGCTCCCCCTGCTGGTCTCACTTGTGGCAACAACCTAGCTTTCCCCAATGACTGTAAAAAATATGGACGACGCGACAGCCCCTTTTCCCATTGAACGCCTTGAGGGCAAAACGCCTGCTTGACGGGCACAAACTGTCGCAAAAGACTGCTGAAATTGGAGCCTTGACATGCGCAGAAGGACTGTCTGATGGAGCCAGAGGAGGAGCCGCGAAAATGAGTCGAGCTTCCAACCAAACGCTTTATGTAAAATCAACCACGCCCCCCGAACTTCTCAGCATGCGTTTGCTGTCATATCAACACAAATGGATGTAATAACGTTGACAAATATGAGGGTTTTATATATTCAATCGTGCCAGCTCCGGACCGCAGCGTATAACCTACTCGCGGCGTCGCGGGCTAATTCCGGCATGCATGCGGCAGCGCCGGCTCGCTCGGCCGCCGCATCTGGCTCGATTGACTCGGGCTGGAATCAGGCAGTGAGTCCAGGCATCCGGAGTAGGTCCAGCAGAGGGAGTCAGTCTGAGCTCTGAGGGGTAAGTCTCCGGCAGGTGAGAATCTAGCCGGAACTGGCCCGAGTGTGTTTTGCTATCTGGGTGGCTAGGCGTGTATCAGCAAACTAATAAAGCCCGAAAAAAGCCCTGACCTTAGAGAATAAACAGTGTTTCACCAGGATCATGTATGTCAGAAACTGTAGTTTACTGCAGAACTCATTTTGTCATGGTAAAACAACACAGAAATCGAATAATAACACTTCAGTCTCCTGCCGAAGCTCAGACGTGCTGCTTTGGGAAACTGTCAATCACAGCTGTCAATCACGATGACACGCCCAGCATTAAATTACTGCTAAAAACAAACTGTTTACAAAAATGAAGATCTGCACCTATTTCAGCACAATAACCAGTGCCTTAATTGACCAGAACCATCTTTCGGGACATTTTATTGCAAGTGTAATCATTTTTTTTATTTGGGCTCAAGTCTCCTTCATTAACACGGAGGAGGCGGGCTTTATGACTTGTACTGCAGCCAGCCCCCAGGGGGCGATCTAACGGCCGAGACCTTCACTGAAACGCAGGCTTGCGGCACACTTGGCTTTCCCATGTAGTCTCCCATCCAGGTACTGACCGGGCGCAGCCCTGCGTAGCTTCAGTGGGCGACCTTGTGAGAGTTGCAGAAAGCTAGCTGCCGGCAAATATTAATTATATATAAATTATATTATTATTTAATTATTAAATTGAAATTGTAATTCTTTTTTAACATGTTAAGCATAGTAGTTTTAGTAACTTTTTCATAATAACTCGTTTTTGCCATGCCATTACATAATATTTTACTAGTGCAGTTTTAGATAGGCAAGTTAGGTTAATTAGGCAAGTCATTGGTCGACAATGATTTGTTTTGTAGGTAGTCAAAATAATTAAATCTTAAGGAGGCTAATAATTTAGATTTATAATAATTAAATAAAAACTAACAACTGCTTTTATTTCGGCGAGAAAAAATGACAAACAAATATGTTAGAAAATATTGAGAATCATTCTGTGAAACATCTCTTGGGAACTAAAAAATTAATAAATAAATACTGGACGTGTCTGTCACCTGTGCTCATTTTAACGTTTTCTTACTGAATAGGAGCATCTCTCTTTGTTTTTTTTTTTTTAAATGTTTTCTTTAACCCGCAGCACCTGTGCCTGTGTGGAATATTTCGGAAAAGCCCTGGAAGTCCTGGTCAAGAACGTCAGCATCCACTGCATTCATGGAAAGATGAAGCATAAACGCAACAAGATTTTTGCCGATTTCAGGGCTCTGAAGAGGTGAGGGCACTGCATCATTTAGCCTTTATAGCTAATTACAGAGAAAGCTATTTTAATTTAATTCATATTTGCAATACTATTAAACAACAACTCCATTTATCAAAATACAGTGGGATTCTGGTGTGCACAGACGTCATGGCGAGAGGCATCGACATACCCGAAGTCAACTGGGTGCTTCAGTATGACCCGCCAAGCAGTGCAAGGTAACAGTGACATTAGATTTAATGCAAAAAAAGGTTCAATTCTCATTTATAAATCATAAAAATAAAGGTAACACTTTTCTTGAAGGGCTGTTCATAAGACTTTCATGACACCTTTATAATCTTGACGATACATCATGAATGTAAAGGTGATTGTATGAATGCTTTTGACAACTGTCATTAGCTCCGTTACGCTATTTTAAATGCTAAGGTGACACCTTTATAATGATGACATGACACATTGTAACTGAATGCATGCTCAGTTATGTCATTTTAAATGCAATGGTGACGTTGTTTTGTGACAGATGTCTTTATGACAACTTGACATTACCAAGACTACATAACTTGTCATAAATCTGTCTTTAAATTGTGTTGAAGCAGTAACGCTTAACTTGAAGGGGTGTTCATAAGACTGTCATGACACCCTTATAATCATGACGACACATCATAAATGTAAAGTAGATTGTATGAATGCTTATGACAACTGACATTAGCTCCGTTATGCTATTTTAAATACTAAGGTGGCGTTGTTTTGTGACAGATGTCTTTATGACAACTTGCCATTACCAAGACTACATAACTTGTCATAAATATGTTATTAAATTGTGTTGAAGCTGTAACGCTTTACTTGAAGGGGTGTTCATAAGACTGTCATGACACCTTTATAATGATGCCATAACATCTCTTGAATATGAAGGAGATTGTATGCATGCTTATGACAACTGTCATAGGCTTAGATAGTTCATTTTATATGCAAAGGTGACATTGTTTTGTGACAGATGTTTTTGACAACCTGACATTACCAAGACTACATAACTTGTCATAAATATGTTATTAAATTGTGTTGAAGCAGTAACGCTTTACTTGAAAGGGTGTTCATAGGGCTGTTATGACACTTTTATAATCATGACATGACACATTTAGGAAAGAGATTTTACGCATGCTTATGACCGTCATGAAAGTGTCATTGGCTCAGTTATGTCATTTTAAACACAAAGGTGACATTGATTGAGATGTCTTTGTTATAAGAACTTGACATAAACAAATACATCATAACCTGTCTTTGCCATGACAACTTGACATTACCAAGACAACATAACTTATGACAGCATAAATCTGCCATAAACATGATTGTCGTTATTTTTGTCATGAATATGTTATAATAGCTTTTTTTTCCAGTGGAACAAACTAAATTTGTTTTTAAAATTTATCAATAAAAGTGTCATTACTCTGTCAGATTAATTTATAACAGCGTCATTAGTAATCAGTGACATTTAATGACATTTTATTGACACATTCAATTTGTACAAGAAAAATGTTAATGATGCTGTTATAAAATTCATGACTAAATTACAATGGCTTTATGGCCATCATGTTTATGACAGAGTTATGACAAGATGTGCTGTTTTGGTAATGTCAAGATGTCATTGCAAAGATATCTCAGACAGCATCACCTTTGCATTTAAAATGACGTAACTGAGCAAATGACACTTAATGACATGTCATAAGCATGCATAAAATCTCATTCATATTTATAAGGCGTCATGTCATGATTATAAAGATTTCATGACAGTCTTATGAACACACATTGAAATAGTGTTACAGCTTCAACACAGTTTAAAAGGTGCCATACTGTTTGTATGTTTTGTGCGTAATGAATGAAAGGTAATCAAGTGAAATTCTCCATCCATTAGTTCCTTTGTGCATCGCTGTGGACGAACTGCACGTATTGGAAACCAAGGAAATGCGCTTGTCTTTCTTCTGCCAATGGAAGAGTCATATGTCAATTTCTTGTCCATTAATCAAAAGGTAAGTCAGAGAAAAACTTTCACATTTTCAAAACTTTCATATACAAATGATCAGTGAAGACTGAGTGTTATCACACTCAAAATAGGCTACAGAATTAAAGGTGCCATAAAATGAAAATCTGGATATACCAAGGCATAGCTGAATAGTAAGAGTCCAGTACATGGAAATGACATACCGTGAGCCTCAAATACCATTGTTTCCTCATTCTCATGTCCTGCAAGTATAAAATGCTAAACCCATACTCTTATTCCTGATTCACACGGGCCGTCAATGTCAATGCTTCCCATTTACTTTAAACGGCTGACATCAAGTGTTGCCAAACTGAATTGTAGATCCATCGGCGACGATTCAGCAGCATTGCTCGCTGCAGAAGTTAGGAATTTCTCAACTTTTCAAGCAGCAACTATACTATGTACATATCAAAGAACAATATAACAATTTCCCTAACATTTCAGCCCGCAACCCCCAAAATAACTATGCCAGTGACTCACGAGTCTCAGTATCCTCTGAGGTGGTTATAAATCTATAACCCTGGATAAAAATACCAATTGACCCAAGTCTATTAATCGTTTAATTTAGAAAAACGGCACTCAGAGACCTCCATGTTCAGTCATGGCCTGTATTTATTTTTAATGTACGCAGGTGCTGTAAAGGTGTCCGAAATTTTAACCTGGTAACAAAATCAATGTGCTGCATGTGATGTTATTGCTGTGTCTTATAGTAATATAGTGTAATCACCCTAGGGGACGCCAAATAATCAAAAAGCTAATTGGTTATGTTGTTTTTTTAATGTAACTATTATTAAAGGGCCATGAAACCCCCTCGTTTCAGCAGGGTGTTTTCACACCTCTACTTTGGAAAAAGTCAGAAAAGTGGGCGTGTCCAGCTCTGTTTAGGGGGGAGTGTCGGAGGAACTAAAGAGGGATGGTGTGGGAGTGTCTATTTGCTGAGTTTCAGAGTCAAAACACACACAGGGGACAATGTGACTGTGTTTACATGGACATCTGTAGTCGAATTATTTGCCAAATTATTAAATGGTGGACTTTAACTGCAGTTTGGCTCTTTCATTCAGGGAATTCATTCATGCCCCTCGCGACAAACAAGATATTTGATTCGAGGATCTGCTCTAAGCGTGTATTTTTCATGCAATGTTTGATACCGCACGGCGAATGAGAGAAAAAAAAACCCTCAGCATTTCCCGGAAACTTGGATGCACACAGCAGGTAGCATCAGAAAGCCGCGTGTGTTATTCTGGTCACAAAATGCGGCGAGGTTACACGAGGTTACACTTTAGTTGTGGTGCTAACATGTTTACACTCGGTTTAATAGTTAGTTCGATAAGAACAAACTGAATAAACAAAGAGCACTGGTCGCTCACTTACCAAATCTTTAGAGACAGGACAATCACCAGCAACTAGAGCCGCATCTTTATTAAGAGAAGACTACAAGCCAATCCGGATCTCAGCGATTGCAGATGAGAACAGCTCTCAGGTAAACAATGTTCCTCCTTAGACACTTAAGTTATTGTTGTCGCGTACACTGTTAATCGACACGTGACTCTGAGCTCTCACAGAGAGAAAATGAAAACAAAACTTAACTGCAGCAAACTATAAAAGCAACACTTCACGCTTGTTTTGCCAACACAACGTGGTGTGTCTCATCTAAACACTGTGACAGTAATGAATATTAATGAAGTTGCACAATAGAGCGCGCTGATTGGTTTGAACCAAGCCTTACTCATGCATTAATGCAGCACACTCGGAGACATAATAAGACCCACTCTGGCACAGACGCCCAGTCTGCACGCTGGAATACATGCTATTATCTCATGGCCGTGACGCAGCTTCAAAAATTCGTTCAATCCGGATGTACGAATTTGCTTGAAATAACGCAAAAACAATCAATTTACACTTTTTAGTGAGATATAGGTGTCTTAATAGTGTTTTTAGCAGTCTGGGACACATATACGACTGTCAACAGCTCAAAAATGTGTTTTGGTGTTTCGTGACCCTTTAACTACTATTTTTGCTTCTGTAGGTTATGGATGAAATATGGTAATTCTAATAGTTTAAAAAAATCTATTAGATTTCATACAAACCCCCCCAGTGATTGTATGAAAACATATTACTATCCATTGTATATCATTTAGGTTCATGCATCTTTCTGGTTGTTTGTGCAGCTTCATACCCTGTTTGTCTTAATATTCTCTTTTCTTATTATAAATGTTTGACGTTAAGGTGCTAAGTGCTTGTACTTTGTCCCTCAGTGTCCCCTTCAGTCGTTTTCCTCAGTGAAAGATGTGGTTGATGTTCTGCCGAAATTGAAGGCGATGGCTTTAGGCGACCGAGCGATGTTTGAGAAGGGCATGAGAGCCTTTGTGTCGTATGTGCAGGCGTACGCCAAACATGAGTGCAGTCTGATATTTCGCATTAAAGGTGAGTGAGTTTACTTGACCACGGTGGCCGAGAGCTAAAGGCCGTAGCCAGAGACTCTGTAACGTAATAGCAGAGATGAAGCTAAAAATGCGTCCAAACACTGCTGTTTCCACAGAGCAGCTCAGTGCTGGATTCGGTTAAATTCTCCTCAAAGCAGAAGCTGTGAACTACAACCTGTAGATGTTTTTATTTGTTAAAATTGATCATGACATGTACAGTGTCTAGCGCTAACGGTATGCTGCAGCAATGATGTAAACAATGGGAAATGCTGCTTTGCACCGCTAATGATTGAGCTACAAATTCATATTTATCAGTCAAACTGCTGTAAACACACACACACACACACTTCAACAGCAGTGCAGTGTCTCTCTATGTGTGTGCGCGACTGCATTGTTTCTCTTTACATCTCAGATAATGAAGTCGCAAAAGATATGTGGATGATTTATATCACTTACACCTGCATATTCCGGATATATGTGAAAGATGTCGTGTAACGCGTTGAGTTTAAAAAATACAGGAGAGCTCACCTAACTGGTGGTAGCAGCAGACAAATAAATCAAGGCACACACAGGTCGCATCCCACATCTTGTGCTTTATTCTTCTGTCACGATATCTTACAGAAAATAACGTAATCCGAGCATCAGAGAAAAAGAAAGTCCCGCGCAGATGCACTTGTTACAGAAAGCTCACACATTCACGCACACACATAGACACACGCAATAGCGATGTCTCTTATGGCCCGTTTCTACTGAGTGGTACGGTTCGGTTTGGTACACTTTTATGGCCGTTTCCACTGTCAATAAGCGTACCGAACCAAACCGTACAACTTTTTCAGCACCCTTTCAAAAGGGTCCCAAAAACGAGAAAGAGTACCAAAAGGTGGAGCTACACGCGCAGCCGAACGCTGACTGGTTACGTCACGAGCTCGTGGAGCTAGACAGAATGTAAACAAAGGATCCGCCATGTTCTAATACACAGCCGAGAGATTACATGGATATACTATATGCATATAATAACCAGCCATGGATGACCCGGGCTCAAACAAACCTTGTCGTCGTCTTGATGAACAGACACAATGCAAAGAAGAACAAAATCTGCCGTGTGCTGTTGTTGTGAGCCCGTCTAAAAGTGCGAGCGGTATTTGCTTTCTTCCTGGACCGCGCGATCGCGTCTATATTTGATATAACAAACTTCTTGAGCTGATAATAATAACGTGTAATATGTGATTGTTGAAGTGTCTCCGTCATCTGATCCATTCAGAAAGAAAAGACAAGCGCGAGAGTAAAGCGCGGGGAAAAAAAAGGAGAAACCCGGCAAAACACAGGAGCAAAAGTGTTTAACAACCTGAATCATGAACAAACTGCCATGATTATCTTCGCCTTTTGGACTATTATCAACTGGGAATGACAAAATAACTCTCTAACAGAGTTTGCATGTGCTGCTGAAGATTACAGACACAGATGAGAGGTTTGCGCTGACTGCGGGCTCTGTTGCGTGTGTTTTTGAACCCAAATAAATACTAAATGTATGATGCGTGTAGTTTTACTGTAATTAATAATATATCGGAGACTGTAAGGGGCTGTATGTGTTCATATATGTTGCATTTATGTATTTATTTTATATAATTACAGACGTTACAGTAGCTTATTTCGCACTGTCATTGATCTGCAGTTTTAATCAATTCTTGTTCATAGAAAAGTCAGTAATAAACATTTATACACAAGTATTTATGTGTATAAAGCATCTGTTTTGTGAGAAGTGCTTCTCATATGATATGTAAACAACCCGTACAGCTTTACTGTAGACATTTATTCGAGCGAGCATGACGTCGACATAAACTTTATGTCGTACAACACGCCCACCAAAAGGGTACCCTTTGTGGTGGAAACACAAGACCCGTACCAACCCGAACCGTACTGTACCGTACTGTACTGTACCAGTCAGTGGAAACGAGCCATTAAAGGAGCTGCACCCCATTTTGAGTGACTGTTGTGACTGACTGTTTACACAGCAGAAAAGCGCGTGCTTGTACGGGCATGACGCGGAGCCGAATCGCACCACATCATGACGATGACCAATCAGAGTCACTTGAGGTCAGGCCTTTCAGAGGAACTAGGAAATATATCAGTCGTTTTCATGTTAGCTGAGTAGCTGTACATAATCAAAGTGAGATTTATGAAAAAAATAACACGATTTCCTTCAAGTGAAACATGAGCACACATTGCTTTGCATCTTATAAACACAACCAAGCCTTAAATTTACATTCTGGACCACCCCTTTAAAGTGCTGTTGCTTGTAATGTCTTATTGCTCATCATCAAAAATTAAAATAACAACGTATGACAGCTGAGGGGAGTTCGAGGGACTCAAATAAAACAAACCCTGAAACTCTGCCCATTGTGAGGAGAGTTTACTCGCACGTGACTAGTTTTAGCTGTTTTGGTCTGTTTAGAAACTTTCAACCCAAGCTCATTCTGGAAACGTAGCCCCGCGGACGTTTCTGGAGACCGCGATTTACGTGGCTGGAGGTACGTAAGGCCGCGTTTAGTTTTTTTCGAGCGAACGCTGCGGGGCGGTGTGGCGCCGCTCCGCCCCTCCTCTTCACGCTCGCCGGCCGACAGCTCGCCTCCGAGTGGAGGGCTTTCCCGATGCAATCAGTTTGTCTGCTTAGCTCACAGCATTGCGTCGGCGGAGCGGAGGCCCCAGAGGAGGAGCCGGCCGTGTTGGACGACGACCGGGATCGAGTCCGGGGAACAGCAGGTTCCGAAAATCAGGTAAGACGAAAAACGGAATCCGAAAAATAAGGGCGAGAACGCGGCGGGATCCGAAAACGCGGTCGAAATCGAAGACGAGGGCTTTTGCTTTTTTTTTTTTTCTGGACGGCTTTTGCGAACCGTCGCTCGGGTTTAGGGAAGGAGGAGGAGGAAGAGGAGGGCGGCCGAGTCGCCCGATCCGGCGGCTTTTCACGCAAGAACGGCGCGGTCGCGAACGTCGCGCGCTCTCGAGAGGCGCCCGAGACGCAAAAAAGCGCGCACAGCTGCCTCTCGCGAATCCGCGAAAACAAAAACCGCTCGAATACGTAAATCGCGGTCCGCAGAAACGTCCGCGGGGCTACGTTTCCACAATGAGCCCGGGTTGGAAACTTTGCAGTGTGTAAGCGAACCGCACCAAGAACAAAAATAAACATTGTACGATTTTAATCCCTGTTTCGGAACAAAAGAATTGATCTACAGGTGTGAAAAGCTCTCTCGGCTCTCTTTTAGGCTCTCTCGGCTACCCTAAACAACACATTTCATAAGATTCATTGCTAACATTTCTCATCTAAATATCTTGATGGTTTCTTTTTTACAGACCTAGATTTCGCCGCTCTGGCTCGTGGCTTTGCTCTTGTCCGATTACCCAAAATGCCTGAATTAAGAGGAAAGACCTTCCCAGACTTTAAAGCGGAGGCCATTGACACAGACACCATCCGCTTTAAAGATAAAAACAGGGAGAAACAAAGACAAAAGTGGCTGGCGGAGCAGAAAGAGAAAGAGGTGCCGCTGAGGAAGAACTTCATCAAGAACAAAGCCTGGTCCAAGCAGAAGATCAAGAAGGATAGGAAGAAGAAGAGGGCTTCCAAAAGAAAGCTAGATCAGGTTTGCTACTTACTATATTGCTCGATCACAGTTTTTTGTACACACACTGGCTGTCAGAAATTAATTCAATTCAATTAAATTCAATTAAACTGTTTATTGTCATGTGCACAGTAAGGAAACACGTTTCCCTGTACAATGAGATTCTTACTTTGCCGTCCACAGTGAAGTCATACACACAACATACACATATATACACAGAAGTGACTGAAGTATGATTATAAAATGTAAGTATATAAATATCTATAAAAGTAAACAATATATAAAACTGATTTAAGTAATGAAACATGTAAACAATGTACAGTGGTTCTTAAATTGTCCATATAATGCAAAAAGTGCCTAGTGCAATTGGCTTATGTGCCAAAAAAAATAGTGCAAACTGGGATGGAGAATGTAGTGTTGTACTGAGCAGAAAAAGAGACTGTTATGTGCATTGGTTATCTGTTTAGAAGTCTGATAGCTGATGGGAAGAGAGTTCTTGAGTCTAGAAAGAGTTCTTGAGTCTATTAGAAATTAGAAAGATAGGTCAGAAATACTAATTCATTCATTCAGAAAATTGATTATTATCAGTGCTGTAAATCAGTTTATGTACTTCATATTTTTATGAAAACTGTCATACACTACCATATAAAAAAAGCTTGTTTTCTTCTTTTTTTTTATTCAAAGAGAGTAAAACTATTATATATATATATATATATATATATATATGTATATATATATATTTAATACAATTTTATTATAAAACATGTATAATTTCTTAAAGGAAATGTAACAAGCTCATTTTTCCCAATCTCATATTCTGATTCAGAAACTGAACATCTGGAGGTGTGCTGTGGGCAGAGCTACTGACAATCTTTATCAAAACAGGATTAAAAACAGTACATTTAATTAGGGCCAGACAATAATTCGATATCAGTCTATATCGTGATAGATGTTTTTTCAATAACGGTGATATGATTTTTAAACCCGTTTCCGATATTTCGATATACATTTGCATATTTATTTTATTATTTATACAATTGAAGTCAGAATTATTAGCCCCCCTGAATTATTTTTTTCCCCGGTTTATGTTTAACGGAGAGAAGATTTTTTTTCAACATGCAGTTGAAGTCAGAATTATTCACCCCCTGTGAATTATTTTGCTTTTTTAAATATTTTCTAAATGATGTTTAACAGAGCAAGGACATTTTCACAGTATGTCTGATAATATTTTTTCTTCTGGAGAAAGTCTTATTTGTTTTATTTCGGCTAGAATAAAAGTGGTTTTTAATTTTTTAAACACCATTTTAAGGTCAACATTATTAGCCCCTTTAAGCTATATTTTATTTTCGACTGTCTACAGAACAAACCATCGTTATACAATAACTTGCCTCATTACCATAACCTGCCTTGTTAACCTAATTAACCTAGAAGTGTCTTGAAAAATTTCTAGTCAAATATTATTTACTGTCATCATGGCAAAGATAAAATAAATCAGATATAAGAAATTAGTTATTAAAACTATTATGTTTAGAAATGTGTTGGAAAAATCTGCTCTTTGGGGAAAAAATTGGGTGGAAAAATTATTCAGGGGGGCTAATAATTCTGACTTCAACTGTATGTCTAAACATAATAGTTTTAATAACTCATTTCTTTTCACAGCCAGCCCTACTTTTACATATATATTTCTTTGAAATAAATGCATAATAACATAATTATTACAAACCCTTTTTACCGCAATGGTATACAAACCTGGGATACTCTGTAAAATGTCAATGCTAATCTTCACAGGATTCGGACGCTGCAGAGGAAGACTTAAACGAGCTTATGAATGACACCCGTCTGCTGAAGAAACTGAAGAAAGGGAAAATCACCGAGGAGGACTTCGACAAGCACATGAGTTCAACGGACAAACACAAACCAGCAGGAATAGACAGTTCTGATGGAGACTGAGAAAGAGACGTCATGTGTGAGACTTCATGCTGTCGTTTCACTTCGATATGCTGTATCAGCAGTGTTACTTCCTTTCTGATTGACTTTCTCTGGGATGTACGAAGTCCATGCGTTCATCACCAATGTGCTTTTGTACTAACAATATTATACACAGTACGTCACTTGTAATTAGAAATGTATAATGCTGTCAAATCATCTCTGCAGGACTGTGTGATTTATACTTTTTCATTAAGAATAATGTTGAGATGAATTGCGCTGAAAATAAAGCAAATGTAATATGACTCCCATTTAAATTCCCAAAGGAGAGTGCTTTCATTTAACACATATAAAAAAGTTCTGTATGTATGTGTAATTGATTATGAATACAGAAATTCACTGTGCCATAGTATTTATATTCTACTACCGGTATATAAAATGAATTGGTCACACTTTACAATAAGGTTCATTAGTTAATGCATTTACTAACATGAACTAATCATGAACAACACATGTACAGCATTTATTAATCATAATTGAACATTTACTAATGCATTAATAACATCCAAGTCCATGCTAGTTAACATTAGCTAATGCACCATGAGTTAACATGAACTAACAATGAACAACTGTATTTTCATTAATTAACGTTAACTAACATGAGCAAATACAGTAGTAAATATATTGTTCATGTTAGTAAATGCATTAATTAACATTAACTAGCGAACCTTATTGTAAAGTGTGACCAGTAAATTAAATGTTTTAATGTTTTTGATGCCACTGATCATGAAATATGATCATTCTAAAATGTAAACGACTTCAACTGTAAACGAATGTAAACGACTGAAGACCAACTAAACTTCTCTGACCACATTTCTAGAACTGCTCGATCTCGCAGATTCGCACTCTACAACATCAGAAAGGTCCGACCCTTCCTATCTGAACAACTCCTTGTTCAAGCTCTTGTTCTCTCCAAACTGGATTACTGCATCTCTCTACTAGCCGGGCTCCCAGCAAACTCTATCAAACCTCTTCAGCTGCTTCAGAACGCAGCAGCACGAGTGGTCTTTAATGAACCTAAAAGAGCACATGTCACTCCGCTGCTCATCCATTTGCACTGGCTGCCAGTTGCTGCTCGCATCAAATTCAAAGCTCTGATGTTTGCTTACAAAGCAACTTCTGGTTTTGCTCCTTCTTATCTGCTCTCACTTCTGCAGATGTATGTGCCCTCCAGAAACTTACGCTCTGTGAATGAACGTCGCCTCGTGGTTCCATCCCAAAGAGGGAAGAAAACGCTTTCCCGAACTCTCGCATTCAATCTGCCCAGTTGGTGGAATGAACTCCCTAACTACATCAGAACGGCAGAGTCACTCGCTGTCTTCAAGAAACGACTAAAAACTCAACTATTTAGTCTCCACTTTCCTTACTAATATGCAACTTCCTCTCTGACTCCTCCACTAACTACACAAAAAAAAAAAATTAATAACGCTTTCCTTCTTACACTTTACACACCTGAAACTTGCCTACAGCACTTATTCATTGTTGCTCTTATAGTTGTGTAAATTTCTTCCTTGTCCTCATTTGTAAGTCGCTTTGGATAAAAGCATCTGCTAAATGTAAATGTAAAATACATCTAAATACTTACCTGTAAAATACACCTACACTACCTGACAAAAGTCTTGTTGATGACTGTTTCATTTATCCCTCTGAACAGGTTAAGAGTCTGGGTGTCATCCTTGATAGCATGCTATTTTTTGATTCTCACATCAATAACATCACCCGGTCTGCTTACTTCATACGCAACATTTCCCGTCTCCTCCTTCTCTTACCCCTCACGCTACAGCTGTTCTCGTCCATAGCCTTGTCACGTCTCGTTTCACGTCTCGTTCCCTTTAGTCTCACTCTTACATCCCTCCATAAGCTTCAGTTGTCCCAGAACTCAGCTGCCTGTATCATCACCAGAACCCCTTCTTCTCATCACATCACCCCTGTCCTGCAGCAGCTTCATTGGTGACCTGTTTATTTTCGAATTGATTTAAAAATTTCGATGTTAACACTCAAAACCATCCACAATCTCGCCCTTCTATATTTGTCTGCCCTCATCCACGTTCCTGTTCCTTCTCACAACCTGCAATCTTCTTCCTCTCTCTGCTCGTCTATGGGCAACAGAGCATTCAGCTGCTCTTCTTCCCGGCTTTGGAACTCACTACCACCTGCCACTAGAAGCATTGACTCCCTCACACTATTCAAATCAAGACTCAAAACCCACTTATTTAAGATGGCTGTTAATATTTAATTTTATCTGGTCCATTCCTGTGTATATTTTTATTATTTCTCGTTGTTTTATTGCTCTTGATTTATTGTACGGTGTCATTGAGTTGCCAGAAAGGTGCCTTTAAATAAAATGTATTGTTATTATTATTGCCTATTCAAGTTTTAGGTAGAACAAAAGAATAACTTGACTTCTAGTTGATCATTTGGTATCAGAAGTGGCTTATATGAAAGGCAAAGGCCTCTAGATTACACTTATTTTATCAGAATATAACATGATCATGCCTTGATTTTTAATGATTTCATTAGGACAGTAAGGTCTGACTTTGCTTAGACTAAAGTCTCATCACTGAACAGAAATAATGTCCAGTATAGAATATAAAGTCCTGCTGCAGTGGAGACAGAATGAATATTGTGTCTGACTCCATCATGAGCTTGGAGGACTGCATCCATACATCTCTGCAATGACTCACTGATTAATAAAGTCATCTGGAATGGCAAAGAAAGCGTTCCTGCACGACTCCCAGAGTTCATCAGGATCCTTTGGATTCATCTTCAATGCCTCTTCCTTCATCTTACCCCAGACATGCTTAATAATGTTCATGTCTAGTGACTGGGCTGGCCAATCCTGGAGCACCTTGACCTTCTTTGCTTTCAGGAGATTTGATGTGGAGGCTGAAGTATGAAAAGGAGCGCTATCCTGCTGAAGTATTCGCCCTCTCTTTGGTTTGTAATGTAATGGGCTGCACAAATGTCTTGATACCCCAGGCTGTTGATGTTGCCATCCACTCTGCAGATCTCTCACACGCCTCCATACTGAATGTAACTCCAAACCATGATTTTTCCTTCACCAAACTTGACTGATTTTTGTGAGAATCTTGGGTCCATGCAGGCTCCTGTAGGTCTTCTGCAGTATTTGTGATGATTGGTAGACTATGCAGGTAAAAACAAATCCAGTCCTCAATTACTTTTATTTTGAAAATACGTAATTTTGTGTGTGTTTTTTCACCAAATCAGTGACATCATTTATGAATTTGACAATTAAATAGGTAAAATCCTGTATTTTTCTTAGCAGATTAGTAGTTTTGATCAGGACTGAGGTTGATTAACAACATTTATAAAATAAATTATTTATCTGATGCATTTTTACAAGTTTAATTCGGTGGATGTTTCCATCCCTATAACAAAAAGGTAGTAATTTGCCCAGAGAGTATCGTTGAGTTTTTTTTTTTCATTATTATTATTTCAAAGCATTTTCTTAAAATATGTGTCAAAATAAGATTTGTAACCAAAGATCATTCTGCTAGCTGAAACAGAGAGAGCTGTGGCCAAATTAAGCCTCAAAATCGCGACAGAGTGGATGAAAACATCCCCAACTCGACACAACGGTTAAGTTCGTTCCGGAAATGTTCAAAGCATGGAGGAGAGTCTTCCTGCATACAGCAGTGTTTGTAATATTTAGCAATTAGGAAAACAATATTCACAATGTCTGATAATGACTTGTCTGAACCATAAACATAAAGCAGAATACATCGGGAGATGTGTCTTTTACAGTGACACTGAACGACACGCATGACTCCCAGGTTCCCGTTTAAAGTCTTTCCGGAGTGCTCGCTCTGCGCATGCGCATCAATTAATCCTGCTCAGCTCCATCATGGCGGCGAGGGGCCATGTGCAAGACCCTAACGACAGGAGGCTACGACCTATCTACGGTAAGATAAAAACCGCACCGTGGGGCTGATGGAGACCCTGCTGGTCTCGCTAGTGTTGCAAGACCGACCAGTGCGTTGTTGTGTTTATCAAATGGCTGCAGGAGCTGTGGAGAGCCGGTGAGGCCTGTGGAGCTGAAGCCGCGGTCTCAGTTCGGCTGCGGTGCCCTATGACAGTGCGTCTTTATGCGGTCACAGTCTGACCCTTATATCGATGCAAAACACCTTTGCGTTTAGCCCCTTTATCACAGAAATGCGCTTTAAATATCCGGACATAAGTGACAATGTCATCTGATGATCCAGCTCCTAACCTGTGAGAGATGTCAAAGAGATTAACTGCCACATATGAGCCTTTTGTGCTTTAATATTTCATGTTCTTTCTGTGTTGTTATGCTTGTAGACTGCGAGACTTGTGCTTTGCATGCCTTTAGATATGTTTAGGTTAGTATAACCTTTGTAATTATGTTACAGATTCATAAAGCTGCACTTTATGTCTAAATGAGCTGAGATGAACCTGCTGATTCTGTACTAGAGCTTATTTTTAAGCCTCTTTGTGAACTATGCCGTCTAAATTTGGGATATGTTCTCAATATGAGTGCTGAAAGGCCATTTTAATAACTTTTTAAATGCTTCAAATCTTAGTCTTAACATTGCCTAGAGTTACACCACTGATATTTGATTGAGGTAAAGTTGGTTTTATATTCGCACATTCATTCAGTGACAACTTGTGACCTATATTGTTTACCATGATACTTTAAATATTAGGTCTGAAATCACATGCAAGTAGGACTTCAAAACAACATTAGCACTATTTATTTGACTGTGAATCATTTTGTATTTAGATAATATGATTTTTACTATTTAGAATAAGCAAACAATGCTTTTCTGAAATTATATTATTGAAGAGAACGTCTGAATGTGTGAATATAAAATTAACTTTACCTCATTTGATATGTTTAACTAGACCTGTCACAATAATCCTTATATCGATTTATCGCACAACACGTGGACATGACCTCAATCGATTTTGGTGATGCAATATATATCGGCCATACATAAAAACCAATTCTAGCCACATTTTAGCTGGTTGCACAACCTCTCTATCTCTATCGGAGGTGTCAGAGTCAATATGGATAAAAAAAGCACTATAGTATTTGCTATAAATTACTATAGTACGCTTTCATGTGGGTGCCTGATGACTGAAAATAGATCGGTTACTTTTTTCTAGTTCTTTTTACCTTGGACATTTTTAACATCTATTATTATTATCATTATTATTATTATTATTACTATTTATTTGTTTAGGATATCCATTTTCACAATCGGATTTCAATGCCTCATTATGTAATTGTTAAAATGACTATAATTAAATGAAATATTATAAAGGATGAAATATGATGTGTTATTTGGAAAAGCGTACTTGCATTATGACACTATTAACGCCCATTTCCGGTCTGATCAACTAAATCCTTTCAGAGGTGCACCCAGTTCATCAACTCCTCTAGAAACTATACCTGGATGATGAAGGCTTTCAGCGGTGATTCAAACTGAGCCGAGCCCAGTTTGATGAGCTGTTGTCCGTTGTCGGATAGAGGATTTCTCTTCATGACACCAACAACAGGCGCTACATCATAATCACGCCCCTACAAGAGCAAGCTCCTGATTGGTTAACGTGGTGCAAATGTCAGCTGAAGTTAAAATGTTCCAGCTTGACCAGATTGTTGAACGCACTAAAAGCTCAACTCGTGCGTAGTCACGTCATTTGCGTCGCCTTATTCGCGCAAAAACTTGCCGCAGGATGTCTATTCTCGTCTTAGCAGTGACTTAACATGTAAATCATCCGCATCTGGAGGGAACGCAGCATTAGAGGCTGGCTATATTTACACTCTGGGGCCACTTGTCTGTGTTTAAATCTTTTTATAGAAGTTATTTTTGCATAATATATCTTCTTCAAATTAAATTATATCTACGTTCCTACACTCACCTATTGTCATGAGCTTTGCGTCATGACTGAAAGGACAAGATCTTGGATACAAGCGGCCAAAATGAGTTTCCTTCGTGGGGTTCACCTTAATGGATAAGGTGAGGAGCTCTGTCACTCGGTAGGAGCTTGGAGTAGAGCCGCTGCGCCTCACATCGATAGATGTCAGCTGAGGTGGCTTTGGCATTTGTTTTGGATGCCTCCTGAACGCCTACCTAGGGAGCTGTTCTAGGCATGTCCCAAATGGAGGAGGCCTCGGGGAAGACCCAGGACACGGTGTAGGGACTATGTCTCTGGGCTGGCCTGGGAACGCCTCGATCCTTCCAGAGGAGCTGGAGGAAGTGTCTGGGGAGAGGGAAGTCTGGGGTTCTCTCCTAAGACTGCTGCCCACACGACCCAGCCCTGGAAAAGCAGTAGAGAATGAATGAATGAATCAATTAGGGTTGTAACGGTATGAATTTTTCACGGTATGATAATCGTCTAAAACAATACCACGGTTTGACGGTTTCGCGGTATACGGTATGTTACAAATGTTACAAAATAATAGAACAGTGAAGCAAATTTGACTTTTTCCAAATAATATATTTTTAGTTACTATAAACAACACCACTTACAATGAACAATTAAAAAATAAGAAAATAATAAATAATGTGTCAAAGTCCAAATAAAGTCCAAATAAACATGGTGCAAATCCTCAGTAAAAAATAGATATAAATATTTACTATACTATAAATAGTTACATAACGAAACTAGATTCAATATGGAGCATCCTTAGGTTTTATGTGCCAGCATGGATATGGTTGTCTGTGGATATGGATTTGGATATGGTTGTATGCAATGCAGACAAACAGCTGCATCTTCATTTGCGTCTTTTGAAAACAGCAAGAGCAGCAGTTCGTCTTAGCTGTGTCACTGTTTTGTCATGTTTCTGTGCTGCTGTGCATGCAAAAGTACTTAGTATGAGAATTATTTCATGCAAAACTTTTTTTTTTTTGCGTTTTATTTAGCCGTGCATAAATATATGCCTTTCTCTCATTCCGTGTTGTTCAAAAAGCTTGGTCCACAAACAAAAGTGAAACCTATGCTTATTGGTTGTGATATAGCGAGTTTGAACCAATCTGGGCATGGAGGAGGGACAATGCATCAATGTATCATGTCTGATTTGTCCGGAGACACAGTGACGAGTGTTTCTTTGTCAAATCAGCGTTGTCAAATGTTGATGACGTAACCGCACTGATTCCGGAGCCTCTGAAAGTCCGCGAATGTTATGTGATGCAGCACTGGAAAGCTGAGATTCTCTTCTTTATGCCAATCTTTGAATTGTATGAATCGGATCAGCGGATCAAAAGTTATTAAACATTTAAGAGCAATACTTATTTTTAGCCGCGGGCGGCTGTCTCGGTCTTTAAGGGTTAAAACCGTTGATATGCAATTGTTCATGGTATGATAATCGTGCACGTTCAAATCGTGGTAAAACGTCATACCGGTATATTGTTACAACCCTAGAATCAATCAATTATATTATTATTTATTATATAATATAGAAATTATAAAAAATACTATGTTTCATTTTGAATAGATCCAAACTGTTATTATATTATTTTTGGTCATATCAGCGACTCACTGCCACGCTAGCCAATCCATAACAATCAACAGATCACTGACCTTTATTTTGGTGCTTTGTGCTTGGAGTCAGACTGTGTTTCTGTGTGGGTGATTGAACAGAAGGAACAATGCTAGTTAGATGTATTACTGGACAGAGACACAGAACTGTTCTCTTGCAGAAATTCAGCATCTACTGTCTGGCCTGGTTAATTTTGGGATCCAGCTGTCATGAGACACAGTCCTGTGTTCTTTTAGCAGAGACTTTTGGGACAGGAGGGAGGGGGTTCCTGCGCTCAGAATTGGATTGAGCATTTGGTGAGAGAACGTTCTCACAGTCCGAGCTCTGTGTTGTGCGTCTGAGTGTCTGCAAGCATTTGGTCCTCTTTGCCAGTGCTTTTATACCTTTAATTTTGGATTAGCATCATAGGATGTACAAGTTACCCAAAAATAAACCATTTTCAGTTCAGTTTATTGTTCAGTTTATTTATTTTTTATTTCATTCAATGTGTTAAACAGTGCTGGTTTAATGAACACTTCACTTTTTTAACGCTTGTATACTGTTCAAATTGACTACCCCTTCATTATGTTAGGGGCTGTTTTTGTCCAATTGACTTTCATTATCACATTTTTGATTGCAAAGCCATGAGGCCAAATAATCATACATTCCTGATTGTTGCTGGTTTTCCCTCTTGGGAATAGGTATAATTTGCCATTTTTACTGTTGATTATTAGTTGGCTTCATTTAGACCCTTTAGATAGGCCTGTGCAAAAAAAGTTTCTGACTTTTATGTAGAGTTATATAGATTAAAACAGCAGATTATACTGTTTCTGCTTAAATACACTTTGTTTACTGTGTTCTGAGAGCTGAGGGTATTTTCTCAAACATATCAAGGTATATGTGCAAAGGTCTCTTACACTCCCACACATTACTCCATATAAAAGCCACAAACTAAGCTTTTTTTTGCACTCTCAAAAGAACAAATTTGACCCCAAACAGGAAAAACCAGGAACAATCCAGAATGTATGACTATATAGTGTCATGTTGTGCAATAAAACAATGTGGCTATAATGGAAGTCAATGGGCAGAAACAGCCCCAAACACAATGAAAGAGTAGTACATTTGCCCAGTGTGTATTTCTGAGTTTTTGAAAAATTCCAAAGCATTTTCCCAAAATATGTGTCAAAATAAGGGAAATCATTCCATTTGCTGAAACACAGAGAAAGTTGTGGCTAAATAAGACTCAAAATCGCCCCAGAGAGGATGAGAACATCCACAACAACGCAAGGGGGAAAGAAAAATGTTGAGCTTTACCTGGTGTAACAATCAAGAAAATTTATCTTAGAAATTATTATATATTATTATATTACTCTTTGAATTGAGCGAGTTGCTAATGGTCTAATCTAATTTAATCATCTATGCTAAGCTAAGCTAAAGGGGCTTCCGGCAGACCTGGAGATTGCCTGAATGGATCTATAGTAAGGGCGTACTCACACTATGTACAGTTGCCTTGAACTGGGCCAAAGCACGCTTGTCACCCCTCCTGTCTCCCCTGACGGCCCACACTCACATCACGTTCGGGCCTGGGCACGCTTACCTCATCGAAGATGCGCTGTTTAGTCAAGTAGCTCTCTCGCTCAGCACAGTGGGAATTTCTTTAGTTAAATAGTTTTAGTCGCTTAATATGCAGTGACACAGTCAAATATTTCGCGGAACAGATCAGCCACTTTTGACGCTCATAAACAATCATAAAGTGCATGTGCTGCAGGAATTAGGAGGTCTGCTGAAGGTGCAGCTGTCGTGCAGTGAAGGGTTTGCATCTTTAAAAATTTACAACAGTTTACATTCATTGAACAGTAAGAGTGATTAATAAATAAATATCAAGCAGCCTTGTAAAATTCACATTTCGTCTTTAGTTTCGGGCTCAGGCGCATTTTGCACTCGCACTACAAGCGTACCACGCCAAAGTCCAAGTGAACTGCGCTCTGGCACACCTCTTCCAACCACGCCAGGGCCGGCCAAGTGAACCGTGCCTAAACCCGATTCAGAGCGCACACACTTCTCAAACGATCCAGAAAACGGGCCTGGACATGGTTCTGATAGCATAGTGCGAGTACACCCTAAAACTCTAAAGAGAGCTGTAGAATGGGCCTGTTTCAACACCTAGATAGTCATCTATTACTCGCCCTCACCCTGTTCTAAATTGCTATGAATTAAAAAACAAAGCCTTGTTGGGTTGGTTTGTAATTATTGAAGGTGTGCAAATGATGACAGATTATTAATGTTTCTGTATTATATACTTGATAATTTGCTTGAGTGACTGGCTGATTAGTGTCAAAGATGTTTGTAACTTCCATAGAACAGCTTTTACTTTTTTATTGAACATTTGGTTCTCTTCTAGATTACCTGGACAATGGAAATAACAAGATGGCAATCCAGCAGGCCGACAAACTGCTCAAGAAGCACAAAGATCTCCACTGCGCAAAGGTGTGTGTTTTAGCTGTTTTGCAAATAAAATACATGACAACTTTTTTTCTCATATGTAGTAAAAATAAATACAATTTTGGCTAGCTTTTTTCAGGTGTCCTTTGCTTGTTTTAGGGCTGCATAATTTGAAATTAGTATTATTATATAGCAAGGTAGTAGTGTTGTTAAACAATACAATAGTAATATCAACTGATATAGCTAATACAGTTGTTTATAATAACACTACTAATTATTAGTTGTTAGTAGTACTAATTACTAATAATGATACTACTATTGTTGTTGTAGTTGTTGTAAATAAGATTAAGGTAAACCCTAGAGATGATTGTGCATGAAAATCCCAGTAGATCAGCAGTTTCTGAAATACTCAGACCAGCCCGACTGGCACCAACTAGTATGCCACGTTCAAAGTCACTTAAATCACTTTTCTTCCCCATTTTGATGCTCGGTTTGAACTGAAGTTGACCATCTTGACCATGTATACATGCCTAAATGGATTGAGTTGCTGCCATGTGATTGGCTGATTAGAAATTTGCATTATCAAGCAGTTGGACAGGTGTACCTAATAAAGTGGCCGGTGAGTGCATTTTAAGTAAAAGAAAAATAATTAATAAAAAAAATAAAAAATAATGTATAAAATCTAAATTTTGCATGGATTTTATAAATATAATCGATATAATTTTTGTTTACTTTTCCACTTACATATGTACCCTGAGCTGCTGTAAACCACATGGCGACTAAAGCTACATGATTACATAAAACAGAACAAAATTTAAAAAGTAAATTAAATTAAATTTGGTGGTATAGGCTTAAGCACACTGTCGTGTAAATATGTACATTCATACTTTTATATTTACAGAAAAAAACAAATAAACAAATTAATAAATAAAAAGATAGTCAGAACAACATTATAACAGGTTTGTAATAAAAAATGTAATCTTAATATTATTATATGTAATAAAAATAAATAAAAAATATGTAATAAAACATATGTAATAAAAATCATTTTAAAACGATAGTTAGTCAAAATAACATTATAACTTGTTTGTAACAAACAATTTTAATAATATTAATATTATAATATGTAATATTTGTTGTGATAAAAATGGTGAGGGTTTAATTTCATGAAATTCGGATTATTAACACTTCCTGAATCCTATTAAAATGAGGCAGTTCAGTTTAAGACCTTCATTTCAGCTTTAATTTAAAACCAAGATGACTTAATTATTATAATCACAAGAGAACGACATCATCTTAGCAACACCAGTTGGCAAACCAAGTATTTGTTGTTTTGAATTTAACATTTATTTTTATTTTTATATTCAGGTATAAAAATAATTAAATAAATATAAACAAATAAATACATGGATAAATAAATAAATAATCTACACAGGCTATATCAATGTTTTAATAATTTAACAATACAAATTTTTATAAATCCCTATTTTTTTGTCTTTTTAAGATTAATGAGTTTGTATAAATATTTAAAAAATATTTTAAATAATAATAATAATAAATAATACTGTTATATATCCTGTTTTATATATATATATATATATATATATATATATATATATATATATATATATATATATATATATATATATATATATATATATATATATATTGTTATTATTATTATTATTATTATTAAAAATATATTTAATGTTTTTTTTCCTACAGTGGCTTGAATTATTTTGATCATTTTTTTGAATTATTATTATCATCACTAACATTGATTGCATTTGAAAATGATTACAACGTTTTCCGAATCTGATGTTCGTATCAGCCTAATTGTCACAAAGTGTCCGCAGAACTGCTGCATTTACACTACTTCACATGACGCTGTGGACGGAGATCAACACAAAAGATCTTTTTTTCAGAAAAGGTCAAATAAAAGCCATGAACATGCCCTTATCTATTGATAAATTAGTTCTGGATTCATTTATTGTCATGCTGCAGGTCCTGAAGGCAATCGGTCTGCAGCGAACAGGAAAACAGGATGAAGCCTTTACGTTAGCACAGGAAGTGGCGGTTCTCGAACCCACTGATGACAACTCTCTACAGGCACTGACCATCCTCTACAGAGAGATGCACCGACGTAAGTGATCACGGACCATCAAGGCATGTTTTGCATTGTATAACAGTGCTTATATTTGCAAAAAAAATGTAATCAAATGAAATTTTTCTTCCTGTAGCCGAGTTAGTGACCAAGCTTTATGAAGCTGCAGTTCGGAAGGTTCCAGCAAGCGAAGAGTACCACTCTCACCTCTTCATGGCCTATGCTCGGGTTGGAGAATACAAGAAGATGCAACAGGTTCGAATTGGACTGTGTTGGCTCTTATTTATTTAGGGGTGGCAATCTTTAGGGACTTTGCGATCCGATCCTATTTCGATTCTGGGAATCACAAATCTATTCCAATTCTTTCATCCTATTTAAAAATCAGTTGTGCAGATGCATCTTTCCAACTGTTTATTTTAACCAGAATTGTTTTGTTTCTATGCTTTTATAATAGTTTTTTATGAATCTTAGTATGATAACTAAATTTAGTTTTATTTTATTAAAGTTATATTCTGAATACAAAGATATATTCTTATACTCTGAATATAATGTTGAAAGGCCAGATTACAGAGCAATTATAAAGAACAAACAGTTCTTATTCCAAGTAGGGTTGTCAAAATCGAGTTTGGTACCAATCGGTACTTGAATTTTGAAAATAGTCCATTCCCGCTAACTTTTGCACGTTCTGTAACACTACTGATTGGGCATTGTGTTTACATGCTCGATAGGTATGACTATGATTGGTCATCGGTTTCATCAATGCTGTTTACCAAGTGCAAACACAGATACAGGGACACTGGAGCATTTCAAGCTGCGTCTATCAGTCGATCCATCAGCGGATTGCTCATATGTCAGCTCATTGACAGATCAGCTCATCAACACAGACATTTATTGGCATACTACTAAAAGCAGCAGCAGAGGGTTCACCTTAGGTCTTGAAAATATAATAAACCGTTTGAGACTGAACTTTAGAAGTGAGAGTCAGCTTCAGCATGTATTTTTAATAATGTTAAAGAGGTTTAATTTGTATTCATTAGATTATAACATTACCATTTCGCTGGACTGCAGTGTGTGCACTATTCTGTGCTTTTTTTTTTTTATTTATTTTTTTTTTTTTTATAAAGATTTACAATGACAGAACAGTGGTATAGGTGTCTCATGTCATCATATACAATAATATAGCAATCTATTATACAATTGTCCATCTGCTAATAATTCAAGTCTTTTGTGAAGGGTAAAATTAACAAAAAATTAATAAATTAAAATAAAAATTAAATAAAAATCAAGATACATTCTCCAAAAACTCCTATAGAGGATTCCAGATATGCCAGAAATCATCAGATTTCTGACGCAAGTCACAAGTCAGTTTTTCCAAGGGTAAGAAAATGGCAACCTGATTTATCCACATATTGACAGAAGGAATGTTAGGAGAGGACCACAGCAAAAGAATACATTTTCTTGCAAGATATGTACAAAAGTGTAACACAGATTCTAGTCCATGACTAAGTTGTAGAGCAGTTTCACAATTCAGAAGATAAACAGCTGGAGAAAGAGCAAAAGGTTTACCTATAATCTTCTGAACTAATTTGTGAATTTCTTTCCAGTATGTCTTAATCATGTCACAGTCCCAGAATACATGCATCACAGTACCAACATTGGATTTGCACTTAAAACAACACTGAGAAACATTAGGGAATATCTTATTTAAACAAACTGGCGTTAAATAAGTTCTGTAAAAGAATTAAAATTTTTGCTCATGGTTTGATATTGTTATTCTGTGCTTTCAGAATGGCTGCATTTACATTTCTGTTGTGTTTCGTCCGGTGCAAACAGCCAAATTGCTCATCGCTGCAAATCTCGTCATGTAGCGTGTTGTTAGAACACGGGGTTACATTGTAACCTGCTCACCTAATGTTTACATTCATAACATTTATATTACTTGTTAATTATTAACCATATGATGCAGAACTCTGTGTCTCATTTTGGTGTCTGTTACGCATGCTTTAAGAGCCTTCCTGAGTGAATAAATGAAATACACGGTTGGTTGTCCACCCAGGCAACCTGGGTGCTGAACTATAATTGGCTAAACTGGCAGTGGGCGGGTTAAAAGAACCAAAACAAAGGCCGACGTTCCAGCACGTAACGCACATTTTCAAAGCAGAATATCTGACTTCAGCATTGTTTTTCAGATAAACAAGAATGCTCACTTACCATGTTTCTGAAATATCTGCAAACACATTATAATGTTTTTATGCTTCAGAAGAGTCAAACTTACACACGACACCTTTTAACATTTGAGCCATCAAGTGCTTAAGCCTATGTTAAAACTGACTTTTCTGTCCCCTCTCCTCTGACAGGCTGGAATGGCACTCTATAAAATTGTCCCCAAAAACCCCTATTACTTCTGGTCAGTCATGAGCTTGGTGATGCAGGTATGATCATATTTCTCATATTCAACTTATACCATAGACGAACCTGTTCAGCACTTATTCATTCAGTAATGAAGGAAATAAACCTTTTTAAGGCCATCTCAGCGCAAGACGAGAAGCTCTCTCAGACCATGTTCCTGCCATTAGCAGAGCGTATGGTGGAGAAAATGGTCAAGGAGGAAAAAATCGAGGCAGAAGCTGAGGTAGGACGATGTTATCAGTAATCTGTTTCTGATTTCAGCTGTATAAAGTTTTAGGACACACTTTCCATCGGCTGTTCCAGGTTCAGCTGTACTTCATGATCTTGGAGCGCTTGGGAAAATATGTGGAGGCGCTGGAGGTGGTTCAGGGGCCACTCGGAGGTGAGGGGGAAAAAAATGTGTGTTCAAAGGAATGTTCTGGGTTACTTCCAGCCGCACTTCTTTTATTGTTCGTGTGATGTCGTGTCAGCTACCAATGTGTTCAAATGTTCATGTCAACACACCATATATAGGTTTTCTTTCCAATATAAAACATTTGTATTTCACTTAAAATTACTTGGTTGAAAATAACACTACTAGTAAGGCTGCAGAGTATTTCATTTAAGCATCGATATCGCAATGTGCGAGAGCATAGAGACAAATGAGCAGTACTATATCAGTTGCTTACGTCTGTGACATCTCTGTGGCACGCTTTACCCCCCCTCCCTTCTCCACCGAGGGCCTGCACTCACATTGCATCCAAGCCAGAGCACGATTACGTCATTGATGATGCTCTGGTCAGTTTAACAGAAGAGAAGCGCTCTCGCTCAGCACAGTGGAGTTTTTTTTAGTTATATCATTTTAGGCATTGGATATGCAGTGACACAATCGAATAATTCGCCAAACAGATCAGCCACTTTTGATGCTCATAATCATAAAATTCCTCGTGCTGCAAGTATTAGAGGGTGTCACACTTCTTAAACTACCCGGGAAACGCACCTGGGCACGGTTTGCATAGCATAGTGTGATTGCGCCCTAAAATTCAATTTTAATGTCAATTTTTAGGTCTGTATTTTGTGGGTGTGCCTTTAAATGCTAATGAGCTGGTTCACTCTGCCTTGTAATGGAAGTAGAGATAAAACGCAGCACAATGACGAACAGACACTAATGAAGAAGAGACCCAGTCACAAACATCCAGGTTAAGACTTAAGCAGGAAGTTTCTGAGTAGTTAATTGATCTAGTTTAAGTTTTAATACTTTATTATTTGATGTAGCATATTCTTCAACACAAAAGTTTATGTATATATATATATATATATATATATATATATATATATATATATATATATATATATATATATATATATCCCAAATGATGTTTAACGGAGCAAGACATTTTTCACAGTATTTCCGATAGTATTTTTTTCTGCTGGAGAAAGTCTGATTTGTTTTATTTCACCTAGAATAAAAGCAGTATTTAATTTTTAAAACCATTTTAAGGCCAATATTATTAGCTCCCTTATTAGCAATATTTGTTTTTCGTTAGTCTACAGAACAAACCACTGTTATACAATGACTTGCCTAATTACCATACCCTGCCTAGTTAACCTAGTGAAGCCTTTAAATGGCACTTTAAGCTGTATAGAAGTGTCTTGAAAAATGTCTAGTCAAATATTATTTACTGTCATCATGACAAAGATTAAATAAATCAGTTATTAGAGATGAGTTATTAAAACTATTATGTTTAGAAATGTGCTGAAAAAATCTTCTCTCCATTAAAATTGGGCACAAAAATATACAGGAGGGCATATATTTCTGACTTCAACTGTATGTGCTTTATTTCCTCCCTCAGAGAAGTTGACCAGTGAACTACAGAGCCGTGAGAACAAATGTATGAAGTTGTACCGGCGTCTGGAGCGCTGGCCCGAGTGCAACGCTTTGTCCAGCAAACTGCTCCTGAAAAAGTAAGTCCTCTATTGCAGGGCTCTGCAACCTTATTCATAGCATGGGCCGGTGTTCATATTCATAATTTGTGGTGTTAATCGATGTAATTTGGTTTGGTAGGTGTTAAATATGTATGTGAACTTACATTTATATCTCAAATGAATGCAACAACATACTAATACAATTTATCATAGTATAGACAAGGCAAGTTTATTTATATAGCACATTTCATACTCAATGGTAATTCAAAGTGCTTTGCATAAAAATAAAACAGCATGTTGTTACCATGAATTAGCATGTTAGCATGTTTCTAACATGAATTATTATGTTGTTAGCATGTTTTTTAGCATAAATAAGCATGTTGTTAGCATGATTCCAACAAGAAATAGCATGTTTCTAGCATGAATTAGCATGTTTCCAGTATGAATTAGCATGTGCTAGGAAGTGATACGCTTTAAAATTAGTCTCAGAAGAAGTTTGACGTATTAGAATTATGATAATACAAAGTGATATGATACTTTCGAAAATCAAGATCGCTATATATATATATATATATATATATCCATGCCTAATATCCAATAGGCAGAAAATGATTAATTGTTTATAAATTGTTAAAACATTCGGGTTGGAGTCCAAAGACTCAGAAATTCACTTTAATGTGTGATATGACTAAAAAGTGGTCATACACAAATATTTTCCCAATTCAAATAAGTTGCAGCTTGGACTTAAAACAGGATTTCATGTTACGACTTGACAAGCAGATACCGTTTTAGTACCCATGATGTTTACCGATAGATTTTATGTTTCTCTCTGCAGCCCTGATGACTGGCAGTTCTACTTGTTGTATTTTGACTCGTTGTTCCACCTCATCGATCAAAGCTGGACGCCGCCACAGGAAGGAGCTCAGTATGTAAAAATATCATGATCACACACAAACAATTCTAATTCAGTTCAATTCACTTCATTAGGCACACCTGTCCAACTGCTCGTTAATGCACATTTGTAATCAGCCAATCACATGGCAGCAACTCAATGCATTTAGGTATGCAGACATGGTCAAGACGATCTGCTGCAGTTCAAGAATTATTAGCTATCCTGTATGTTATTTCCCCAATTTCTTTTTAACAAAGATGTGTTTTTTTCACCACATTTCTAAACATAATAGTTTTGATAACTGATTTCTTTCATCTTTGCCATGATACATAATATTTGACTAGATATCTGTCAAGATACTAGTATTCAGCTTAAAGTGTCATTTAAAGGCTTAACTAGGTTATTTAGGCAAGTTTGGGTAATTAGGCAAGTTGTTGTGATGGTTTGTTCTGTAGACAATGCAAAAAATATGGTAAGAGGACCAATAATATTGAGCTGTAAAAAAATAAAACTTTTAACTTGTCATTTCTTTGTAACTTTATTTATAAATGAATGTAGGTAGTACAAGCATGTAGGGCTGTGCAATTAATCGAAAATCCGATTTCGATTTTGGCTTTTAACGATTATGAAAAACCATTAATCGAGATAAACGATTATTCCATCACGTACCGCCCCCTTTCCAGTTGTACACGTGTGAAAACTCTTTGCCTCTGCAAAGCTCAGTTCCACGTGAAAATGACTAAACGCATGTGCTGTAATGTAACTTTTGCAGCACGGGATGCGCATCATTCATATTTTTAAAAGCGCAAAAGAGCATGTGCTGTTGTGTGTGTGTGTGCGCCGTGCTTAGCCTCTGACAGGTAGCGTGTGTGTGTTTGCGCTTGGCCTCGGACAGCAGAGCACACACACATCTAACGCGATCTTAATGTGAGCGATTTAATGGTCAAATACATGCACATTTGTGTCAGAGCGCGGTGTTTAGCGATTATTCATATTAACCCTCATTTGTGTAATAAACTAACAAGTTGAGAATCAAAAGACACGAGAAAGAGAAACCATATCATAGCCGCACTATTCTTAAAGTGGCAGCGTGCGGTATTCCTGCTGCTGCCGACTGTTTTTAATATTAATCAATAATACAATCAAAAATACAGTGAAGATGCTTAAAGCACAGTTTAAACAACAGATTTAATAACTCATTTCTGTTAACTGATTTCTTTTATCTTTGCTATGATGACAGCACATTATATTTTACTAGATGTTTTTCAAGATACTCAGCTTAAAGTGACATTCAAAGGCTTAATTAGGGTAAATAGACAAGTCATTGTATAACAGTAGTTTCTTCTGCAGACAATCAAACATATATATTGCCTAAAGGGGCTAATAATATCGAGCTATTAAAATAGGTTTCAAAAATTAAAAATATTATAGGAAATTCTGTAAAAAAAAAAAAAAAAAAACCTCTGTTAAACATCATTTGGGAAAAATTTATAAATAAAAATAAATTCACAGGAGGACGAATAATTTTGACTTCAACTGATAATCGTTTTGAATAATCGTGATTACAATTATGACCAAAACAATCGTGATTATGATTTTTCCCATAATCGAGCAGCCCTAGCATGAATACTGCTCCCTAACACATTCTTCCTCCTGAATGCCCCATTGTGTGTTCTCTAGCTGTGCAGAAGGTGAAGTTCATGCCTCTGTAGCTCAGTCCATCAGCTTCATGGAGGAGCGTCTGGCCACAGAAGACGCAAAGGAGTCGAAACATCTGAGAGGACCATACCTGGCCCATCTGGAGCTCATCAGACGTCTCCGAGAGCGCAGCTGTCCTGAAGCACAGCAGCTCGGTAAGGCATAAGTTGTGAAGTGTTATATGCAGCTCACTACATATTTGCAGTGTTTCTTACATGCTTAATTACTTTTTTGCAGGGGATCCTCTTGAGCTTATGTTCCAGTTCTTCGTGAAGTTTGGAGACAAGCCATGTTGCATCACGGACCTGAAGATCTTTCTGGACCTTCTCATCCCTGACCAACATGTGCAGGTAAACCAACAAGATGCATTTCTCAAGACAGTGAAGATCAGTCTGATTATTATTGAAAGTAACCTTTTTTTCAGTTCTTTTTATTAACATTTTGGTCAAAAAAACATCAATTTTAAAAATATTTGAAAAGCAGAAATAAATTTTCTTTGCTCCAACAGAGCCCCCCGCCCCACTGCACCATTTCGATACAATATATTATGCACATTTTACATCATGTCATGATATATTCATACATGCATATAAAAGTTCCCTTAAGTCCACTGATCTATTGTACATATATATGCACACAATAGCCACGTGGCTATTGTTCCTCTATCGCACCTAAAGACGTTTAAAACCTGCAGTGATTTCACAAACCTCATGTTCTGACCTGTCGTTCCTGGTTAATTATAACCCCATTTCATCTTTGCAGATCCTGTGACTATTGCGGATGCAGAGATTGCGATATCAATGCTAGAAATTATATATTGTGCAGCCCTAATATATACAGTGTTTTATGTAGAAAGTAGTGTTGTCGAATTAGCTTTCGACCCACTTTTGGTTCTATTCGGAATTTCAGGCAAAATTAGATCACTTCAGGATTCTCAAAAACAACTGTTGTCTTACAGTCTTATTGTGGCAAAGAAGCTGGTGCTAAGGTTTTGGAAAACAACGGAATCCCCATCATTTAGATCTTGGCTGGAAGAATTAACTAAATTAGCACATTTGGAAAGGATTAGATTTCTTATGGCAAAGAAATTTGATAAGAGAGAAAGAGATTTGGTCTCCTCTTCTCCTCTATCTTGAAAGTGTAGATGAAAAATCCAGATGGTGAAGGTCACATCAACAGTACTGCATAAGCTTTAGTCCCAGGGCTGGGGTGGGTTTTAGGGGTTAGATATTCTGTTTTTTTTCTTAACTATTTTATTTTGTTCTATTACAGATATTATTATTGTTTTTATGTGTGTGATATTAATTTGTTTATTTCTTTTTTGCAAAAAAAAAAAAAAAAAACTTGAGATGCTGTAACATTTGCTATAATGTTGTGCAATGCAATGCAATGAATATCTCAATTAAAAAAAAACATTTAAAAAAAAGAAAGTAGTGTTGTCAAAAATATCGATATTTCGATAAGTATCGATATTGGAATATTTAAAAAAGATATCATCTTGCTTTTGGTGAATATGAGCTTTGCTCTCTCTCTCACTAACAGTAGCCGACACATGCTGCATGTGAGGGCACTCCATTACACTACACTACACAGCCCCATCTCCTCAGTATATCTAGTGTCAAGATGGCAAGTGCAACCACTTTTGGTTGAGAAGGTTTTTAGTTTGATAAATAAACAAGGAAGTAATCAAACAAGCCAATATGCAAGCATTGCTACAGAGCAGTGCTAAGTAAATACGCTAATAGCAAAGCACTTGAAAGACCACTTAAAGAGTTGTGGTTTCCGCGAAAATGGTATTGAATATTGATATTTGTCTTGGTATCGTATCAATGTTAGAAACTCCACTATGGCAACAACAATAGTAGAAAGCAGTTGTTGTTTACGGTCTAGATTTAACTCTCTTGTGACTTTCTCAGTTCATCAACAGGCTAATGGAGGCTGTGCCACTGGGTGCTCCAGGAGAGGATGGTTTCGCCTTCCCAGAAGACACTCGGGCTCTGCAGAGACACATGTGTGTGACGCAGCTCAGCCGCGGTCTGGGTCTACAGCATTCCCTCAACACTGACGGCAAACTGGGGGTCATTAAAGAGCTGAAGGCACACTACCGGCACGGCTTACAGTTCGGTAAGCAGAGGACTAGGCAGGTTAAACTCATAATTTCTTTCTTTATAAAAGACACGTGATAATTCAGGGAGAACCTACTCTGCTCTGATTGGCCAGATGGTCTCTGCATTTGTTACACAGTAATGATGGTGTTGGTTGTATCATAACCAACGTAAAGCGCATGAAAAAGTAGATTTACTTTCAAAAAATGTTTGAGGATTGAGGTAGACATTGTTCACAGGCAGTCAGTGAAGTACATAGACAGGCTTTTTTGTTAATTCAGTGGAGAAAATGACTGCATTTATTGTGCACTTTTTGCATTTACAAACTGGTGCATTACACTGTGCTTGAATTGTGATGTCATAAAACTAAATGTGGCACTTAAACTGAGGTTAAAGTCTGTGTGAAGTCAACATTTACAATGTTTGTTTTGCTAGCATACATTGTTATTCTTTAGTTGAGCAATTAAAGCAAGTTAATTGACTGGAAAAAGTGTGTTTTTGTAATCTTCAATCAAAACTTCAGTCACAATATTCTTAAACAATCCTCTTACCGTTAGTTTGCTATGAGGGAATGATGCTCAAAAAGAAAACCCTGCCGCCTCCTCTATATTCTATTTCAGTTGATTTATTTTCAATAAATACTGCAGAAAAACATACTTCTTTTAGCTAGTTCAACTGATGTTATATTAAAGAGTTTTATAGATATTTCTTTTTAATTTTATTGATCTAAATCTAACTTTCTTTCTTTTTAAGGGAAGTCCTGTTTAAAAACGGAGCTGCAGTTCTCGGATATGTACTGTCTCATGGCAGCGCATGTCTATATAGACCTGTGGATTGAGACGGGTAAGTCTGCATCTCTTTTCATATATAATATACAGCCAAATTACACTGCTACTCGTGTGATATTGCGTTTATACAACAGTTTGACGACATAATTGTATATATAAAAACAAAATCAAACATGGAGAGTCTCAAAAACCCTTTTGTATGAGGAACTACTTTCTTCCGCGTTGGATTCAAATCATAAGCTGACAGTTTAACAGCTGAGCAAACATCTGTATGTGGGCAGAATAATAAACAGGGTAAAGAGGCTGTACGGGTGCTGAAATTACTTAAATCACGGCTATCAGCCAATCAGATTCGAAAACCAGACTGAACTGTTGTGTGTATATATATATATATATATATATATATTCATTCATTCATTTTCTTTTCGGCTTAGTCTCTTTATAAATCCGGGGTCGTCACAGCAGAATGAACTGCCAACTTATCCAGCACATGTTTTTACGCAGCGGATACCCTTCCAGCGGCAACCCATCTCTAGTACACTTCCATACACACGCATTCACACTTATACACTACGGACAATTTAGCAAACCCATGCGAACGTGGGGAGAACATGCAAACTCCATAAAGAAATGCCAACTGACCCAGCCGAGGCTCGAAACAGCGACCTTCTTGATGCGACAGCACTACCTACTGCACCACCTCGTCACCATATATATATAAACTTTACTAAATCCATTCTTGTTAATGATGAACAAATGTTTTTGTTTGTATTGTAGATGATCAGAACATGTTGTGGCAGTGTCTGGGGATGTTAGAAGAAGGTCTGTCCCACAGTTCCTCCAACGCTCAATTCAAACTGCTGCTTTTGCTTCTGTACTGCCGTCTTGGGGCTTTTGAGCCGGTGGTAGATCTTTACTCCAGTTTGGATGCTAAACACGTCCAGCATGACACCATTGGGTAAGTACATAATAGGAATATCGCTGCACAATACTGGAAAAATCTGCTATGCTGTTGAGTGTTGCAATATTTTTAATGATATAACTTACTTGCAAAATGCAATTTTATTGGCAATTTAGTGAATACAAGCACTAATAGCGAAGCACTTAAAAGACTGACACACGGAGGCATGGTTTCCACTAAAATGTTATCGAAGAACGATATTTTTCGTGGTATTGATATGGAATATCAATATTGTTGTTGAGTGTTGCGATAACGATATTTCTAATGATATAACTAACTTGCAAAATGCAATTTAATCAGTAGTTTAAAAAGTATTTTTATGTAATATTGCTGCACGAAACCCTAACCCTAACATATTCAATATTGTTGCTGAGTGTTGCGATAACAACATTTCCTACGATATAACTTGTAAAATGCAAGTTTTATCAGCAATTTAGTAAATAATTGCGCTAATAGCGAAGCATTTGAAGGGCCAACATAATGAGGCGTGGTTTCCTCAAAAATGTTATTGAATAACAATATTTATCTTGGTATTGATACTAAATATCGATATTGTTGTTGGGTGTTGCAATAACGATATTTGTTAAGATATAGCTTGTAGCAAAATGCTATTTCATCAGCAGTTTAAAATGTATACTTATTTATGCAATATCACTGCAAGAAACTGCAAAAATATTCAATATTGTTTTTGAATGTTGCGATAACGAAATTTCTTATGATATAACTTGCAAATTGCAATTTCATCAGCAATTTAGTGAATAAATCTGCTAATTACGAAGCACTTAAAAGACCGACATATGGAGGCGTGGTTTTGTCAAAAATGTTATCCGATATTGATATTTTTCTTGATATTGATATTGAATATGGATATTGTTTTTTGAGTGTTGTGATAATATTTCTTATGATGTAACTTACTAGCAAAATGCTATTTTATCAGCGATTTTAAAAAGTATATTTATTTTTGTAATGATCATATTAAAATAAACAGGTAATAGATATTTTTCAAAGTTAATTGAATCTAATAAAAACTGTCTAGTTGCAAATGTTTAGACTTTAAAGCACCACAAATGACTGAAAACCTTGGTGGAAATTTTAGTTTTTATTAGCTGTTTTCACCTCCCATGCAAACCAGAATTTATTTTCAGCTTACGCCACCTACTGGAGAGGTGGGGATAAAAATAGTAAAGGCCACATCTGATTGGTCAGATTTGGATAACCTAGCACACAAATGCTTGGCACATAAAATTAACTTATGTGCTTATGCGATATAGATATTACGTATACTATTATTGCAATACCGATAATTTTTTCATGAGTGCATAGTAGGGCTGGGCAATTAATCAAAATGAAATCGCAAACAAGGTTGAGCAAATCTGCTGTTGTCATGCACATTTTGTCAAGGAATCACAGTCAAATAAACAGCAGCAAATCGTTTCCGATGGCCAGAGGGCGCTCTTATACGAAAACTTCAAATACCCACAAAGAAGAAACCCAGAAAATCCCCATAGCTTTGTTGAATCAGCATGACTACTATTTTTTTTTTTTTAATTTTTGATCAATATTACTTGGCAACAGTTATTTATTAATTTGTAATAAGCATACTCATCAGAATCATAAAGCATTACTTTGCTACAGCAATCCACTTGTAATCTTTAGTTTTTTCAGAGGCTAAATTCAAATCAAATACCACCAAACGTCCCATAATACTTTATAATTATATATCTACTTTACAAACATTGTTAAAAATATGGTTCATATTCTTTAAAACATAGGGGGCGCCCTTGCATGGTCACCAATGGTAACTACATGTCATCCGGTGGTCATGTCTGGTACTGCGGCCAAACAAAATCACACTGAAAGCTAATTTTTTGAGATATCAACTGCAGCTTTGGAATGTAGTTTGTTCAGATATTTAGCTTTGAGGTTTTGTAAAATACATATTTGATTTAATAAAACAAAATACACATTTATTGAATTTTTTACTTTCATAAAGGCACCTAACTTTTCACTATAACTACAGTCTGACACCTGTCTTCTTTTAATGGAGACCAAGCTCAAATATATGCACCAAATCGTCAAAAATGATCATTAATGTAATTTTCATAAATATATGTTCAAAAAGTGGAGGGACAGTTAAAGGGTAAAATGAGTCAAATGTTAAAAACAAAAGGCTAATTCAAAGTAAAAATTTTGTTTACCAAATAAGTTCATTCTTATGCTGTGTTCACACCAGACGCGAAACACGCGGATAAATCTCGCTATTTGCGCGTAAATTGCCGCGTGAACATTTAAAGTTACTCGCTTCATTCGCGCGTCAAACATCGCTTCATTCGCGTGTCAAATCCGCTTCATTCGCGTGTCAAATTCTCTTCAGAACGGACGCGGATTTGCGTGATGGGCAGGGCTTCTGTCTGCCCGGTGACTGTAGCTTCGTTGCTAAAAGGCTAACATGGATTTTATGAATAAAATAACAGTGTTTATGTGCTTTATGAAGGCTGAAAAACAGCGTTGATATGTTTAGGACCGTGTCTGAGTCCACTACATGCTTTCAGGGGTGCATCCAGCTCTGTGAGCTCATAAACTCCTCCAGAAACTGAACCTGGATCACGGAGGCTTTTAACGGTGCTTCTGACTGTGCCAAGCCCAGTTTGATGATTTGTTGTCCTTGTCACCCGGAGGATTTCCCCTGGGACAGCATTAACAGGTTCTACGTCACAATCACGCCCCCACAAGAGCAAGCAACTGATTGGTTAACGCGGCGCGAATGTCCGCTATAGTTCAGATTTTCGAACTCGAGAGATTCACACGAAACGCTCGTCAAGCGCGTCAAACGCGCAAAACGCTCAATTTGCCCCGCGCCTTTCGCGCGTATTGCGCTATTCGCACCGCGCCATTCGCTTCATACACGCCGCGCCATTCGCGTGTATTGCGCCGCAGGATGTCTATTCGCACGTTTGCATTGACTTAACATGTAAATCACTCACGCTTGACGCGCGTTCCGCGTCTGGTGTGAACACAGCATTACATTGTAATTTGCAGACATTTATGTCAAATTAAATGTAGTGTATTTGCAGTTAAAACGTGTTACTTGTTAAATATTATCCATTCTGTGTTTCCAGGTATTTATTGACCCGCTATGCAGAGTCTTTGGGCCAGTTTGCTGCTGCTTCCCAATCTTGTAACTTCTCCCTCAGGTTTTTTCACTCGAACCAGAAAGATGTATGCTTATTTTCTGTTTTAAATGCTTTCATCTGTATGGCAAATCTCCAAAGAATAACCGGTCGTGCATTTGTTCCTGCAGACCTCAGAATACATTATTCAAGCATATAAGTACGGTGCTTTTGAGAAAATCCCGGAGTTCATCGCCTTCAGGAACCGACTCAATCACTCGCTGCACTTTGCTCAAGTGCGCACGGAGCGGATGCTGCTGGACCTCTTCCTAGAAGCCGACATGTTAGTGCTTTTTCATCATTACCTGCCTGTTTTTTATGTCACAGGTGGTGTTATTTTCACTGCAAAAAAGCTTTTCTTATTAAGATTTTTTTGTCTTGTTTCTTGTCCAAATATCTTACAATTCTTAAACCATAAAGCATATCCTAGACTGGTCTTTTTTTTTTAAATAATAAGCCAAAATTAAGTGAGTTTTTCCTTAAAACCAGCAAAATAATCTGCCAATCAGGCAAAAAAAATAATAATATTGCTTTCCTTTCGATATAAGATTACTTTGTTTACCACACTGGCAGATTATTTTGCTTGTTTTAAGGAAAAACTCACTTGATTTTGAGTTATTATTTCTTAAATCAAGACAATATGTTTTGCTTTTCTAGAAAATACTTCTTAATTTAAGGATTTTTCGATATTTGAACTACAAACAACTACACATTTGTGTCCTCTTCTTCAACCCACAGATCTTCAACTCTAGACGAGAGCGTAAAATCGATGTCTTTGTGTCCGGAGGAAGATGATATCCCATGGGACAATTTAAGGGACAACCGTGACCTGACTGTCTTTGTCAGCTGGGACCCTAAAGACAAGTACAAGAACATCCTCTCAAAACACTAAGTAGTGCTGCATGATATGTACACTGCGAAAAATGCTTTTCTTACTTTAATTTTTGTGTGCGTCTTTTTTTCTAGGTATGTTAAAAATTTGCATGGATACAAATAGGGTCTGCTTAATTTAACACATTGTTTAATATATGAGGCTACGAAATTACTCAATATAATGCATTTCTTTATGGGACAAGTAATTTACTGCGCCAAAGAAAAAATCATTTAGCCCTATATAAGTCTGAAGTTTCATTCCTCATTTCCTTAAAAAGGTCTTAAAATGTCTTGACTTGCTGAAACCTGCATAAATCCTGTAAAACATAGTTGTATTTCCTACATATCGTTCAGCCCTAAAACACTTAGTATATACTGTTTTGGGCAGATGCACTTCTCTACACAAGCACCGCATTTGTTTTAGAATGATCAATTCTATCCCTCCAAGTCATTTACTGAAGCTGTGTTTTTCATATAATTATATTCATTCCTAGTTTTGAACATTTATCTGTTTCAATAATGACTATATTGTTCTCTGATTATAGGCAGCTGAAGGAGGAGCACAAGCTGCGCTCTCTAGAAGACGAGACCCTGTGGTTGAAGCTGCGGTCGCTCACTCTGCGTCTGATTGGCTGCGTTTCTGGACTCACTCACTCGTCGACGGCACGCAACTCTGAAAAGACAACTGAAAACGGAGTCACGGCCAAACCATCTTCTCTACAATCTCTGCTCTCCCAGCTAGAAAACACACTAAACCAGGCCTCGCAGTTCACGGAAAAACAGCTTCAGGTCAGAACCGTTACACACTCTTTAGCAAATGCAGTGAAAGGGATAGTTCAGCCAAAATTTACTGACAAAATATAACAGGATTCGGCCCACTAAAACATAATTTTTTATCACTATCCTTCCTCTGCAGTCATTTAAAGCTAATTGTGGTTTTATTCTAGAAAATGTGTTAATTGGAACAGAGGGAATGTGCTGAATTGATGTTTTGGTTTGCAGCAGCAGTACCCGTTTTTGGGTCCCGTGTCGTCTCGTTTGTCTCAGGCTGTGTCCAGTGGCTGCTGTCAATGTCAGCTGTCGTCTCTTCAGCTTCCTCTGCACCTGCAAGAGCTGGAAACTATTGACCTAGGTGCGTTACTTCACTCTCGCTATGTAGAGTTTTATATTACAGAAGAACTTATATGTGACCTTATATGCATGTCTTATTTTGCACTGGGATATTTCTAGCAATACCTAAATGTATGGGTCAAAATTGTCCAATTTTAATCCAAAAATCATTCGTGTTTTAAGTAAAGATCATGTTCCATCAATACATTTAATCAATGTACTTAGGGCTGCATGAAATTAGAAAAATCTGATATTGCGTATCAAAGTATCTAATTTTTCTACGATAAATATTGCAGTTACACAAGATTGTTTGAATAGCTTTATTTGACTATTTTCTTAACCATATTCAGGTACCGATATTGAATAATAAGGGTGGGACGAATTATCGCTACGCCAATATTTCCAGCTGCGAACTACAAATTGTAATTTTTGGTTATCCATTACTGTAATTGCTTTCGTTGTTTATTAGATTAGCTTCAGATTTGGCTTCAGTACTGACTAATGACTAATATACATCTAACGTATATGCACAACTACAATATTGTATAGCATCTTACTAAAAATATGAATTTAAAAGATAGATTTGTGAGGGGTGTACTCTTACATGCTGAGCACAATATATATATATATATATATATATATATATATATATATATATATATATATATATATATATATAAGTAGAAATGATATGAATATTAATAAATGTATAATGAATATGCGTCATTTAATGCTTTAATTTTTTCTATTTTCAGATGAATCAACAGAACTTCAAACACAAATATCAAATCTTTTCAAGTCTTTAGCAGTACAACTTCAAGGTATGCCATCAATGCAGCTCCTTTAAATTTGCTTAACATTAATATTTTTATAAAGTTTCTCCTTACAAAGCTATTTATTTTATACAGTGTTGACATGGGCAACAGTAGCTATGTTTACATCGACCTATTTTTATGTGCATTTTGGATTCTCTTTAAAAAAAAATCACTGAGATCCCTGTACATTTTGAAAATACACACAAAAAAATGTATGTGCATAACTGAGCAGAATAAACTTTTTATTCGCTAAGAAAAAATGCGCATAAACTACACTGGAAACACTTTTACTGAATAAATTCATGTATGCGTACAACTTACAATGGTTGCCTTGTCTCTGTGCTCTTCTGATTGTATCACAATTTTGTGCGTAAATTTAAAGGTGATGTCTGGACTCTTCTAAAGCATAACAATATCTTTATATGTTTGCAGATATTTCAGAAACATGCTAAGTGAACATTCTTGTTTATCTGAAAAACAATGCTGAAGTCAGATATTCTGCTTTGAACATGTGTGTTTTGGTTCTTTTAACCCGCCCACTGCCAGTTTAGCCAATTATATTTCAGCACCCCGGGTTGCCTTGGTGGAAAACAGCATATTTCATTCATTCATTCAGGAAGGCTCTCAAAGCATGCGTCCATGACCGAAAAGTGACCTCCGGTGAACAGTAGCAAACTCAAATGAGACGCAGATTCAGAGTTCCACATTGCTTATATTTTCAACACTATTTAAATCAGCCGTTAGGCTCGACAGTCAGGCTCGCTCTTGTCATCAATCTGGCAACCTGCACTTGCATTTGTTTTGATTCAGGAATGCAATACCTAGTTCAACCACTGGGTGTCAAACTACTATACTGCACCTTTGAATTGAAACATAGCTGTTGAGAAGAAAGGGAACTAGGAAATGAACACTCATGTCATGTCATATCCTGATGACAAAAAATAACACTACAAAATGTTACAGTTGCAGATTGGTTTTATGTTGAATCTTCTGTTTCCGTCCCCAGAAATGTTGGAAAAATGTAAAGGAGATCTATTAGAGGTGAAAGACGGTCAAACCAAGACGCAGCACTTTTTACTGGAGCATCTAGTCTACTTTGTTGAAGTGAGTTCTCCAAAGATTTAAAGCGAGTACACGGGGCTCTTGAGCAGGTCACTCATTATTCTCGCTGTCTTCCAGACTGTTTGTATCGTCCTATGGATATCTAGTTACTGTGCAAGTGTCCTCCGGCCCTTAAAGTCCAGTTTACAGAAGAAGAAGAAAAAGAAAAAAGAAGCTAGCATCGTGACGGTAATGCTTCCGTTTCCCGGAGTCAGTGCTTATAAAGGGTAGAGACGGAGGGGATTTGGGGCACTTACTCTTATTTATTTATTTTTTTTTGTGTCTCCCAAACAGCCGGCGGTGATTTTGGCCTTTCAGGAGTTTAGCAGCAGCTTGCAGAGCCTCCTCAACCAGGCCCTGGAGCACATCAAGAGCCAGGAGATCAGCCTGACCGCACTGAAGCTGGAGGCCCTCAGTCTGGAGGGACAAACCCAGACCGAGGTGTGTGTGTGTGTGTGTGTGTGGGATAGCTCTCAACAAGCAGTTTTTATTTTTATTTTTTCAGGGTTTCCACCTTTAATGGACTGGACAGTAGAGATAATAAACAGGAAAGTTGAGGTCTGTGCGGGACAAGTTTTTTAGTCTGGAGCTGTGCCCCAGTAGAGCTTTATGTTTAGCAGCGCCCCTGTAGTGAGGGGTTTCACAGCCTTTAAACATCTATTATAATTGTAAAAAATAAAGCGGACTGCTTTGTGGATTACATCCATTGCAGGTTATTTCTCTCATGAATAACGAGGGACCACTGTATATACAGTTTTAAATCTCCTAAATGTGAATTTTGTCCTTTTTAATGCGCACTGGATATCCTAAAAACTAAACAAACCTTATTTCAATTTCATGAAACCTTTAAAGGGCACATAGGTTACACCTTTTTTCATATTTATTATAAGTCTTTTGTGTCCCCAGAATGTGTCTGTAAAGTTTCAGCTCAAAACACCCATCAGAGTATTTATTAGAGCTGTCTGAAGTGTCTGTATTATAGCTGGGAAAAGGTTGTTGCTGTTTTTTTGCACTGGGCCTTTAAGGCGAGTCATCCCCGCCCACCGTTCCCACGTGCCTGTCAGCAGCATGCCTCAACACGCCCTCGGCTGCCTCAGGAAGTAGATCTCACGTAACGTTTGTAAGAAATACTACAGTAAGAACTTCACCAATCAGTATCTGATGCATTTTTTGTGGAGTTGCAACGAGTTCACACACACACACACACACACAGCACAGACACGTAGCGCAGACACACACACACACATACATAGCGCAGACACACACATATAGCACAGACATGTAGTGCAGACACGCATACATAGTGTAGACGCGCAGACACACACACACACATAGCACAGACACGTAGCGCAGACACACACACACACACACACACACACACACACACACACACACATACATAGCGTAGACACGCAGACACACATACATGGCACAGACACACACACACATAGATAGCATAGACATGTAGACACGCATACAAGGCGCAGACACACACACACACACACAGAGAGACAGTAAGAGAGACACGCGGCTGTGCTGATGAAGTGAATGGCTGTACTTCATTACACACGTGCACTATTTTACAACATGTTAAACTTGTAAAGCTCACTCTTGATCACGTCTGATGATGATTGATGATCCTAGCTAACTGAACAGACCTTTAATTTCCAGTTTCTTTGCGCTCGTCCTGTCTTGTTGATATAATTATATGCGTTACTACGGAGACATGTTAATGCGCGCAGCTGTCAATCAATATTGGTGGGCGGGGGGACCGCACTCCTACGTCAAGTTGCGGTCGATCTGAAAACCACTCCAATTGGTCCACCGTTTTTGTTGTTAAATTGAAAAAAAACCACTGTGTGTGTTTATATCACCCCAAAATGACAGTATATACACTATACTTACACACACGTCTGTCCAAACAGCTTTAAAAGTAGATTTTTCACCTTAGGTGCCTTTTAAAACCGTCTGAGAATTGGTTGTGCTTGTTTTTGACTCTATTTTTCCCTTCTCATCCAGGCGGAAGGGACCTTCACAAAGACCGCGATGGAGAAGGTGCAGAGCAGCTACCTGCGTTCGCTGCAAGAGATCGGGGAACTGTTGAAGAAGAGAGCGGACTCGTTGAAATCCCTCAAAATCTGAGCGCTCCGTCAATCCATCCATCCAGCATCCAGTCCAGTCCCCGACCCGCACGGCATCTTTGCTCCCAAACTCAGTCTGTGATCTCAGCCGGTCTCTTCCTTCCTATTTATCCGTCTCATTACTCACGTACAGATGAACAGGCACACTGTAACAAAAACAAACCCCAAAACTTCGGCTTCAGCACAAACCTCTACAGTGCTCCGTGCGGCACTTTTAAGTGGAAACGTAAACGTCATACCCCTAGCGAAACCACATAGGCGAGCGAAATTAAGCAATTTTAGAAGTACTGCTATAAATTATTGTACATAGTGTGAAGATAAACCGATATCATCGAGAACTCCTTGGCGAATTAAAGTGAACTGCTTTGTCTTTTTTTTTTTTTTGTCGATGTCTTGCGTTATTGTCTCACTTCTTTCCCTGCCGTATAAACCCCTCCTGACGATTTGTTGACGGTGCCACTCTGTATCGCAAGTAGCCAACTTCCAGACTGACACACACACTCTCTGCGACGCGTTTACACGGCCGTTCGCAACGCACAACCAGCCAAGAGCTAAGCTTCGAGTTTCCAGGAGATTTTGCGCAACTGTTCGGCGGCGGTGGGAGGAGTATCCAGATGCTTTGAGCGAATGTTTTTGGGTGCATCCATCGCGAATATTTGTTTGTATATTACAAATGACTTTACTTGAGCCGCAAGCATTCGAAATGTAGCTTTCCCGACGATTCGTTCGGAATCATCGACATACGTAAAAAGGCAAATACGTCAGTGTAGCATTGAATGCTACTTGGGGAAAGTTTGTGTTCGCGTTAGATTGATCGATGTTTGTTCAATCATGTTTCAAATTAATTTCATGCGTAAAGTGACGGATGAATCGTTTGGTTATAGGGCGAGTTGTTTACTTTGAACTCTGAAAGAAATAATAATTGTTGATTGCACTGATGTCCCTGAAATGATGAGGTTTTATTAATGTTGCATACCAAAAAAACGTCTAAATTAGCCTCGCGTCAAAGTCACAGTCGAGGCGGAGGTAGGTTTTTATACGAATGAAATATGGTGATATCTACCAGGAAGTGCAACTTGTTTACAATGTTTCTGAGCGCCATTTTTGAATTGTGTTTATAGTGTGTGTGTGTGTGTGTGTGCTGCGATCTTTAAGCTTTCACTGCTTTATACCTGCTCGGGAGGGGGAAATATGCATTTCTCTTTTGTCAAGCTTTTTATTTTAATCCAACACAACGGGGGATACAGGACTAGTTGTGCAAACGAGCGGCTCTTCGGTTGCTCCAGGACTCATTTCACGTCATCGAGAGGAACACGCGCGCTTCTGGACTGTGGAGGTGCCTGTAGAGGTGATTGGAAGTGTCGACTGATGAATTCTTTTGTTAGGGAAATTGAGAAAATATAAACACTGGAATGTGAAAAGGAGTTTTTTTTTAAATAAATGAGTAAATGTTCCTCCTGCTGTCTGCTTTTGGTGTCTTGTGGGATGAAGAGTGACAGATGCTGCTCGTTTAGATCTGTATGGACAGATAACTGTCTTGGTGGCGCAGTGGATAGCCAGTTCGCCTTAGAGCAAGAAGATCACAAGTTCAAGCCTTTGCTGGGTCAGTTGGCATTTCTGTAGGGAGTTTGCATGTTCTCCCAGTGTTAGCATGGGTTTCCTTTGCGTGCTCCGGTTTCCCCCACAAGTCCAAACACATGCGGTGCAGGTGAATTGGGTAAGCTTAAATTGTCCGTAGTGTATGTGGCTGAATGAGTGCATAGGTGTTTCCCAAGTGATGGGTTGCAGCTTGAAGGGCATCTGCTCTTTAAAACATGCTGGATGAGTTGGTGGTTCATTCCACTGTGGTGACCCCTGATTAATAAAGGGACTAAGCTGAAATGAAGCATGCAGTTGTGCAATGACTTACTTGCCAATCCCCAACTCCTCCTAGATCATTTCTGATATCGGATTGAAGTGCTAGCCACTTGGTACATGGTAATCAGCCGCATGTCTCTGGCTATTACATTAACTCATCATCATTCAAAATTGTTTTGAATGCTTTTAGGTTCTGTTACCCCCATGTTTCCAGAACAGAACATGCCTGCCAACACTGACGTTTTTCCCGGGAGTCTCCCGTATTTCACACCCATCTCCCACCACCCTCCCGTTTTGTTATTTTTCCCTGAAAACTCCTGTAGCTTCACCCCAGACGTGGGCTGTATTCAATATGCATTCTTCAGCCATCTTGCGTCCTCTTGTTCTATTTTAACGTTATCATCAACTGCCAAAGTTCAGTTCCATAACTCAAGACCTCAAGAACAGAGGATGCGTGAAACTTCCAGATGCATTCTTGATATTGAGGATGTGTTAATCAAGACTTGAGTGCAAAACTTGCTTGAGAAGTCCCTAAAGTCATCGCGGCTGAATAAATGAGGTGGGAAGCGCAGCATTTTATATAGATTTATTATGAAAGTTCAGAAATATAAATTATTTATCTCAGGAGTTTTCCTAAATGAGACGGTGAAAGTAAACATCACCATGAAAATCTGTATAAGGGAATAAACACATTAAGGGTGATTATTTGTTGAAATTCGTATTAAAATCAGTTCCCACTTTCTGACCTTTAATATTCAGACAAAAAAAAAAAAAACATCCGGTCTTCTGGGATTTTAGAGACAAATGTTGCTAGGTGGTGACACGGTGGCGCAGTAGGTAGTGCTGTGGCCTCACAGCAAGAAAGTCGCTAGTTCGAGCCTTAGCTCGGTCAGTTGGCATTTCTCTGGGGAGTTTGCATGTTCTCCCCGTGTTGGCGTGGGTTTGCTTCTGGTGCTCCGGTTTCCCCCAACAGTCCAAACACATGCGCTATAGGGGAATTTGGTAAGCTAAATTGTCTATAGCGAATGTGTGAATGGGTATGAAAGGAAAATGAATTAAGAATGAAGAAGACTGTTCTGCAATGACATTATAACCCCAACTCCTCCTAGATCAGGGGTGTCAAACTCAATTCCAGGAGGGCCGAAGCCCTGCACAGTTTAGTTCCAACCCTGCTCCAACACACTTACCTGTAGGTTTCAAACAAGCCTGAAGGACTCAATTAGTTTGATCAGGTGTGTTTGATTAGGGTTGGAACTAAACTGTGCAGAGCTGCGGCCCTTTTGGAACTGAGTGTGACACCTGTGTCCTAGATCATTTCTGATATTGGTTTGAAGTGCAAGCCAACTATATGGGATTCAGCCGCATGTCTCTGGGAATCACATTAACTCATCATCATTTAAAATTGTTTATGAATGCTTTTGGGTTCTGTTCTGTCCCCCGCATGGGTTTTTTCTCAACAGAACATGCCTGACAACACGTTTTTCCCGGGAGTTTCCTGTATTTTACACCCATCCCCCACCACCCTCCCGTTTTGTTATTTCTCCCTGAAAACTCCATTAGTTTAATCCCAGATATTGGCTGTTTCTCAATATGCGTTCTTCAGTGATCTTGCATCCTCATGTAACGTCATCATCAACCGTCAAATCTCAAGAACGAAGGACGCATGAAAGTTCCCGGATGTGTTCTTGAAATCAAAGTTACACCAACGCAGACTTGAGCACCAAACTCGCTTGAGAAGTCCCCGAAGTCATCGCGGCTGATTAAAGGAGGTAGGAAGCACAGCATTTTATATAGATTTATTATAAGTTCAGAGATATTTACCTCAAGAGTTTCCCTAAATGAGACCGTGAAAGTAAACGCATGAAAATCTTGATAAAGGCAGAAACACATTAAGGGTGTTTATTTGCTGAAATTTGTATTAAAATCTGTGTTGTTTTTTTATGCATAATATATATTGTGAAAAAATCTGCAGAGTGGATGATCAACATCAACAGCCTGAGGTATCAAGACATTTGTGCTGCCCATTACATTACAAACCACAGGAGAGGGCGAATTCCTCAGCAGGATAGCGCTCCGCATACTTCAGCCTCCACATCAAAGCTCCTGAAAGCAAAGAAGGTCAAGCTGCTCCATGATTGGCCAGCCCAGTCACCAGACATAAACATTATTGAGCATGTCTGGGGTAAGATGGAGGAGACATTGGCCTTTCATATAAGCCACTTCTGATACCAAATGATCAACTAGAAGTTATTATTTGTTGGTCCTAAAACTAGGCGACAAGACTGTACCGAAAGCAGCAGCAGATCGTTCACCTCAGACCAACATCATCACTCAGTAACTAATTAATCATGTTAAATATGTATTAATTAGATTATAAATCTTTCCAATTTCGTTGCGAGAGCAGTGGCTGCTGTTTAAATGTTTCTGTTGTGTCACGATAGCTTGCTTGTCGCTGGAATCTTGTGGCGTCGTGTTGTTAGGACACGGTGTTACCAGTGGGGCGTGGATTTTAAACAGCTATAAAATGATCCAGAACAGCGCGTGACTTCTGTAGAACTTTCAAAGGTGGATGTGGTCGAGAACAAAACATGACAAAGGCAGTGGATTTTGTGCAGTGTGCATCTATTAACCGAATGACATCAGCGTCGAGAACAGCAAGATTCAAGATGACGAGCCCTTTCACAGCATCTCTGTCAGTCAGTTTGTGATTCTGGACAACAATAATATTCACAATGTGTTTCAATGTCAATGAATCTCACCAGAAAGTTTCATATTTCAGCCTGCATCAGGGGAAATATAAATAAATAAATGCAGCCTATATTATACGGCATGTTCTCAATGCAGACACTATTTCACATGAGGATTTTATATTTAAACATGACCAATAATGAACACTACTGTATTCATTTATCATTTGAATCTTCCAACATTTCTAATTTTGTACATGACTGAAATGTAAAGTTGTATTTGTTAGCATTAGCTTACGCAAAGCCAACTAAAACAACAAAATATTAAGTGTATTAAAGGGTTAGTTCACCCAAAAGAATCGATTCTGTCATCATTTACTCTCCCTTCACTTGTTTATTTTTTTATTGAATGTAAAAGAAGATATTTTGAAGAATGTTGGAAACCTGTAACCATCAACTTGCATAGTATTTGTTTTTCCTACTATGGAAATCAGTGGTTACAGATCTCAACATTACTCAAAATATCTTCTTTTGTGTTCAACAACAAGTTATTAAGTGTATTACAGGGTTAGTTCACCCAAAAGAATCGATTCTGTCATCATTTACTCTCCCTTCACTTGTTTCTTTCTTTTGTTGAATACAAAATATATTTTGAAAAATGTTAGAAAGCTGTAACCATCGACTTCCACAGTATTTGTTTTTCCTACTAGGGAAATCAGTGGTTACAGATCTCAACATTCCTCAAAATATTTTCTTTTGTGTTCAACAAGATAAACAAAAGGTGTTTATAACTACTTGAGGAACAGTAAATAGTGAGTAGCTTTTCATTTCTGAGTGAAATATCCTTTTAAATAAACATTGTACATTTGTGTTCACTTATATATGATAAATTACAGCATTCGCTGATGTTCACATTACCCAATGCTAACAGATACAACCTTCATCATGTTGTATTAGTAAACGTTGAAGTCAACAATAGTTAAGTTGAATGAATGATATAGTGTTGTTTTACATTGTTGATTGGTGCGAACTATAATGTTTACCAATTAAACCTTATTCTAAAGTGTAATCGTAAAAACGTTGAATTTCTATAACAGAAAAAAAACAGCACAATCTCACGGCAATTCGTGACTTTTTGATTTAGTGGCGAATTCGTACAATCTAATTCGTACAATTTAGTACGATTTGCTCATCACCCAATGACAGTTTGGGGTGGGGTTGGGTGCCACGCCTCCTTTTTAAAATCGTACATTTTCGTATGACTGAACTCGTACGAATTCGCCACTAAACTGTCAAAACGTAAAATACTTACGTTTCCTCGTGAGATCAGGCTGGGAAAAACAGATGTATACATATTGTCGTATTTATTGCATTGCTATTAAATACTGTAACAGAATTAAACAAAAAAAATCTAGATACAGCAAAATATCTCAAATCAAATCAAGCATTGAATAAACATCCAGTGAGTCGACGATTTCCATCTGCAATTATATATGGAGGAAACCTGCAGAAAACAATAAATAAATACATAAACAAATTAATAAATGCACAAATTCCTGCGTAAATAAAACAATAAATGATAAATACGCAAAAATAAATAAATATGTAAATACACAAATTCCAAAAAAACCTTTTCATTAGCATGTTGAGCTGAGGGAAAGTAAACACGAAACTACGTTCATAAATTAATAAATGCTTGAAAGAGGGAAAACCTTCAGCTTAGCATTGTATTATTTTATTTTATTCAATTTATTTTATCATTAATCTGCCCACAACATTAATTATTTATATATTTATTTAAAAAATAAAACAATAAATTCAAAGCAAAATTTACATATATATATATATATATATATATATATATATATATATATATATATATATATATATATTTATATATTAGCTCTTTATTCATTTATTGTTTTATTTATGCAAAAATTTGTGGATTTAATAGATTATTTATTTGCATATTTACTTATTGTTTTTGCAGGTTTCGTCCTCCATATGAGTACACTAAAACCATGTGAAAATGAAATTCTGCGACAAAAACAGCGTTTTGTTTTCATATAAAATGACGGGGCTACATTTCTAATCAGGACTGCTGTCTTCATGTGAGATAATAGTGAACAAACAGTAATAAATATGTGTCGCATCGCTTTATTACACTAAAACAATGCGAAAATAATGTCAGCGACAAGAACAGCTGTGAGTTTTCATATGAATTAAATGTGGCTACATTTCTAATTCGGACTGCTGTCTTGATGTAACATCACTGAACAAATAATAATAAATGTGTGTGGGAAAATGAACAAAACAAGCAGCCTGTGCAACATTTCTGCCAACACTCAAATGTTTTTTTTTTTTTTTTGTAGTTGTTGTTGCTACTTTCCCCTCTTGGATCGTCCTTTACGTCCGGTCAGTTTTCCGGATCCGTGTGCTGAGGGTCCAGGCTGCGGGGCTGCAGGGGCCGAGGCGATGTTGATCTGGCCCTCCTGGATCTCCTGCCGCGTGTCTGCCGGCATGCGGTCGATCTGCTGCTGCGTCTCCAGGTAGAACATCACATCTCTCAGCTGCTCCTGGAGCTCTGCGATCTGGCCGTCCTTATTGGCCGCCGTGTCCTGGACCCGCCTCTCCTCCTCCTGCAGCTGCGCCTGGAGCTGCGTCTGATTGGCTCGCAGGCATCGGTTCATCTCCTGCTCCTCCCGCAGCTCCTGACTGAGCTTCGCCACTTTATTGTTCAGCTGGGAACATCTGCAGCAAACAGCGCAAATGTAAGATTTGATAGAAATATTGCATTTCAACACATGCGGCGTTTAGCTGAACTACGCCGCTCGGTTTAAATAATGCACCAACTATTTTTACAGAGTTGAAGTCAGAATTATTAAACCCCTTTCAAATTTGTTTTCTTTTATAAATATTTCCCAAATGATGTTTAACAGAGCAAGGAAATTTTCACAGCATGTCTGATCATATTTTTTCTTCTGGAGAAAGTCTTGTGTGTTTTATTTCGGCTAGAATAAAAGAAGTTTTCAATTTTTTAGAAAACATTTTAAGGTCAAAATTATTAGTCCCTTTAAGCTATATTTTTTTTCGATAGTCTACAGAACAAACCATTATTATACAATAACTTGCCTAATAACCCTAACCTGCCTAGTTAACCTAGTTAAGCCTTTAAATGTCACTTTAAGCTGTATAGAAGTGTCTTGAAAAATATCTAGTCAAATATTATTTACTGTCATCATGACAAAGATAAAAATAAATCAATTATTAGAGATGAGTTATTAAAATATTATGTTTAGAAATGTGTTGAAAAAATCTACTCTCCGTTAAGCAGAAACTGGGGAGAAAATAAACAGGCGAATAATTCAGGAGGTTTAATAATTCAGATTTCTTCTGTATATATACACATATAGCGCTCAACGTGAGTTCACTCCTTACGAATTTCCCATTTAAATTTATATTTACTAAAGGAAGCTTTACAATCGTATATAATATTGCAATATTCAATTAAAAAAAATAAAAAACAAGATTCAAGATAAACAAAAAATGTATGCAAATGGTTGAAATTATGTAGGGTGTAATATTTTTTGCAATATTTCACATGAATTTAATTGTGTCATCTTTCCATCTCTAAATATGTTTGGTGAATAAAATGTTATTTTAATAAATATATCTGTTTAATAAATCTATTTTGTTCAAATGCACCAACATATATGGACCTATATTCACTGAAAAATGGATTTTAAAAAAATGGATGGAAAATGGGGTGTACTCATTTACGCTGAGTCCTCTATATATATATATATATATATATATATATATATATATATATATATATATATATATATATATATATATATATATATATATATATATACATATACATATACATATACATATATACGGTTGAAACCAGAAGTTTACATACACTCTAAAAAAAGGAACATAACCATTTTCTTTAAATGTCTGATGGTAAACCAGACTAAACGTTTCCTATTTTAGGTCCGTTAGGATTACCTAAATGATTTTACATTTGCTAAATGCCACAATAATGAGAGAATGTTTTATTATTTCTAAACAGTCAAAAGTTTACACATTTCCTTGGTATGTTTTCAGCTTTGCTTTTAAACTGTGTAACTTTGGTCAAATGTTTTGGGTTTCCTTCCACAAGCTTCTCACAATAGTTTGCAGGAATTTTGGCCCATTCCTTTCAAAGGTGAACAGAATTGGTGTAACTGAGTCAGATTTATAGGCTGTCTTGCTCGCACAAGCTTTTTCAACTCTGCCCACACATTCTCTAAAGGATTGAGATCAGGGCTTTGTGATGGCCACTCCAAAACATTCACTCTATTGTCCTTAAAGCACATTTGAACTAATTTGGCTGTATGCTTAGGGTCATGGTCTGTTTGGAAGACACATTTGTGGCCAAGTTGTAATTTCCTGGCTGATGTCTTGAGATGTTGCTTCAGTATTTCTGCATAATGTTCTGTCTTCATGATGCCATCTATGCTGTGAAGTGGACCAGTCCCTCCAGATGTAACACTGATCATTACGGCCAAACAGTTCAATCTTAGTTCCATCAGACCACAGGACATGTCTCCAAAACTTAGTCTTTTTCCCAGTGTATTTGAGCAATTTGTAATCTGGCTTTGTTGTTGATTCTGGCTTGTTGATTTTCCCATGTTGTCACACAAGGAAGCAGTGTGTTTGAGGTTTTCCTTCAATACTATTCTACTGTTGTGCCTCCAGTCAACTGAAATGTTGTTGATTAGCCAATCAGAAACTTCCAAAACCTTGACATCATCATCTGAGCTTTTTCAGAGGCAGAATAATCTTATTATATGTAAACTTGACTTTCAAGAAAAGTTATAACAATTTCTCAAACAATATCTCTCATTATTCTGCTATTAAGCAGAAACAATATAATAATCCCAACTTACCTAAAAGTGAAGAAGTTAAGTCACATTAACATCTGACTTTATTAAAATGGTCATGTGCCTTTTTATACAGTGTATGTGAACTTCTGGTTTTAACAATATATATATATATATATATAACAATAAAAAAAAATGTGTTTTTATATGTAAAACTGAACTCTTAAACATTTAAATCTTTTTCAGTTGTAAACAGAATGAAGCTGAAAGTGTGTGTTACTTCTTGTCGATAGACTGTTTGTCTTTGGCGAGTTCGTTGAGTTTGCGCTCCAGACTGTCACACTTGTCGATGGTCTCCTTGAATTTGGCCTTCATGTTGTTGATCTAAAACACAAAGAGAAGCGGCTTCACTGCTGTTCATTTGACTTCAGGCTGATTATTATGATCATGGTAATGCATTACGGATGTGTTCTCACCTCTTCTGCTGTGTCTTTTTCCAGATGAACGATTTTATTCTCCCAGTATATGCGCTGAGACTCCAGCTGACTGGTTAATAAATATGAATACTGGAGACAGAAAAGCGTTCAAATATGAGAGAGAAGAGTATCTAACACAATACAACTTACAATATCACACACACACACAGATACGCAGGCACACAAACTTACACATTCACACACGCACATACTCAAATACATCCTTTGACACATGCCTATACAGACACAAACACACATACACACATGCACAGACTCACGCATATGCCCTGACACACACAGGAACAAATACACACACCCAAAAGAAACATACAAATGTACATGCACGCACTCACAGACACAAAAACACACACGAACAGAGACACAGTCACATGAACGCAGTCGCATACAGATACATACACGCACACAGAGACACAAGAACACAACACAAATGCACAAAGACACACACACACACACCTCGAGCTGCAGCGCATCGATCTTCTCATCCTGACACGTGTCTCCCTCACACTCGTACTGCACCATCTTCCCGTCGGTTTTACTAGCAACAAGCCGATGAACGTAGTTATCTGAAAGACAGAGACGATGTTCAGAAACCTTTGTGGACACATGAGAAACTCACATTAAAATGATTTCATCAGTACATTAATCAATTCGAAAATGTAAATACCGAAATGGTAAATTTCCCTTAAACAATACTCACGACAATATTCACTGTTTTTATTATTATTTCTAACCTGAATGCTTACACTTACCGGCCACTTTATTAGGTACACCTGTCCAACTGCTCGTTAGCGAAAATTTCTAATCAGCCAATCACATGGCAGCAACTCAATGCATTTAGGCATGTAGACATGATCAAGACAATCTGCTGCAGTTCAAACCGAGCATCAGAATGGGGATTTAAGTGACTTTGAATGTTGGTGCCAGTTGGGTTGGTCTGAGTATTTCAGAAACTGCTGATCTACTGGGATTTTCACGCACAACTATCTCTAGGGTTTACAGAGAATGGTCTGAAAAAGAGGAAATATCCTGTGAGTGGCAGTTCTGTGGGTGCAAATGCCTTGTTGATGCCAGAGGTCAGAGGAGAATGGCCAGACTGGTTCCAGCTGATAGAAAGGCAACAGTAACTCAAATAAGCACTCGATACAACCGAGCTCAGCAGCAGAGCATCTCTGAACACACAACACGTCCAACCATGAGGCGGATGGGCTACAGCAGCAGAAGACCACACCGGGTGCTGCTACTGTCAGCTAAGAACAGGAAACTGAGGCTACAATTCACACAGGCTCACCAAAACTGGACAATAGAAGATTGAAGAAACGTTGCCTACTCTGATGAGTCCCGATTTCTGCTGCAACATTTGGATGGTCGGGTCAGAATTTGGTGTCAACACCATGAAAGCATGGATGGATCCATCCCGTGTACCTGTCTTCTGATGGCTACTTCCAGCAGGATAACACATCATGTCATAAAGCGTGAATCATCTCAGACTGGTTTCTTGAACATGACAATGAGTTCACTGTACTCAAATGGCCTCCACAGTCACCAGATCTCAATCCAATAGAGCACCTTTGGGATGTGGTGAAATCTGAGATTGACATCATGGATGTGCAGCCATCAAATCTGCAACTGCGTGACGCTATCATGGACCAAAATCTCTGAGGAATATTTCCAGTACATTAATGAATCTATGCCACGAAAGATTAAGGCAGTTCTTGGGGGCAAAAGGGGGCCAACCCAGTACTAGTAAAGTGTACCTAATTAAGTGTCCGAACAAAATAAAAATATTTTAATACATTATTAACTACATCTAATCATTTCTAAATAGTGTATTACTATTAAACAGTATCATTTTAAATATCGAAATCTTAAATATTAAAAACTTAGCAACTTCTTTCTACAATGTACTATTTTTCTCTGAAAACGATACTTACAATTTAAATAACAGCTATTATTATATCTGCATGGACATTAACGCAATAAATTGAACGCAATATTATTTATGGTCACGTTTCATCATCTCAAGTGCACTGAGATGTCACACACCTCCAGCATAGTCCCAGACCCTGTGATTGGTCAGCTGCATGGCGTAAGTGTGCTGCGTTTCCTCAAAGTGCTTGTAAGCATGACGACTGACGTAACGTCCGCAGCCGATGTGACCGCAGATGAGACAGATCCACAGATTCTAGGAGAACAAATATTAATAATTAATAACACATAAACATCCATTTGCGAATGCCAAACTACAGCCCCTGAACATTCTGAATGTGCTGTAAGAGGAAGAGCACTACAGTAATCAAGCCTCAACGTTTAAGAATGGACGAAGCCTAACAATTTTTCTAAGGTGGAAAAATTCAGATTTTGAAAAAATATTAAGGGAAACACTGTGAATAAGTTCTTGCTCTGTTAAACATGATTTGGAAAATACTTTCAAACAAAGACAGAAAACAAATTCACAGGGCGAATAGTTTTGACTTTAACTGCAAGTAACTGGCTGATTACTATTAATCTACAATAATCATTCATCTATTATAGCCATGAATGAGACATCAGTCAGGTCTGTTACCTCTTGAACGCCACACTCGAAACACTTGTTTTCCTCGACGGGTTCAGGAGTTTGACAGTATCTGCACACAGGACACCTGCAGGAGAAGAAGTGCACATTATTAGAGATATTCAAGATGGGCCCAAATAGGGCTGGGTGATATTGCAAAAAGAATTATCACAATATAGTTTTACATATCATTCGGTATTGATAATTATTGAATATTTTTTTATCAATACATTTGGGAATGTTAGGATTTCTTTTAATTAACCAATGTATTTTAATTTACCAACATTATGTAGGCAAATAGTTTTAACAGTCAAAAACTAAAATATTGAAACAAAATATCTGATCTCTTTATAATAAAACAAACAGAAGAGACTCTTAAACCTGATTAATAAAATGTGTTCACTAACCCAGTCTATATATATACATACATATATATACATATATATATATACACACACACACATATATATATATATATATATATATATATATATATATATATATATATATACACACACATTATATATATATATATTTATATATATATATATATATATATATATATACACACATATATATATATATATAGATATATACAGTATATATATATATATATATATATATATATATATATATATATATATATATATATATATATATACAGTTGAAGTCAGAATTATTAGCCCCCCTGAATTATTGGCACCCCTGTTTATTTTTTTCCCCAATTTCTGTTCTGTTCTGGAAAGATTGTTTCAGCACATTTCTAAGCATAATAGTTTTAAAAACTTATTTCTAATAACTGATTTATTTTATCTTTTCCATAATGACAGTAAATAATATTTTACTAGATATTTTTTAAGACACTTCTATACAGCTTAAAGTGACATTTAAAGGCTTGACTGGGTTAATAAGGTGAACTAGGCAGGTTAGGGTAATTAGTCAAGTTATTGTATAATGATGGTTTGTTCTGTAGATTATCGAAAAAAAAAATTAGCATAAAGGGGCTAATAATTTTGTCCCAAAAATGTTTTTTTAAAAATTAATAACTGCTTTTATTCTAGCCGAAATAAAACAAATAAGACTTTCTCCAGAAGAAAAAATATTATCAGACTTACTGTGAACATTTCATTGCTCTGTTAAAAATCATTTGGGAAATATTTAAAAAAGAAAATAAAAATCAAAAGGGGGCGAATAATTCTGACTTCAACCGTATATATATATATATAAATGCTTAAAATAAAGTAATTTATTTTAAAAATTGCAAAGTGAGTGCAATGGTAAAGGTATATCAACATCTGTGAGGTCTGAATAAAAATTATACAGTAAACCTCAAACTCTGTCAACGACACAAATAATGATAATCAAATCTGAGCTTCCAAGTAAAAGAACCAACCATCACTATTCAAATACATACTGCAACAAGTTGAATGACTGCTAATGAACACTTCATATCAATCAGAGGCTTTGTATGCATTCAACAATTGACCTGCGTAAACATTTGATCATCACGTAAAACCAATCCCAATCCAACGCCAGTGGTTCTGAACTCCTATTATGCGCATGAAATGTGACACTGCGACGTTCATCTCACAGGTCAGAGGTCGACTATGACAATTCAACGCAAACATAAGGTTGACAACAGAAAACAGCCCAGCAAACCTTTATCACATGCCAATGAAGCATTATGATGCAAAGGTTGAAAGTGACGCGCAAACATAACAGATGAGAGTAAAATATTGTTCATGCACCGATGCGTCATGGGAGAAGAATGTGACGTGATGAGAAGGGTGTGGATCAAATACATCAGGCATGAACAAAACAAACTGAAAACGTACGTCTTAATGTTACCAGAAGTGTACAGTGGGGGGTCACGTATTGAACACGTCATGTTTTTTCATGAGGATATTATTACTCAAAAAGCTGTTGACATGGAATTAAAGCAGGTTTTGGTAAATACCCAAACAATACAGAAGGAGACAGTACTGAATTACTAAAGTGTGTTTAATACTTTATATAAAAGGCTTTGTTGGTGATGGCAGCTTAAAGACGCCTCTCATATGGAGAATGAAGTCACATGCAGTGCTCAGGTGTGAGTTTTTCACAGAGTGTAAAACTCTTGATGTTTCTGTGAGTCTCCTCTATCAAATCAGAGCTTTATTTTGTATTGTCTATTGGATTCAATTTGACTTTCTTTCTCTGAAAGCATTTGAGAGTCTTCTTGGCTGTGTTTTGGATCATTGTCTTGCTGAAATGTCCCTTCTGCTTTCATCTTCGTCATCTTGCAAATGTAGATGTTGAACTGAAGCAGCTGATATTCATTCACACTAAGGAAGGGTGGATTGTTGCTGAAGAACTACTGAGAGATTTCAGCTGCTGTCTGGACTTTCCATACCTTTCTACACCTTCCTTTCTTCATGTGTTTAATACTATTTCCTTGTGTCATTTATTTTAATTACGCAGACCTTTGTTTGTAAACTAATTCTATTAGTTTTCTTTGCATATATGGACTTCTTTGGTTGTTACCAACATCCAGTGAAAATTTCAAGTCAAAAGCACCTTTATAAATGTTTTATGAGAAAAATGGTGACGTGTTCAATACTTATTTTCCCCGCTGTATATATATAACTATTTTTAATAATAATTAAATGTATTTTAACTATAAAATAGATTAATCCAATGTATTAAAAAGGATATTTCAGCCAAAAGAAAAACATTTATTCATCCTCAAGTGGTTTTAAACTATTATGAGATTCTTTCTTATGTTAAACACAAAAGAAAATATTTTTTAACGCTGTTAGAAACCTGTAACCATTGTAACTTTCATAGTAGGAAATGCAAATACTATTCATAAAAACGAAACCCTAATTTATTAATGATTTACCCCAAAAGGCAGCATGTAAAAGCTAAAATAATATAGGGCTAGGTGATATTGCAAAAAGATTTAGCACAATACAATTTTTTTATATCATAATACAATTAGGAACGTTAGGATTTCTTTTATTTAACCATTTTATTTTAATTTACCAACATTATGAAGCAAATACTTTTAATAGTCAAAAACTAAAATATTGAAACAAAATATCTGACCTCTTTATAATAAAATAAACAGAAGAGACTCTTAAACCTGATTAATAAAATATGTTAATTAAATTACAAAGTTTGTGCAATGGTGAAGGTATATCAACATCTGTGAGGTGTGAATAATAATGATACAGTAAACCTCAAACTCTGTCAACGACACAAATTATGATAATCAAATCTGAGCTTCCAAGTAAAAGAACCAACCATCACTATTCAAATACATACTGCAACAAGTTGAATGACTGCTAATTCTAAAAGCTCTTTCAGATGGGAAGCTGGTGGCTGGGATGCACAAGAAAAGAAACCAAAAAGCCACTCTGGCGACATCCTTACATCCTTTTTTTATTTACAATCTCCTCACTGCTGCTATACGGCACTCATTTTTGCTTGTGTTGTTATTCTGACCTGAAGTGACAAAACTTCAAACCGATCTCTTTTTTTTTTTATCGTTATTGACAATGGTGTTTGGTCAGATAAATACCGTTTATAAATACTGATTCTGATTTTATCGTCCAGCCCTAGGCCCAAGCAAAGAACCCTGGAATACCCTAGCTGTGTGACTCAAATTAATAGAATTTAATAGCATTTCTCAGACTTTTTCCAAGTCATGATAATTCAATTAGTGTCAACATGTATTAAACCTATATATTTACATAAAAAAACATCAAAATAAAATAAAAACAGCTTTAAATGTTAAATTAGCGTACATTTTCAGATTTTTATAACAGATTTTTCATGCTGCAATGGCTAGTCAAATGCTGTTCTTATACATTTATCAATAAAATTCAGCTCTAAAAGTAAGTCAGTCAATAGCCACCGGTTTTTAGCATTTTTCAAAATATCTTCTTTTGTATTCAGCAGAGGTAAGAAAGTCAAACAGGTCTGTGACCAGTGAATAACGAGTAAATGATGATAGAGGTTTCAGTTTTGGGGTGAACTGTCCCTTTAAACTGTCGTCATTTGATATAACTGTGGTATTTAGCTATCTAATCTGTTTTTTTTTCTAGCTTAATTAAACATATTATATTCATTTCAAACCCAAACATCAACAAAAAAGTTCAAAAGTTGCAATGAGACTATAAAAAACACTTTTGTCTTAAATCTTTATAACTTTTAATTCACATAAGATAGCAAAATAATTAGTTTTTCCTAATTTTACTGCCGCCAGGTGGAATAAAATTAATACAAATAGATGTATTAGGAAATTACAGATAATTATAATTAATATATATGTGTGTGTGTGTGTGTGTGTGTGTGTGTGTGTGTGTGTGTGTGTGTGTATATATATTATAGATAATAAATAATTATTATATTAAATGTAATCTATAAATTATAGATTCTGGGGCAAAAAAATTTACAAAATCTGACTTTTTGTATCTGTTTATCATATATTTATGAAAAAAACAATAATAAATATGCAATGTTTTACATGCATCTTAAAATTTAGAGGGTTTTCTGTAAAACATAACCATTTTTATTAATCTACTTTAAAGTATGTGATCATGGCACTCTTTTAAAGTTAGAAAAGTAAATTTCTGTAAAAAAAATGTAATCAAAATGTGCAGCAAGTGGTTAAAAGTATATATATAGATTAAACTTAAATCAACTTTAATAGTTACAAATATCTTTAACATATATATATATATATATATATATATATATAGACACCATGTTGATTCTAAATGCTTTGGTTGTGAATGACAACACTCACGATGCATCTTCCCATCTCTGCAGACACTGGCTGTGGAAGCTGTGGTTGCATAAAGTGGTCAACACGCCGTTGACTGACTCGTCCATGCGCTCCAAACACACGGTACACTTGGGCAGCTCCGTCAGATCCATCACAGGTAAACTGGCCCCCTGTTTATAACACAGAGTTTCAGATCATTCAAAACATTCCAGAACACTGAGGCTATTGTTATGCATGTAAATCAGTGCTAGAAACATGGCGTGTTTGTTTGTGTGTGTGCACTCATGTGCGCTTGTGTTTTTAAGCAGAAACAGCTAGTCAACAACAACAAAAATGGTTAACCCTGGTCACTTACCTCTTCAGATTTGATGACTTCCGCTCTCTCCACATAGACCAACTGGCAGACGGCATCCTCAATGGAGTTGAACTGACGGCCGTTGCACGTTGTGTAGAAGCTGTCGGCATCAGCCTAACGAATTGAAAAGCACAGTTTAACCAGTTAAACTCTGCTGCAATTTTGGGATTTCCACCTGGATTTTTTCTACCCAAATTTAAAAGCTTCCCAAATCCACATGCAGAGGTGTAAATGCAAAAATTTGGTATGATTTTAAAGAAAACCCTTTGAATTTTCATAAAACGCTTTTGAAAGTGTTTAAAATATCTGTATATGTTGTCTGTGTTATAATAAACACCTAAAAAAAGAGGCGATTTTTGTACTTTTTTTTTAATAAACTCAAATTTGAAAGTGTACCTTTTAGGTTGTGTGTGGTTTAGCGTGCTGTAATTAATGTTGGTGGTTCCTGCACATGTCTGTAATCATAGAAAAAAAGAGAAATGTCTCCACCATAATCTATGCAAAAGTTATTGTATTCCAACTGATGAGAGGTGCTGTGCAAGCCACAGGGAGCGATCATTGTTTACATATTTCACTATTCTTGTGTTTGATCAAACATAATTCACTGTGTTTGGAGCACGTCAGACATATAAAAGGATTACTCATGCACATCACCTCAAAAACAGAGGAGAATGGCCCTGAAGCGCACAGCATAAGGTAAGAGATGACAGCTGTCTGTGCTATCTGGGGCTGCTTATTGATCATAAATGTATTGTTTACATTTCTGCGCCATGGAAACACCACGATTCATTCAGCAACTGTTTGATATGTGAATATAATTCAGCAAAAAGAATACTAGAACCATATAAGCACTCTCAAAAGCTTTCATTTGAGCTATAACTTATACATGTGCCATGAAAATAAACCAATGTTCAATGCCCAGCTCGGGTATCCAAAATACTGTGTATTTATGTGTAAATAACTTTTGTACAGTAGAATTAAAACAAAAGTGATGCATATATGCATAAAATATAGATTCTACACTTTCAAATGACACCACTTACGGAGGTCTGGTGCAATGCTAGCCCTTTAAATCTTAAAGCGAAAGTCGATGACGTCACGGACCCGTGGGATGGGGTGTTCTCCTGTCAGCCAAAGTAATGAACACAGCCCAGTGCCTACATTGATATGCACTGTTTACATTGCAAGAAGGTAAGAGAAGTCTCTTGAATACTGTCAGGAATTCAGCTTTTGGGATGGGGTTGGCCACCAGTAAGAAACGGTGAATGAGAAGGTTCTGGAAAGTGATTTTCCTGCATGTTGGTTTTGGTACCATGATGCAGTGCTCATTTATAGACTTGTAAGAGCATGTGGAGATAGGAGTGTGCAGGTACTATGGCTGATCTCTAAGCAAGCATCATTGCCTTTAATGCCTGATGAGGGTTGCATCCAGATAAAGAAAGGTGTGATGGGGGCTCTCTTGGGCTCGTTGAAGACCAGTCATGCAGCAGCATTTTAAACAATTTGTTGAGGATTAATTGCACGATTAAAATCCAGCCTATATTCCAACCCGTTGGTATTTCTCAGCTGGACTATTGCAAGGCTTTTCTGACTGGACAAGAATTTGAGCAGAATTTACGGAAGGCCTGACTTTTCTTATACTGAACATTTATAACCCCATTGAGACGACATGGACCATGCAATGACCAGTGGCGTAGTGCAAAATGCGGAGATCGCTGACGGGGCCCCCTGATGAAGAGAGGGGGGGGATACGTCATATGTCAATTTGCATATCACTGACGTCATCACGTTTTTACCGTTTATGTTTGTTTAAAAGCCTATGGTTAATAAAGGGGTATTTATAATTGCACTACACTTTATATACGCATGTTTATTTAACTAAAGTTATTGCTGTTTGAATACAGTATGTCATTATAGATATGTAGTGAATGTGCAGTAATCTCTCATATGTAATGAACTCAGACAAGTTCAGAAACTGTCACTAAAATATCTGTGATTGTGAACAAGAAAAGAATAAACGCTCCAATTAAATTGTTAAAATAAAGTAGAAGTAGATCGGTTTGACTGTACAAGGGAAATACCTTCACACTGCCTGTGCTAAATCATTTGTCGTCGGTACGCAGAGGGGTGATCTGCTCTCGGGCTGCAGGTGGGAGAGGCTGCTGTAGAGGACTGACTGGGCCGCCTGTCAGTGCTGTGAGGCGGGGGAGGGGCCGGCGGCATCACACGCAGCTCGTTGAGAAGAGTAGGGACGGTACAGTATGGACAAATGACAGTCTAAAAAAAATCTCCAATAACACCCAAAAAAGTCGCTAGATTTGTCGCTAGGGGGGTCTGAAAAGTCGCTAAATCTAGTGACAAAGTCGCTAAGTTGGCAACATTGGCGGCAAGCAATCAGAATGAAGTAGTCCACCGCTTGAGGTGTTCAGAGAACACAGACCTGTGAACTTTGGTTCCGACCACAGTTGTTCCCAAGAGTTTGATTATTGCGGTTGCCGGTGGATTATCAATTATTGAAAATCATGACGACGTGGGGCCCCCTAATCACGCGGGGCCCCCCCGCGGTGCTTGCCCTGCGGGCCCGTCCGCTACGCCACTGGCAATGACGTACAAATGACATAACATGACATGTGAAATGAGTTGTGGTCATCTACAGTTCTCCAACAACCTATCAGTCCTCACATCATTCTCTCAGCCGCAAACTGAAGTTTTAGCAAAGGGAATGGGTCATTTTACTGCCTGACGAGCATAAGCAGCATTAAATGTATGTAGTCTCTTAATTAACACTTGGTCTGCTCTTTAAAGCAAAGACAATAAGCAACGATAGGAGAATACTATCTGGAAACAGGGGGAACTCCTATTCATACAGTGTGCACATGTCAAAAAACATTACATAGCAAACACACCTGACTCCTGAACTTGACCAGCACCATGTACTGGTTTGGCGTGGAATCCCGGATAATCTTCATGTGCTCCATGACATCATTGTAGGGAGCCACGAACTTCATGAGGTCATGGCTGGTCATGGTGGTGGGTACCGTGAGGATACACAGCATCGCACTCCGCCTCACATCCTCCGTTAGTGACGTCATCTTACTGCAACGTGACATCACACAACACAAAGACAACAAGGTCAAACAATGCAGCATGGTGTCTGTTGTTTTAAAAGACTGTGTTTTCTTGGACAGTATAGGAAGTGTATTTAATACTTTATGTAAGGGTTCTTTCACACCTACACTTTTGTTTCGGTGTCTCGTTTGCCAAGTTAGCGCGGTTTGTTTGGCATATGTGAACAGGGCAATCGCGCTCTGTTCCGCGCCAAAGTAATCGCTCCGAGATCGCTTGAATGAGGTGGTCTCGGCTTGATTGAAACGAACCCTGGAGCGGTTCGATTGCAGTGAGAAAGCGATCCGATACGAGCGCGGTTATATCACAGTGTTTTATGGATATGTAATAGGCATACGGCTGTATGAAGAGAGAATTATGAGTATGGCGGAAAGTTTCGCGAGACCCCGGATGCCCGCAAACGAGTGATGATCTCCTGGTAATCTCGCATCTCCTTCCCGGTCCTCAAATAGGCATCGTCGCGCACCCTTCTCACCCCTCCCCAACGCGTTTCTCCTCAGACACGTCGCGCGCGCGCACCCTGTCAATCACCATCAAACCACCACCTCTCCTGACAGCTGAGCGGGACGCTGCAAAATAAACCCTGACACTCTGACCAATGTGAGGAGAGTTAACGCACACGTGACTTGTTTTAGCTCTTTTGGTCCGATTAGAAATTTTGCAGTGTGAAAGTGAACCGCTCCAGAGCAAAGAGCAACAATGTAACAATTGTAATCTCTGTTTCGGAACAACTGAATCGATTCACAGGTGTGAAAGAACCCTAAAAGGCTGTTTTGGTGACGGCAGCTTAAAGACGCCTCTCATGTGGAGAATGGTTTCCTCTTCATCCTCCTGCTAATGTAGATATTCATTTACACTGAGGAAGGGCTGAGGGCTGCTGAAGAACTACTAAGAGATTTCATCTGCTGTCTGGGCTTTCCATGCCTTTCTACACCTCCCTTTCTTCATGTGTTCAATACTTTTTCCCTGTGTCATTTCATTTTATTACACAGAACTTCATTTCTAAACTAAATTAGTTTTGTTTTCTTTGCATATATGGATTTCTATGGTTGTTACCAACATCCGGGGAAAATTTTAAGTCAACAGCACCTTTAGAAACATGTTTTCTGAGGAAAATGATGGCGTGTTCAATTCTTATTTCCCCCACAAAGATTTTTTAAAATACTGCAACTGTAAACATATCTATGCAGCACAGTACAGCTTATATAAATTGGAGCAGAATGTGTTTGATGATCCATTAAAAATATGCAATGAAGTCGGCATCAATATGGCCTAGTGGGCAGTGCTCCACATATAGCACTGCAACCATATCACTGCACTGCAGGCTTTCAGAGTTCAAGTCCTGACTTGTGTGCATTTCCCAATCACATCCCTCTCTCTTCAAATTTGCTTCCTACACTGTCTAGTCAAAATATTCAAATATGCAAAAGAGAATGAGACTCTCACTAGTGATGGTCTAACGGGTTGAGCTTATTCTCTTAATGAGTTATGGGTTAGTTTTGAGCATAACCTGTATTAAACCAATCAGAGTCTCATCTCCTATTCCTTTTAAGAGTCAGTTTTGTCACGCCATGGCACATTTGCTATTTACATGGCGGACTTTGTACATGGAAAAACTGAACGCTTCAATAGTGAGAAAACAGTTAAACAGAGCATCTGCAGCATTAGGATAAAGAACGAGCCTCCTCCATTCAGCCTCTTTCACTTTACTTTACTCTTTACTCCTTTACTTTCGTGAAGTAAGGAAATGGTGGAAATTCACTCCACTGAAGACATCCATTAGCCTACATATTTAATTTAGTTTGTTAAACGCAAAGATTTCCAACAAACGAATAAATGAACTGAGTTATATCCAAACACACATCCTGTTCTTATGCCCCATATGGTGATGCAGACGTTTCCTAAACCCCACAAGAGGACAAATCTTAACTTGTTTTTATTAAAACAAAATAAATATGCATATAATTAATAATACTACAAATAATAATAACACTATACAAAAGCAAATTGTCATGAATAAACTGAAAAAGCTCCCTGAGGCATGAAGAAGGCATGGAGGCAGTGTTTTTTTATATTTATGTAGAAAATAATACTTTTGGTAACGTTTTAATCCTTTAATTGTTTTCATATGTTAAGATATTTGTGTATCACAAAGAGTCCACAGAGCGGCGCAAATGGATTTACTATTTAAAGAATGTGGCGCAAAATGGGAAAAATTAGAGTTGAGTTGGTCTGAAAATAGCGACAAATCACGCAATACACGTGATTTCATATTTCAGTTTAATATTCAGAGATTATGACAAACAAAACACTTCACAGGACCTTTAAGTACCTGTAATAAAGTGTTCACTACTTATTTTCCCAAATATCAACAGCATTTATGTTTAATCACTGAATCGATTTGAGGATTGAATCAAAAATCTAATTATATCATGAGCTTGTGAAACCAAATCAAATCAGGACATGTGAATCGATACCCAGACCTAGTAAAAAAAAGAGAGGGTATTAGCATAGATGCAAAGCTAGACAGTACTAACTTAGTTTTGTAGAGGTGCATGATGCCGTGGACGATCTCCACCGATGGGTTTCCACTGAAAAAGGAGATCTGATCCGGCAGCTGTTTGGAGGGAGAGTCGGGTGTCATGTTCACATCTGTCTGGCTGACGTCACCTTCTTTACCTTCCTCAGCTCCTGAATTAATAACAGTCACTCATTACTGGCCAACTGGTGTCGAAATACAGTTGAAGTCAGAATTTTTAAAGTTTTTTTCTCAAATATTTCCCAAATGACATTTAACCGATTCAGGAATTTTTAACAGTATTTCCTATAATGTTTTTTCTTCTGGAGAAAGTCTTATTTGTGTTATTTCGGCTAGAATAAAAGCTGTTTTATTTTTTTAAAACCATTTTAAGGTCAATATTATTAGCCCCTTTAAGAAACATTTTTGTTTCTGATTGTCTAAAGAGCAAACCATCATTATACAATGCTTTGCATATTTACCCTAACTTGCCTAATTAACCTAGTTAAGCCTTTAAATGTCACTTTAAGCTGAATACTAGTATCTTGAAAAATATCTTAGGCATGTTAGGGTAATCAGTAGGCCCACACGAAATCTGTGCGCGCAGAATTCCGCAGATTTCTGCCGATTTTTAGCTCATCATTAATTCTGTTTATTTACTTGAGTAAATGTGTGTGAATCTAAATTTATTTTGTTTTTTAATTAACTACAGTAATATTATTGACTAATATGAAAGTATTCATCTGATTTATGTACAATACAGTTTGTAAAGTAATATTTTCTGTATTTTAGTAGATATATTATATGAGAGACTTGCTTTGTTAACCCAATAAAGTGAATCTAATTAGATTTGCAATTTAAACATTAAATAAAAGTTAAAAAGCTATAACTTTTTATTTCACTAATTAAGGTTTTAGTTATGATACTCCCGAAATAATTCCGCAGATTTTTACCAAAATTCTCCGCAGAAATAGCAAAAAACGTTTGCAGATTCCGTCTGGCCCTAGTAATCAGGCAAGTCGTTGTATAACACAGTTTTTTTCTGTAGGAAATTGAAAAAAGAAAATTTACCTTAAAATTTTTATTTTTTATTTTTTAAATGCTTTTTTTGTAGGTGAAATAAAGTTAAAAAAAATAATATAAAATATAATATTAAAAAAAGTAAAGAAAAAAATATTATCTCGAAATACTGTGGAACTTTTTTTTTGCTCCACTGAATATCACTTGGAAAATATCTGAAAAAAGTTGTACTTTTCACAGGAGGACTAAATAATTAAAACATCTCTTAAGCTAACTAATTAAGTCTCCAACCACTTTTTGTTAAATAATAAATAATTATTTACGGCATTTTGAAGTCCCCGCAATATCAATATTGTCCATGTTGATTATCCCTATATACTGATTATCGGCATGTGTCTACTTGCGATGCAAACCTGTGCTGGGCTGAAAGGTCTCGATCACCATGTCGCTCATGACGCGGCTGCCTAGGTGCTGATGGAGGATCGCTCCTCGCTCCAGGTCCGTTTTTCCACCCAGCGTGGCTTTCGCAGAACCCAGAGCTTTCTCTCTCATCTCGTCCTCAGACATCTCTGACACTGAGGGACACAGGAGAGGAAAAGCTGTGACACCAGTGGAAAAACAGCAACATAAAGGCCTCAAAGGGATTCTAGAAACGAGCTCCAACACAACCAGTGCTTGAATGCTCTCGTTCATTGTGATTCAGTCCAATGTGAACACAAAAATCTGGTTTTGGCTAAAAAAAAAAAACAGTTGAAGTCAAACTGATTCGCCCTCCTGTGAATTATGTTTTCTTTTTAAAATAATGACGTTTAACAGAGCAAGGAAATTTTCACAGAATGTCTGATAATAGTTTTTTCTTCTGAAGAAAGTTTGGTAACACTTTATAATAACTACACACTATAAATCATTTATTAAGCATTAGCAAATAGTGAATTCATTATCTGTTAAGCATTAACTCTACAAGTGTTAGTAAGCAGTTTAAAACTGCAGCTACAAATGCTCCATTCTTGACTTATAAGCACCTATATAATGTGTTTAATCATTGTATTTTCATACTATGTTAATGATTTATTTTTCATTACTAAATTAAGTATCGAATTATTTACCAACTGTTTGTATTTAAGAGTAGTTGAGGGTTTTTAGGATCATTCAGAATGAGTTAGTAAATGATTAATAAACTATTGAAATCAACATTTATGTCTTATTATTCAGGCATATATTAATACTTAACTAATATGTTAATAAATGCTTTATTAACTTAACTTCATGCAGTTTTGTGACCTAATCTAAAGTGAGGACTATTCATGCTATATAAATGCCTTATAAATGACTATTAAAGGCTCAGTATCAAATGAACGATAATCTTTTCTAAAAAGTAAAATTACTGTAAAGTTTAAACATTGCAAAATAACAGGAGTGTCAAAATATGACATCCAACTGGATAAAACAACAACAACAATATAATAATTTAACATTATAATAAGATGTAAAGTTTAATCTCTACAGTGATTCTATTTTAGATCAGGTTGCAAAGATTTATTTTTCATTTGAAGTGCAGTTTCATTAGTGTATTAATTGTTTTCCACATTGCACTGTTTTCATAAAGTGTAGTCTTTAAATGAAGAGAAATGAATAATGTCTTTTTTTCCTGTTTAGAATTTAACTGAGCCTTTATTTGTCATGTATAAGGCATTAATAAAGCATGAATAGTCCTCACTTTAGATTAGGTCACAAAACTGCATGAAGTTGAGTTAATAAAGCATTTATTAACATACATAGTAACCATTAATATATGCCTGAATAATAAGACATATAAACGTTGATTTCAATAGTTTATTAATCATTTACTAACTCATTCTGAATGATCCTAAAAACCCTCAACTACTCTAAAATACAAACGGTTTGTAAATAATTCGATACTTAATTTAGTAATGAAAAATATATCATTAACTGAGTATGAAAATACAATCATTAAACACATTATATAGGTGCTTATAAGTCAAGAATGGAGCATTTGTAGCTGCAGTTATAAACTGCTTACTAACACTTATTAATGTAGAGTTAATGCTTAACAGATAATGAATTCACTATTTGCTAATGCTTAATAAATGATTTATATTGTGTAGTTATTATAAAGTGTTACCGAAAGTTTTATTTGTTTTGTTTTGGCTGGAATAAAATCAGCTTTTTAAGATTAAATAATTTAAGGTCAATATTATTAGTACCCTTTTTATTAGCAATATTTGTTTTCAATTGTCTACAGAACAAACCATCGTTATACAATGACTTGCCTAATTAAACTAGTTAAGCCTTTAAATGTCACTTTAAGCTGTATAAAAGTGTCTTGAAAAATATGTAATCAAATATTATGTGCTGTAATCATGGCAAAGATGAAATAAATCAGTTATTAGAGATGAATTATTAAAACTATTATATTTAGAAATGAGTTGGAAAAATCTTCTCTCCGTTAAACAAAAAATTGGGGAAAAGACATATACACGGGGGCTGATTTTTTTTTGTTAAATAGTTAAATTATAATAACTTTGACTTCAATTGGGTGTGTGTAAACATTTAGAAAAAGAAAAGAGACATGACCAATTAGCAATTCTGTGAATTTGGGATTTATATTTAAATTTTAATTTATTTTGCAAACAACTGATCACATTTGTTACAAATATAAAACAAAATTTTGTCATTTATAGCATTTTTTGTTGTTGCATAAAATAACAAAAAATATTATATTCATTTGCAGATGCAATACCAATGTTTTATCTCTCCAATACGAAGAACGAGAAGTAGCCCATTGTAAATTACATATATTAGCCAATCCTCATTTGAGATAACCATACCACTCAACACAAAATAAAACAAATCAGACTTTCTCCAGAAGAAAAAATATCATCAGAAATTCTGTGAAAATGTCCTTGCTCTGTTAAACATCATATGGAAAATACTTAAAAAAAGAAAAAAACTAATTAAAAGGGGGGCTAATAATTCTGACTTTAACTATATATATATATATATATATATATATATATATTTGACTGGGGAACTTTTAATAAGTAGTAAGTATTTGTTATTTAATATAATTTCTTTAGCATTGTCTATTATCCATCGCACTATATTGTTTTATATCAACCTTTCTGTGCATTTCATTAGATGGTAATACTATGGAAGTGTCATATATAACATGCAACTTTAAAAATAATATATACTTTTAACATTTTTAATTTTAAATGGGCAGAAATTTAAACATTAAATGTAATAACATGTATTTTTACTATCTTCACCATCACTTGATTTGAATAAATGGTCATAGTTGGGGTCACTTCTAGTACTATATATTTAAATGCCATTTTAAAAAAGATTGCGGAAAAGCTGATTTTATCTTCGCACATTTGTTTATCGTTAGAAAATGACAACTAGTGACATGCTCCCTATATTGTTTACTATGCTACTTTGAATATTCGGGCTGAAATCACATGTAAATACACCACCTGACAAAAGTCTTGTCGCCTATTCAAGTTTTAGGAACAACAAGTGATAACTTGCCTTCTAGTTTATCATTTGGTATCAGAAGTGGCTTAAATGAAAGACAAAGGCCTCTAGATTACACTTTTTTTTACCACAATAAAATATGATCATGCCTTAATTTTTATTGATTTCATTAGGACAGTAAGGTCTGACTTTGCTGTTTTGTCACTGAACAAAAATAATGTCCAGTATAGAATATAAAGTCCTGCTGCAGTGGAGACAGAATGAATATTGTGTCTGACTCCATCATGAGCTTGGAGGACTGCATCCATACATCTCTGCACTGACTCAAATCACTGATTAATAAAGTCTTCTGGAATGGCAAAGAAAGCATTCCTGCAGGACTCCCAGAGTTCATCAAGATTCTTTGGATTCATCTTCAATGCCTCCTCCATTATAAAGCAGACATGCTCAATAATGTTCACTCTGGTGACTGGGCTGGCCAATCCTTTCTCCTTCACCAAACTTGACTGATTTCTGTGAGAATCTTGGGTATATGAGGGTTCCAGTAGGTCTTCTGCAGTATTTGTGATGATTGGGATGCAGTTCAACAGATGATTCATCTAAAAAATCCACCTTCTGCCACTTTTCAAAATAAAAGTCAAGTTATTATTTGTTGCTCTTACAACTGTGATCGACGACAAGAGTTTTGGCAGGTAGTGTATGACTTTAAAACAACTTCAGCACTATTTTATTGATTATGAACAATGTTGTAGTGATAGTCAATGGCTGCTTATATGATTTCCATATTTTCATTTTATAAACAATTACTTTTCTGAAATTATATTATTAATAAGAAATAAATGTGCGAATACAAAAGCAACTTTACCTCAATTTAAAGAAGCCCTATTTTATGGTACTTTGACATGGTAGTGCTTTTTTTATACCACAGTACCATTATGATAGTTTTTATTCAGCACCATGGTAACTTAGACAAAGTACATGAGGTAAAGTTGGTTTATAATCACACATTCCCACAATATATGCTATCAGAAAAGTATTATTTGCAATTATAAGTTGTCAATGTTCAAAAATAAACGAGTGTGGAAATATAAAAACGACTTTACCTCAGTATTTCGAAGTAGGCCTATTTCATAATACCTTGAGAGGGTAATGATTTTTTTATCAGTACCATTATAATATTCAGCTTTTATGCAGTACTATGATTATACCATGGTAGACAAAGTAAGTCTCTCGCTTATGTATCAGTATAGGAGTGAAACTCACCGGCGCAGTAGTGAAAACCCTGCGGAGAATCAGACTGATCGGCGAGCTCGAGTCTGATCACAACCAGAGACACACTCATGTGTTCAGCGGTACACAAAAATATCACAACAAGCAGCACAACTCAACACAACACTGCTCCTGTAGACACAAAACAAAAATACGACCCTTGATATAGCTCTTATAGCAGAACTACATGCCATAAACGATTATTAAATGTATTATTGTTTATCTTTAGAAGGAAAAGAGCAGTGACGTCTGAGAATGAAAGATAAATAACTGCGCTGCTGCTTCCGCGACAAATAAGCATTTCAAAATAAAAGTCCTCATTGAATATTTATAAGAGACTTTCAAAAGCTGTTGTGTTGAGAAATGTCATGGCAGCATTGCGATAATAGAAATTAAACTTATTTTAATAGTAATTATATTTATTATGCTAATAAGACTACATATTTTATTCCAAATATGCCAGTGCACAGTAAGTAAGGAAATTAAAATTTGAAAACAATATGCTAAAATACAATTACATAAGGTGGAATCTAAATATTAAACATACATTGAAATGCAGCAACAGCAAATTGAAATTATTTACAGAATTTTTATTGCAAATAATTACAACTTGATTAGTTATTGAAGCAATTAGTTGTGATTATCTATGTATGAAGAGTTCAGATGCAAAAACCTCAAAACCTCAAACCTCAAAAATGAACATTTTTTCTCATCCTCCTTTGTTTATGTTGAGATATTTACTTTAAAAACCAAAAAAGGACTTATTCTTTGCCATGATATTACTTTGATATTACTGAACATACCAAAAAATTCATACAGGAAATTAATTAATTTGGCAAGTTATTGTATAACGATGGTTTGTTCTGTAGACCAGTGTAAAAAATTATCGCTTAAAGGAGCTAATAATATTGACCTTAAAATGGTTCTTATAAAAATTAAAAACTGCTTTTATTCAAGCCGAAATAAAACAAACAAGACTTTCTCAAGAAGAAAAAAATATTTTCAGACATACTGTGGAAATGTCCTTGCTCTGTTGAACATTATTTGGGAAATATATATATAAAAAAATCAAAGGGAGCTAATAATTCTGACTTCAACTGTATATGTGCAAAAACACAGTCTTTATTAGGAAGAACTCCTTATATAACACCATACTATTGTAATACTTCTTGGATTTAGAAATAAATAAATAAATATAAACTATAACATTGTTTGGATTATCTGAGTTTCTTCTATTGAACACAAAATAAGATATTTTGAAGAATGTTGAAAACCTGTAACCAAAGACTTCCATGGTATTTATTTTTCTACTATAGAAGTCAATGGTTACAGGTTTCCAGCATTCTTCAAAATATCTTCTTTTGTGTTCAACAGAAGAAAGAAACTCATAAAGATTTCACGCGAGGGTACATTTTATATAACGCAAACAATTATTAAATGTTTATTTTATTAAAGAAGAATGGAGGAAATCAATAAAAAGAATGGTTTAAATAAACCTGGTTTGTTTCAGCTGCACAATGACAAACCACAATGTTCTCCGAAATGAGTGTTAGTGAAAATTCTCAACAAATCTTCACTCTATCTAATCTCTGATGGTTGAGGGTGTAAAAATGTTTATTTTTAAGTCTGACAGAGCACTTTGTGTGTGTGTTTGTGTGTGTGTGTGTGTGTGTGTCTGTGACTCTAAACTGCAAAACTCCACCTAAACTGGAAACTCACATCAACCCTCACAACAGTTCATCATCACACAGAATCATTCAGTTATTTCACAACAAGAACATTAAACACAGTCAGTGTTGGACAAGTTACTTTAAAAGAGTAATTTATTCATTCATTTTCTTTTCGACTTAGTCCCTTTATTAATGAGAGGTCGCCACAGTGGAACGAACCGCCAACTTGTCCAGCATAAGTTTTACACAGCGGATGCCCTTTCAGCTGCAACCCATCTCTGGGAAACATCCACACACACTCATTTACACTCATACACTATGGACAATTAAGCCTACCTAATTCACCTGTATTACATGTCTTTGGACTGTGGGGGAAACCGGAGCACCCGGACATGCAAAGTACACACAGAAACACCAACTGACCCAGCCGGGGCTCGAACCAGTGACCTTCTTGCTGTGAGGCGACAGCACTACCTACTGCGCCACCGCATCACCCCAAGAGTAATTCATTACTCAAATTCCCAAAAGACAATATAATTTGAACTGCATCTACGGTTTTGATAGTCTGTTTTCCTTATCCCGAGCTCTCCATAATCCTGGACCAGGCCGTATCCTGAGCAGATGTTGTAGTGGTCATGGAAGAGCGGAGAGCATGAGACTGATTCCTGACTGATTCCCAGTGACAGATGAGTCTTCTCATTGATCCCTCTGGTGACCTACACACACCTGCAGCTTCTCCACGATGGACGTCCAATGCTCTCCAGCCTCTGGTGCCTAGACTGCAGCTATGCACAAGAAGCTTGGCCTGAGGAGAAATAGTCGTGCCCCACTGAGCCTGGTTTCTCTCAAGATTTTTTCCTTCACTTCTGTCAATTGGTGAAGTTTGTTTCTCGCCACTGGCTTGCATGGTTTGGGACTTGTAGAGCTGCGCATGGATGAATTTGCTCTTCAGTGTTTGGACTTTCAGCTGTGGAAATTAAACCACACTGAACTGAACTGAAAACTGGACTGACAGTTTCAGTTTAGAACTTCTTTGTAAAGCTGCTTTGACACAATCTACATGGTAAAAGCACTTTAGAAATAAAGATAAACTGAATTAAATAATTCATTAGTCTTCAAACGAGTATTTTATTACTAATTAATTCCCAAAAGACATTATAATTTGTATAGAAATAAAGATAAAGTGAATTGAATTAAATAATTCATTACATTTATGGGGCGACGCAGTGGCGCAGTAGGTAGTGCTGTCGCCTCACAGCAAGAAGGACGCTGGTTCCCAGAGATGGGTTACTGCTGGAAGGGCATCCGCTGCATAAAACATGTGCTGGATAAGTTGGCAGTTCATTCCGTTGTGGTGACCCCAGATTAATAAAGGGACTAAGCCAAAAAGAAAATGAATGAATGAATGAATGAATTAGATTTATGTTTTATTTACTTTTCTAATTACTATGTAAAAAAATAACTTAGTCACTCGATAAGTAATTTAATTACTTTACTCAATACTAAAAATCCACATAAATCTCAAAGAATGAACAATAGAAATGTTCTTTACATCTTTACATTATAGTTTTTTTGTTTAAAAAAATCTTAAGGTTTAATCAATATATGTGTATCAAAACACAAAAAGTTTCAAATTAATTTATTATTATCGACAGGCTAATTACAATTTCTTTAGTTAACAAATTAAGTCATTATGCAAAACATCTGATGAAAAGAATATATATATAGAAATTTACCGTAAAATAACGGCCATTAAATGTCAGACATTTACCGTAAAATAACGGCAATTTAATTACAGACATTTACCATAAAAAACAGCCATTAAATTACAGACATTTACCGTGAAATAATGGCCATTTAATTACAGACATTTACCGTAAAATAATGGCCATTAAATTACAGAAATTTACCGTAAAATAACGGCCATTAAATTGCAGACATTTACCATAAAATAACAGCCATTAAATTACAGACATTTACCGTAAAATAATGGGCATTAAATTACATTTACCATAAAATAATGGGCATTAAATTACAGAAATTTTATATAAAATAACGGCCGTTGAATTACAGACATTTACTGTAAAATAACATTCTTTAAATTACAGACATTTACCGTAAAATAACGGCCATTAAATTACAGACATTTACTGTTAAATAACGCTCATTAAATGTCTAAAATTGATCATAAAATAACAACCATTAAATTACAGAAATTTACAGTAAAATAACGGGCATTAAATTACAGAAACTTACTGTAAAAGTGGCCATTAAATAACAGCAATTTTTTTTCAATCTCTGTTATTTTACAGTATATTTCTGTAATTTAACCGTCATTATTTTACAGTTGTTTCTGGCATCCAAGCTGCTAGAAATAAACTAAAATTAGTTTTTTTAAGTGTAGTTAACTACACCCAACACTGCACACAGAACAAATCTACACATATTGAACATTTCGTTACAGTCATTCCTTTGCCACCAGCAATATTGCAAGATCTGTTCACCATGGTTTGCTTTTCTTCTCCAAATCGACTGACGTAATGCAATACAATAAACTCCAAACAAAACAGTGACTTCCATAATAGGACAAACAAATGCAAGTCAATGGTTACAGGTGTTGCACATTCTTCAAAATATCTTCTTTTGTGTTCAAATTCATTAAGGGAAATATAAATAACTTTAATTAAACAACCTAAAAATAAACAACAACCTTAAAAATAAACCCTTAGATGACTTTTTAGTGAATAATTTAATTACAGCAGCTAGTAACTTTGTAACTACACCCAACACTGCACACAGTACAAATCTACACATATTGAACATGTCATTCCTTTGCCACCAGCAATACTGCAAGATCTATTCAACATGATTTACTTTCCATCCCTGAATCGACTGACGTAACCCAATACACAATGAAGTGCAACAAACTATTTTTAAATGCACAAAGGTGCTTCAGAAGGCCTGAGCGCTGGAGGCGTGGCCTACAAAAGTGGGCGGAGTCATGGTATCATGTTAATGTTTGGCGGTGAGGAAGTCGCTTCCTCCGCTGCTCTCTCTCCTCATCAGTCAGCCATCTAGAGGGATCCAATGCTTCAAAACCACACGCCAGCTCTAATTCAAGGCTGTTTACTAAAGGTAAGCCAACTTCAATTGCATTAAACATTCTCTTAAGTTTTACATTCGTCTTCCTGTGCAGTTTTTTGCTCTTGCATCCGATAGATAGAGTTAGATAACCGCTGCAAGCTTAAGCAACTGTTACTTAACTTCCCTTCTTCATATGCGCTGCTGGGAGACTTGAAAAGTTGCAGTCTAGTCTTGATTTAGGAGCCTGCGAGGCACTTTTATTACCCTTGTTTTCCAAAAGGGGTGTGCGAACGGGATTTCCAGGAAGGAAACCATATCTTCTGTGTGGCAGTGGGGATTGTGAAGGAAAAGCAGAATGTGTGGAATGTTGAACTTTGCAGAAGCAAACGGTGTTTGAGTTATACCTTTAGAGGAGAGTTTCAATGTAGTTTTCTCATTTGAAGCAAATAGGCTTGACTTTTTTGGAGTAAAATTTAAACTATAAGTTAAACGAGACCTTTCAGTTTTTATTGAAGTAGTTGTACGCTCGTTCGTTCATTTTAACGGTCGCAATATTGTTTAACGTACCACGCTAATTTGAACATACGCTCTGAAGTCGTATTGAAAATGACAATATTAGATCATTATTAGCAAATAACACTTTTTATGAAACGATATTATTGAGGAGAAAGTCTGAAATTGCGAAAATAAAACCAAATTTTGATTGGTCAGATTTTATTAAAGTAAAGTTGGTTTTATATTCGCACGGTCGTTCATTTTAACGGTCGCAATATTGTTTAATGGACCACGCTAATTTGAATATTCACTCTTAAATTGCATTTAAATGTGACAAAATAAGAAACAATCAGTTTTTATTTATGTAAATTTTATTTTTGCTATTTCGTTCATTTTAACGGTCGCTTATTGTTAAACGTACCACGCTAACTTGAATATTCGCTTTGAAATCATATTTAAGTATGACAATATTTAATCTATTTAATTGACTGTTTACATTATTGAATTATAATGCAATAATTATTTAATAATTAATATTTAATTAATATTTAATAATTAATTTGTGACAAAATTAGCAACAATCAGTTTTTATTGAGATAAAGTTGATTTTATTTTTTCTCAATCGTTCATTTTAACGGTCAAAATAGTTTTTTGTACTACGCTAATTTGAATATTTGCACTGAAATCGGATTAAAATATGACAACATTAGCAAAAATCAGTTTTTATTGAGGTAAAGTTGGTTTTATATTAGCTCGTTCGTTCATTTTAACGGTTGCAATATTGTTTAAAGTACCACGCTAATTGAATATTTGCTTTCAAATCATATTTAAGTATGACAATATTAGATCTATTTAATTGACTGTTTACATTATTGAATTATAATGCAATAGTTATTAGCAAATAACACTTTTATGAAATTATATTATAGAGGAGAAAGTCTGAACATGCGAAAATAAAACCAAATTTACCTTAGTCAGTTTTTATTGAAGTTGGTTTTATATTCGCATGATCGTTCATTTTAACGGTCGCAATATTGTTTAATGTGCAATGCTAAATTGAATGTTCGCTCTGATAACGTATTTAAATATGACAACATTAGCTCTATTTAATTGACTGTAAACATTGTATTATAATGCAATAGTTATTAGCAAATAATACTTTTCTGAAATTATATTATTGAGGAGAATGTCTGAACGTTGCGAAAATAAAACCAAATTTACCCCGGTCAGTTTTTGTTGAGGTAAAGTTGGTTTTATATTTGCACATTCTGACTTTTTAATATATAATTAAAAAAAAAAATGTCTTCGGAAATTCTAATGGGTTTTAAATTCCTGGAGGGCCGCAACTTAACCCTGCACATTTTTGCTTCAACCCTAATTAAACACAGCTGATCCAACTAATCAAGGTATTCAAGACTACTGGAGACTATTAGGCAGGTGTGATTTGGAGGTGGTTGGAGCTAAAATCTGCAGAGCTGTGGCCCTCCAGTAATTGAGTTTTAGACCATTGTTCTAAATAGTAAAATCACATTAGCAGCTGATGACTATCAAAGTTGTTCACAGTTAATTAAATAGTATTAACGTTGTTTTGAAGTCACACTTACATGCAATATTCTAAGTAGCGTGTCAAATTGTCACTGAACGAAAGTGCGAATATAAAACCAACTTTACCCCAATTCGGTTGTTGTCATTCGATACTTTTGATGGTCAGACAATGTACGTATGGGTTTTACTGAAACTGAGCTCTTTTGTTTTGTGCTGCAGATGAAACTTGTTTGAACGGAGTCTCGTTTGCATGTGTATAGCCGTATCGCTGAAGATGCTAGCATCTTACAGGCGAGGTCATGCAGATTGAGATAGTGAATGATGTTGCCACACTCATTCTTGCTGTATTGTGGCGAATGCATATGCAAATTATTAGAAAGATAAACACGAGGCTGAGTTTATTACTGTACGCATGCCGTTTACAACAATGAGTCATCATTTACTGAAGAGTTAGTCAGGGTCATTCAGAGAAAACTCAACAGGACATGAAGAGTTCGATTCATACACAAGATTCACAAGTGTTTTCTGTTTGTTTGCAGTTGTGAATTGCATTATGGGATGTTGATCTCTGCTCTGTTGACTTTTAAGGTTGAAAATTCAACTCTAAAATTGAACAAAGTGACTTTTATCGACATTTTTAGTAGTTTGAAATAATATAATGTAAATAAATAAGTCTGTAAAATAACAGAAAATATACTGGCAGTTTATTTGGGCCCACTTTTAAGATATAAAATTACTATAAGTGAAACCGTCGTACACTCTAAAGTGCACAACTAGTCTACAATAATGCTTAGTTTAAACATTTAAATCAGTAGTGTAATAATTTTTTATTAATTGTGAACAGCGTGTGGGTTTCCTCCGGGTGCTCCGGTTTCCCCCACAAATCCAAAGACATGTGGTACAGGTGAATTGGGTAGGCTAAATTGTCCACAGTGTATGTGTGTGAATGAGTGTGTATGGATGTTACCCAGTGATGGGTTGCAGCTGAAAGGTCATCCGCTGCGTAAAACATATGCTGGATAAGTTGGTTTGTTCCGCTGTGACGACCTCTCTTTAATAAAGGGACGAAAAGATGAAAGAAGAACAGAGGTACAAATAAACTCAATAATTGAATTTAATTGAACACACATGACCAACAATTCCACTTCTTACCAACAAATCCAGGTGGTGCCAAGACTTGAACCTGCAACTATTGGAAAATAAAAAGTTATTAGTGTACTTTTGGTTAACATGTGGTTTTCTAGTGTTATCAAGTAGGGATGCACAATATATAATTTCAGCATCGATATCTCAATGTGCGCATCCGCAATAGTCACATTGCAAGATAAGCAATGTTGAGTCTGAATTATAGTCGGCCAGGAGCTACAGAATTGTATTTAATCACTGTACTTATAAAGTATTTATATGATTTTATGCAACAAAAAATGTTTTTTACTTATAATTTTAGACTCGTTTCTAGTCCAAATATCTACATTTTAAAGCAAAAATAAAATTATTTATTACTAACCCCACCGGCAGATTATTTAGCTGGTTTCAAGGTAAAACTCTTAATTTTGACTTATTTCTGATGACGGTAAAAACAAAACAATATTTTTACTTGCTCTAAGAATTTTTACTATATTTGTACTAGAACAATTATTTATTAATTAATTTAATTATTATTGAATTTCTGTACCCGAATACTGTTAGACTCTGAAGACAAAGTGTGCAATTGTCAGTAGCCAATTTGGAATAAGCTGAAGTTATTATTCAGCGTATTTGTGCTTTTAACACTTAATAAACTACAATTTAATATAACGTCCTGAACTTTCACAGGCACATACACAAACAAATAATGACAAAGTCAAGACAACAAATATTTTTATGTTTCTTTAACTTATTTTATTAAGTTAATCAGGTTTCAGCTATTATTTTATTAAGTTTTACAAAGTTTAACTTAATATTTTCAGTTCGATTTATGTAAGTTTTAGATGACAAGAAAAGTTATTTTGATTCAACTATAAAAATTAAGGTGGCAAGAATGTTTTTACAGTGTACGAAAAGTATACCAAGATCATTTTAACACATACAACTACAACAAATAAAAGTTAATGATTTACTATCATTTAAATACAATATTTATAAATATACCTAGCACCAATTTACTTCTCCCTCAATACCATTAGTTAGCTAATCATTATTGCATTTGAAGTTGGCCTACACCGACAATTAGTCAGGCTGCAAGACTACTTGTTGTGGCCTTAAGTCTGGTTTTTACGTCGCACAAGTGATCGGCGTGACCCATGGCGCATGCCTTATGAGTAGCCGTGCATTTATACTTCTGCGTGCTGCGTTTGTGTTGCTCTGCAATAAGACTTCCCAAACACTAGCGGGCAGTTGGATTTTATTTTCCTCTGTGTCGAGTTTCTTCATGGTTGTTTTGTTTTTCTGAACGCTACCTTAATGCAGCTAAAACTTGCTCATTCAGAGGTGGGAACTAACGGACATGCAACAACTTTAAACAAAACACAAAAAAAAGTTTCAATCTGGAGCTCCTTCACAGGACTCAACACTTGTAAACACTCGCTTCAACGGGCTCGCGGCTCTCAGCACCGCCCACACTCATCCCAGCTACCAGGCTGACCAATCGCAGAGCTTTCGCTACGAATCGTTGCGACGTGTAGTTACTTTTTTTGAGAGGCGAGGGTGAGGGCTATGCGACAGCGTGAAGGCTGCACCGGACCGTGCACTTGACGCAGAAGTATAAATCAGCCTTTAATGGTCAGTGAGTTGGTCTTGTAACCTAAAGGTTGTTGGTTCGATTCCCATTTCCAGCAGGAATTAAAGATGGGGGGAGTTACAATAACTTGCCAAAGTGCCCTCGAGCAAGGCACCAAAACACTAATTGCTCCCTTGGTGGTGTTTGTTTGTGTGTGTGTGTGTGTGTGTGTGTGCTTCCACTCCTCACTCAAACGTGTGTGTGCGCGCACTCGGATGGGTTAAAAACAAGAGGACCCACTCACTTCACATTTCACAATACTAGTGTGCATCCTCAGACAAAACAGTGACACTGATGAATTGTAAGATCTGTCACCGCGAGTCATTTAGCATGCAACTCAAGCATGCAGTTTAGTCTCAGACTAGCCTCAAGCATAGTCTCTGAAACCCGGGGAGTATGTAATAGTAAGTCAGGTATATTTCTGAGTAGAGCTCTTTCAGTTTGAAAGAAATATACTAATAGTACACTTCAGAGTGTGAGGGAAGTACATTTTAGAGAAGTAGAATGAATGAATTATTATTCTTAGTTTTAAAGAAGTGTATTTATAGTAGATTTGAATTAACTTCTTTTTCACAATTGATGCTAAACATGACATAGGAAAAGCATGTCCAAATCCTACACATGTATTGTACTGTGCTTTTTTTTTTTGGCCATGTTTAGGCCTGCCCCAAACTCACTCAAACAACAGTCTCAGCTACTTGGGGAAAAAACAAAAAAATTGCATTTTTACTGTGGTTCTCCTATAGTAGAACAGAAATAAATCTTAAAACACATTTAATTATGCAAGACTACAATGACCTCCTTTTTATTATAGTAATTTTTGTCATCTACATTACAAAGCAGAAGCTGAGTGTATGATGCATGCTGTTTACAACATGAGTCAGCGTGCACTGAAGGGTTTGTCAGGGTCATTCAGGAGAGTAAACGTGCTCCCCTTGAGCAAAACATTCAAGAACACTTATAAAAGTACTGCTTTTATGCAGCAATGCTATAGTAGAAGCATTATAGTTTCCCTAAAAACCTGTCACAGGGTGTCTGCGGGGTCTTAAAAAGTATTAAAAGTTGATAAATCAATTGAGAAAATGAATGCGCTTAATAGGAATTAAAAAGTCTTAATTGTGTGTTTATGAGGTCTTAAATTTTGTTCAAGCGTTGTCCAAAGTGTTTCACTCCAAAAAAGCATAAATATATTTATTTTCTTCCTAATATTAACAACGATGTGCTCGATCCAGAGGGTGCATCTGGCCAAACTCCTTCGTCTGGGTGATGTGACGTAATTTGCGGCAAACGATGGAGGGTTATGTGACATTCTCCACATGTAGCGAAATCATAGAGCGAAACAAAATGGGAAAAGGTAAGTTTGCGTACTCCTGGTTGGAGAAAGACGAGTTTAAACAGTGGCTGAAGCCTGTCGCTGAAAACAAAATGCTATTTGACCCAATCATAACACAGTACACCTGAACAGAGCGCGAGAACAGAAGACCAAACGGAATGACAAATAGTCTGCATAAACAGGTATGATGAGTTCAGCACAGGAGGACTTGTCAACCACAAAAATTCAACATCTGTGGTGTGGGATTACTTTGGATACAGGAAGGCTGATGTATCACATAACCAGGTCATTTATAAGTCAGTCATATATTGCATCTAAAAGCCTGTGAAAAGAGCAAGTGTGCTTGCTTTAGCAATTTCAATGCGATTTGTGTTGACGCTTCTATGTCGTTCCTAGCCGACCATCAACCGCTTTCTCAGAGGATGTCAAACTAACAAAACATTGCTGCATCTCTGATACAAGTTTTATTGATAGAGAAGATTAAAAAGCACTGGGTGTTTGGGTGCTCTGTGTTTGTCTGAGGTGATTAGTCTATACAAAGTATGAAGCTGATCGGTCAGTTTTTGTTACTTGACTTGCGGTGCGGCATTCTGAAAAGTTGGCAGGCTTTCAACTAGGTGCATCTGGAATATGCAAGCATGTCGTTCCCTATATGCGTGCCTTAGTACATTTAAAAAATAGTAAACAGTTTAACTGTAGTGGAGTTGTAAAATAAGCCTATTTCCATAAAAGTGTTTCTTTAATCGCAGACCCTTGTTTATTCCCATGTGTTTACATATATTTCTATATTGCTTTCTACAGATGGGAGAGCAAGACCCCAGCGACCGCTTAAGAGGAGACCAACTAAAAGAGCCGAACCAAAATGGCAAAGGAAGTTTCTCTCAGTTCTCCTCAAGCGTACGTGCCATGGTGCGCATTCGCATGAAGTACCAGGCCATAAAAAAGCGGCGTATGGAGATTGCATCAGCGACACCCCAGATCTTCACATCTCCACGGTCCACCAGCCCGAAGGTTTTCACTTTCGATAACCTCCACGAGCCTGTCAACAGCAACCCAGCTTCCCCACGCAAGCGGAAGAAAAAGAGGAAGGGTCGGGTTTTGTATCCGACCAGCAGCTTGAGGGCCGTACCCACCAAAGAGAGCAGCCGTGCCAAAAACTGCCTGTACTTACTGTGCATCATTGTCTTTCTGCAGGTCTACAACGCCATCGAGAACTTGGACGACCACGTCCTCAAGTATGATCTTGAAGGGCTGGAAAAGACCCTTAAAAGGGAAGTATTTGGACAACAGGAAGTGGCAGAAGGCCTTCTGGGTCATTTACAGGATTATCTGTCAACCTATGTGCATAATAAACCTTTAGTGCTGTCGTTTCACGGACCTACGGGAGTCGGGAAAAGCCATGTTGGTCGATTATTAGCTCAGCATTTCCGCTCGGTTGTTGGCGAGGAGTTAGTGATGCAGTACTTTGTGCTCCACCATTGCCCAACAGACGATGATATCCCAGTTTGCACCAAATCTCTGGAATCTCACATCTCCGAAATGGTCTCCCAAGGAGAGGAAGAGGAGAAAATTCCTGTTTTTATCTTCGACGAAGTTGAACACATGCCCAGACAGCTAATGGACACCTTGCGAGAGCTAATTCAACCCCAAAACAGCAACAAATACTTAAACGCCATCTACATCCTCATCAGCAACCTAGGACACGAAGATATCACCAAATTCGTCCTCCACAACTCCAGCATTGCCATCTCGGGACGTTTGAGCTTGACTCAGGAGCTAACGCCTTGGTTGCGGAATTACCTTCAAGAGCATCACGGGCTGTTTTTGGATGCAGAGTACTTGCCGTTTATGCTTTTGGAGAAGAGTCATGTGATGGATTGTTTTATTGACGAGATGTCCAGGGAAGGATTTTACCCAGATCGATCTCACGTAGAAAGACTTGCGGAGGAACTGTCGTACTATATAGTTGGCGAACGGGAATTTTCACACACCGGATGCAGGCAGGTCGTGGCCAAAGTGAACCTTCTTTAAAACTAAAATCTGCCATGCAGATGGGCATCATGAAGAAAATGTTGTGGTTGGTGGCCATTTTGATTTCATTGTGCGTTCAACACTGTGTCATTGCTGGTAAATATTTGCAGGTGTGAAAGATGTCCGTAAAATAGCAGTTTTCCGTATTTTGTGATTCATGTTTTAATTTTTCTGTTTATTTATGCTTTCGAATTGCAGTATGCGTCCTGGAGCTTTCTTCTAACAACTTTTAACCTCGAAAAAGTTTGAAAAGGTGACTTTTATGGACATTTATAATAGTTGAAAGTGATATAATGTTTAGGTTGGTGTTGTGTATAACGCTACAAAAACCTTGTATTAAACTGCCAGTACATTTCCTGTTATTTTACATACTTGTTTCTCTATATGTTATTTCCTTTATGTTATATTAATTCAAACTACTACTAAAATGTCAATAAAAGTCACTTTGTTAAGCTGTTGAGTTGCATTTTCAACATCGAAAGTCCACAGAGTGGAGATCAAGGTTGGGGCGGTGTACGAAAATAGCTAGGTGACCAACAATCGTTTTCTTAGAGGACGACAAGTTAACAAAACATTGCTGCAGCTCTGATACAAGTTTTATTTATAGAGAAAATGAAAAAGCACTGCAGTGTTTGGGTGTTCTGTGTTTGTCTGGGGTAATTAGTCTACAGAAATAATCATTCCAAAGTATGAAGCTGATTGGTCAGTTCTTTTCACGTGACTCGCTCGAGGCATTTTGTAAAGCTGAGATGTTTTTCATCTGGGAGCGCCTGAAAGGCACAAGATATGCGCGCCTCCATTGGAAATTACAAACTTGTGTGTGGAATATATGTGATATGTGAATGGTCCCCGTCATTTGCGATCTCTAGCAGTTGATCTTCAAGTACAGACATGCTGGATACGCATTCGATTTGTTGACAAATAGGTTGTGGATCTATTATTTGGCTGTTTGTGGGTCCTTCACTGGGCCTTTATCCCTTAGCAAAGAAACTTTCCACAGATGTCTGTTTCTTACTCATTTTGCTAGCTTGGGGGTTACTTTTTTGGGCTCAAGTGACTGAAATGTAACCAAGAGAATATGGTCATTTATCAAAATAAAGACTCAGATAATAAATAAAATGAAAATAAGTAATGATTTCTTGTGCGGCTCAGTACCAATTGATCCACGGACCATATCCCGAGGTTTGAGGACCACTGATCTACATCACAAAGCAGAAGCTGAATGTTTGATGCCTGCTGTTTACAACATGAGTCAGCGTGTACTGAAGAGTTTGTCAGGGTCATTCAGGAGAGTAAATGTGCTCCCCTTGAGCAAAACATTCAAGATCACTTTCAAAAGTACTGCTTTTATGCAGCGATGCCATAGTTTTTGGTTTAATCACAAAATACGGAAACTGTTCATTACCAGATATTTTTTTAAGTGTATGTTTTTCGAGAAAGTTGTATACAGAACCGTCCAAAAGTTGAATGTTAGTAAGACATTAAAAATATTTTGGAAAGAAGTTTTATATGTTTACCAAGGATGGATTTATTTACATTTTTAAAAAGCAGTAAATAGCATAACTGCTATATTAAATGAAATTGATCCCTTTGATTTAAAGCTGAATTTTACTCTCGGCACGATCCTTCAGAAATCAATATTGCTTCAGCCTTTATTCAAAAACCTCTGTATCATTATAATCGGACCAAATGAATGCATCCTTTCTAAACACACTCATTTCTTTCAAAAAGAAAACTCTTACTGGCAGCTTTGGTACTGTATTGTTTCTCATTTACTGTGAAGAAGGCCCGAGCAACAAGCAAAACTCTAAATAACACAAAACAATACGACTGTTTTCACTTTTTATTAGAATTTTTCAGTTGCCACTGGAAAATGGGGTACAGAGACCAAGGTCTTCAGTTCTAAAATTAGTTTGACTATGTGTGTGTGTGTGTGTGTGTGTGTGTGTGTATATTTACACAGTCAAACCTGAAATTATTCACACCCCTGGAAAATTCAGACTAGACCTGCACAATTAATCGTTAAAAGATCGCAATCTCGATTCAACCCCTAGACGATCTTAATCCAGCATTTCTATGATTCTGCCAATCATATTTTCAAGTTCAGGAGAGAAGAAAAGGCGGCTGCACGAGTTTTTTGATTGTTTTACATGCGTTGCTGACTGACACCTCCAAATGATGTTGAATGAGTCACATACTGTATTTATAAGGTATAATTCACCTAAAAATGTCATTTTTGTCTTCAGTTAATGATGTTGTGCATGAAAATAAATGTTTACAATGTCAGTATAACTACTCTAGCCTATATATTGAAAATAATCTGATAATGGTAAATGTCTGATTTTACCAGAGAATAAAATTGTTCAATATGACAGATTGCAAGCATATCTCAAACATAATAATTCAACATCAGAATTATTATAAGTAGAATAGAATTATTTATAAAAACCAGTAGACCCACACATAATATTATTATCGATGTTTGTTTTTACCATACCTTTATTTTACATCTACAGAATCGTGAGAGAATTGTGATCTTTATTTTAAGCAAAAAAAAAAAAAATCGCAATTCTCATTTTAGCCAGAATCGTGCAGCTCTAATTCAGACATTTTCATCATCAAATCATCAAAAAATATTGTTCAAATGTAAATAAAAGCTGAGAAATATATATATATTTTTTTTACACACTGATGCCTCTTGTACCTGATCTTATTATCTTCTGAAAGAAGCCTGTGACATTTCCGGTCAAAAAAAACCTTAAAAAGTAAGTCAGAATTTGCCAGGGGTATAAATAATTTCGGGCTTCACTATACATACACAGGCCATTAAATTATTATAAAAAGAATGCACGCCTAGGGTTGTCACGATACGGGAAATCAATGCAAATCACTACCGAAATTTTAAAAACGTTTATTTCCCGCTAACATTTGAGCGTGTTCAGTGCTGGTTTGCCATTTTCTTCACATGCTCAACAGAAATGGATGTGATTGGCCGTGAAGGTCATCAGTTCTCTGAACTCACCACTGTTTACCGAGTGTAACCACGGATACAGGGAGACTGGACAAACCAGCTGATTGACGTGACTTTAAAACGCTCCAGTGTCCTTTTATCTGTGGTTACACTTAGTAAAGTGCGGTGAGTTCGGTGAATTGATGACCTTGACAGCCATTTCTGTTGAGCATGCGAGCACAATGGCAAATCAGCACTGTTTAAGAATATGCTCAACAGCGATGCTCAAATGTTTGTGGTTTTTAAAATTCCAGTACCGATTGGTATCTAATTCCAGTATTGTGACAAACCTATGCATGCCTAAGGTACTGATGTGTAGCTGAGTGTCCTTTACACCCTGGGTGTGCATTATTTTCTAATAATTCACCAGTCCAGACTGAGTCAGTGTTATTATACTACGGTTACTGCTACTAAAGACAGGGTTCAGATGGTGTGTTTTAAACATTTGTCAGGTTTTTGTCCTCAAAAAGCTCCTCTGTGTGGGACTAGTTTCATACGCATCTCATCCAAAGCCTCAAGTCTTGTTTTGATGTGATCTTTGACTGTTCAGGGATACCTTAGAATGTTTATCAGCCAATCAGAATCAAGCATTCTACAGCGCCGTAGTATGAATGTAGAAATATATATATTTACAAAAGCAGTCACTGGGGTGATGCCCTTAGGTACATGTTAGTACCTAAAGAATTCATGTTGATACCTTAAAGGGGAGCTATTATGCAAAAATCACTTTTATAAGGGGTTTAAACACAGTTGTGTGGCAGCAGTGTGTGAATGTAACCAGCCTCTAATGATACACATTTATTCGTTCTATGATTTTTTATAATCACGCTTCATAAAACAGTCTGCAGAAACAATTTGATTGACATTACCCCATTGTACATGTCATCAGAAGGGGAAAAGCCCCGCCCATTAGTGACCATCTCTCCCTCATTAGCATAAACAGCCCTGAGTGTGAAGCAGCCATCCACCATCAGAGTTTTAAATCTGCCACTATGCTGACACATAGGCGTTCATAGCTCCACCCTCTTTTGAAAAGAGCACAATCTCATTTGAATTTAAAGCGACAGTCACCAAAACGCCACAATTTGGATCAAAGCCTAAAAGGGTCAATTTCAAAGAGCTTTAAAACATTTTTGTGAAGTATTTTGAGCTGAAACTTCACATACACACTCCTGGGTCGTCCTCTAGGGACTTATTTTACATCTTGTAAAAAGGGGCCTAATAGATCTCCTTTAAAGTTATAGACCTTACTCTTCAATGTGGACGTGCACATGTTTTTTCTGATTGTTTAAGAACTTCCAATTCAGTTGCCTATGGGAGAAATGACTAGGGATAATAATAGGCAGAAAACATTTACAAGCAAGTGTTTGCATGACTATACAGACAAAGTAGAATAATATAATATGAGAACATCAGTTTGCAACATCTAGCAGCATAACAAGCTGATATTAACGTCTAAAAATGAATAGAATTGAATGAGACCGGAAGACTCGAGCCAAAAAGACCGCTGAGAATAAGGTGAATATACTAGTACCTAAAAGTTCCATATTAGGACCTAAAATGTACCTCAGTGACAGCTTTTGTACCTATACAGTTTTTGTGTGTGTGTGTATCCGAAAAGTATTGATAGCGCTTCACTTTTTCCACATTTGTTTATGTCACAGCCTTATTCCAACATGCATTAAATTCATTTATTTCCTCAACATTCTACACACAATCCCCCATAATGACAATGTGAAAAGAGTTTTTGAAATTGTTGCAAATTTATTAAAAATAAAAAAGCTGAAAAACCACATCTACATTAGTATTCTCAGCCTTTGCTCAATACTTTGTTGATGCACCTTTGGCAGCAATTACAGCCTCAAGTCTTTTTGAATATGATGCCACATGTTTGGCACACCTGTATTTGGGAATTTTTGCCCATTCCTCTTTGCAGTACCTCTCAAGCTCTATCAGGTTGGATGGGAGGTGATGGTGTTCAGCCATTTTCAGATCTCTCTTCAGAGATGTTCAATAGGATTTAGGCCTGGGCTCTGACTGGGCCACTCAAGAACATTTCACAGAGTTGTTGTGAAGCCATAGATATTTTGATGGTGTGCTTTGGGTCATTGTCCTGCTGGAAGAATGTACAGTACCTGAGCTCAATTTAGAGCTTCGCGCCAAAGGCTGTGAATACTGATGTACAGGTGATTTTTCAGCTTTTTTATTTTTAATAAATTTGCAAAAATTTCAAAAACTCTTTGTTCACATTGTCATTATGGGGGATTGTGTGTAGAATGTTGAGGAAATAAATGAATTTAATCCATTTTGGAATAAGCCTGTAACAAACAAATGTGGAAAACGTGAACGCTATGAATACTTTCCGAATGCAGTGTATATACAGTTGAAGTCAGAATTTTTAACCCCCCTTTAATTTAAAATTAAATTTTTCTTCTTTTTTTAAATATTTCCCAAATGATGTTTAACAGAGCATGGAAATGTTCACAGTATGTCTGATAATATTTTTTCTTCTGGAGAAAGTCTTATTTGTTTTATTTCGGCTAGAATAAAAGCAGTTTTTAATTTTTTAAACACCATTTTAAGGTCAAAATTATTAGCCCCTTTAAGCTATATTTTTTTTCTCGATAGTCAACAAAACAAACCATCATTATATATTACCTTACCCGATTACCCTAACCTGCCTAGTTATCCTAATTAACCCAATTAAGCCTTTAAATGTCACTTTAAGCTATATAGAAGTGTCTTAATTCTCATTAAAATATTATGTACTGTCATCATGGCAAAGATAAAATAAATCAGTTATTAGAGATGAGTTATTAAAACTATTATGATTAGAAATGTGTTGAAAAATCTGCTCTCCATTAAATTGAGGAGAAAAAAATAAACAGGGGGGCGAATAATTCAACTGTGTGTGTGTGTATATATAAATAAAGCACACATACAGCTGTGGGAATTGAAACACCTTGAAAATGGCCAGTATACAATTATATTAATATTTACCCAAAGCAGTTGGTATTTTATAAATACAATTGCTCACAGCAGCACATTTGAAGTGGGTTTCTACTTGCGATTTCCTCCACAATACAGAGTTGCTCTCTAACCATCAATGAATGTAAAAGAAAGTGTTGCAAGCTCTAAAAATACACACGCGTCTGCTGTCTCTTCGGTTTCCTGTGAGCGCTCTCAATAGCCTAAAACCCAAGAAGTGCAACGTCACTCTAACAACCGTCCTGAGAAATAACCTCAGCTACCCTCGTGCAGTTTCTGACCTCCGCTGCGAAACATAAGTGCTTAGCATGCGCTGACATCACCAGAGAAACATTCCCCAATGCTTGCTAATCTACCGCTACTTGTGTATTTTGGTTTGCTGCAGGTGCTCTGTAAATATACGGCCTTCATTAAATAAATTAGGTGACCGGCAAATATTTCCCTTAGAAGGCCAGATCTTTCGGCGATTCACACACAGACTTGCGAAAACCGTCAACATGCTGCTAAGTGTTCGAGTCGTGGAGTGCTAGAGTGTGTGATGTAGTGCAGAAGGGCTGTGAGAGAGGAAGTGAGGACGCTTCTTCGGTTTTTACGCTTCCAACTCAAACCCCAGTCCAACCTTGTGTCCGCCGGTGTTGAAGTTTTTCCCATCAACGAGAGCCGAGAGAGTCAGTTTCACCCCTGGACAACGAGAAAGAGATTAGAAGTCGTTAAAAGACAGTGGGTAATGACTACAAGTGTACAGCGCATGCTATTTATGAACATCTTAATGCTATTTTGTTGAGAATTTGTTTCTTATGTGAGATGCAGTACACCAAGTTGAATGTTGTACACGGTAGCATTGTCTTGCCACTATGTTGCATGTTTAATTCGGTGGAATTAAATAAAAATGTGTGTTTGTAATCAGCTTTGATTGCATGTAATAATGTGTCAGCATCTAATCGAAAAAACATGGCTTAACTGGGTTAATTAAGCAAGTAAGGGTAATTAGGCAAGTCATTGTATAATGAGTTTTTTCTGTAGACAATCAAAACAAATATAGCTTAAAGGGGCTAATAATATTGACCCTAAAATTGTTTAAAAAAATTTAAACCTGTTTTTATTCTAGCCAAAATAAAACAAATCAGACTTTCTCCAGAAGAATAAATATAATAGGAAACACTGTGAAAATTTCCTGAATCTGTTAAACATCATTTTAAAAAGGAAAACAAATTTGTAATCATTTTGACTTCAACTGTATAATAATGTAAAATTAAAACAACATGTAACCCACTGCTCATATAGCACCCACATGCTCTGAGCTGGAAACGAACCGGCAACTCTCTGCATGCAAGTCGGTTGCCCTAACAAGGAGGCTAGAGATATTGGCCTCTGATGCCTGATATCGCTAGAGCACCTTTTGAAGTCAGAGGAGTGAGGTTTACCTGCATAGCACTTTGCTAGCTAGCCTCAGTTATACTTACCCCCCCTAAACTCACTTCCATCCCGGACGAGCCCCCATTGGTAAACCACCGGTCCTACTGCACCAATCCCATTCTGAGCTGGGATCGAACTGGCAACTCTTTGCATGGGAGTCGGTTGCTCTAACAAGGAGGCTAAAGAGCATAGCCCCCCTAAACTCACTCCCATCCCAGACGAGCCCCCATGTGTAAACCATCGGTCCTACAGCACCAATCCCCTTCTGAGCTAGGATCGAACTGGCAACTCTCTGCACTGGAGTCGGTTGCTCTAACAAGGAGGCTAAAGACATTGGCCTCTGATGCCTGTCGCTAGAACACGTTTTGAGGACAGAGGAGTGAGGTTTACCTGCATAGCACATCGCTAGCTGGCCTCTATTACACTTACCCCCCTAAACTCACTCACATCCCGGACGAGCCCCCATGTGTAACCAATCGGTCCTACTGTACCCATCCTGTTTTGAGCTGGGATCGAACTGGCACCTTTCTGCATGGGAGTCGGTTGCCCCAACAAGGAGGCTAAAGACATTGGCCTCTAACGTCTGTCACTAAAGCACCTTTTGAGGTCAGAGGAATGAGGTTTACCTGCATAGCACATCGCCAGCTGGCCTACGTTACACTGCACCCTCCTAAACTCTCTCACATCCCGGACGAGACCCCATGTGTAGCCCACTGGTCCTACTGCTCCCATCCTCTTTTGAGCTGGGATCGAACTGGCACCTCTCTGCATGGACGTTGGTTGCTCTAACAAGGAGGCTAAAGACATTGACCTCTAATGCCTGTCGCTAGAGCACCTTTTGAGGTCAGAGAAGTGAGGTTTACCTGCATAGCACATCGCCAGCTGGCCTTCGTTACACTCACCCCCCTAAACTCACTCCCATCCCGGACGAGCCCCCATGTGTAAAGCAATGGTCCTACTGCACCAATCCCTTTCTGAGGTGGGATGGATCGGGCGATTCTTAGCATGGGAGTCGGTTGCTCAAACAAGGAGGCTAAAGACCATGGCTTCTCTTTTTTTGTTTATGAAAATGGGCTCATTTTACAACTTCCCTGGATTAGATTATTAGCATCTTGCACAAAAATGAAAGATTTTCAGGCGCAATCATATTATGCAATGTGAGATGCTAATGGTCTAATCCGATTCAATGATTTATGCTAAGCTAAGCTCCATAGTGCTTCCGCCACGCTCAAAGATCGGTTGAATAAATTAAAAAGTTTGTAAAACTTAACAGTTTAATGGGGTATAAACGGAGGTCTGAGTTTTCACTGATTTATTTAACGTCTTGTACATGATGGAGTCTAACTCATTGTGTTTTATTAACATCTAAACCCACCACAAACCTCAACCCAGCCCCACAGTAACACTAACCCAAATGTCTACACTCACCACAACCCAAAATCCAACCTCACAGTAACCCTGTGTTTTATTAAAGGCTAACAAGCCTCCACATCAAAGTTCTGTTGGTGCTCCAGAATTGGCCAGCCCAGTCACAAGACATGAACATTATTGAGCATGTCTGGGGTAAGATGAAGGAGGAGGCGTTAAAGATGAATCCAAAGACTCTTGATGAACTCTGGGAGTCCTGCAGGAACACTTTCTTTGCCATTCCACATGACTTTATTAATCAGTGATTTGAGTCAGTGCAGAGATGTATGGATGCAGTCCTCCAAGCTCATGATGGAGTCAGACACAATATTCATTCTGTCTCCACTGCAGCAGGACTTTATATTCTATACTGGACATTATTTTTGTTCAGTGATGAGACTTTTGTCTAAGCAAAGTCAGACCTTACTGCCCTAATTAAATAATTAAAAAGTAAGGCATGATCATATTTTATTGTGGTAAAATAAGCCTAATCTGGAGGCCTTTACCTTTCATATAAACCACTTCTGACACCAAATGATCAACTAGTAGTCAAGTTATTATTTATTGTTCCTAAAACTTACATAGGTGACAAGACTTTTGTCAGGTATTGTTTATGAGTACGACAGGTTTTGTTTGTTTGTTTAAAAAAAAAGAAAGTTCAAAGTATTTGTACCGCATGTTTCATATCTAGCAGGTTCAAAAAATCTTAATAATGTGAAGAATTGTAACAGGATTACCTGGTCGAAGACTCTGAGTGTAACCAATTCCAATCAGACTCGCGTTGTTCACTTTAGCCTGTTGTGTAGGAATAACGAAGAACAGAAACGGTTAGAAGCTTCTCATTAGTACTTGCAGGTGGATTATTAAAAGCAGATTTTTGCCTGAAACAATATGCAAATATGCAACACTGCACCACAAAATCAGCCGTTTTATTGAGTTTTATTTAAAACAATTTAAAAAGCTAAATAAATATGCTTTCCATTTACACTCACCGGCCACTTTATTAGGTACACCTGTATACCTAATATAAAGTAATACGCTTTTTACTACCCTGGTTTTGAGGCTGTGACGGAGAACGTGCAGATATTAGGGCGGCCCGCTCTGATGGCTTGGAAGTAAACACAATGTTGATTTGATAACATTTCTGCATATTAACTAGCCCAGAAAATCCCAAAACATACAGTTGAAGTCAGAATTTTTAGCCCCCGTTTATTTTTTACCCAATTTCTGTTTACCGAAGAACAGATTTTTTTCAACACATTTCTGATCATAATAGTTTTAATAACTGGTTTATTTGATCTTTGCCATGATGACAGTGAATAATATTAGACTAAATATTTATCAAGACACTTCTATACAGCTTAAAGTGACATTTAAAGACTTAACTGGGTTAATTAGGCAGGTTAGGGTAATTAGGCAAGTTTTTTATAATGATGGTTTGTTCTGTAGACTTTCAAAAAATATATAGCTAAAGGGGCTAATAATTTTCACCAAAAAATGGTGTTTAAAAAATTAAAAACTGCTTTTATTCAAGCCATAATAAAACAAATAAGACTTTCTCCAGAAGAAAAAATATTATCAGACATACTGTGAAAATTTCTTTGCTCTTTGAGTCTTTCATCTCCTTAAAACTAAAGAAGATGTTTAGAAAAATGCGGATTCCTCATCAAGATGGCACCGCAGATGGCCGCCTCGGTGTGGAGCTTTCTTCTCCATTCACATTTGTACACAGCTCCTTAAAACCTGTATATTTATAACAAATCTCTACATATAACTCAACATCCAGATTTCTGGACTAACTGCATCTCTGTTTAATGTTTATCGTCTTTTTTCATATTTATTTTGTGTTGCCACTTCACACTTTAAGCTTCTTTTTAGCCAAAACAAATTCCTTGTGTGTGTGAAGCACACTTGGCAATAAAATTTGTAAGTCGCTTTGGATAAAAGCGTCTGCTAAATGACTAAATGTAAAACTGATTCTGATTTGTTCTTCCTACTCTCAAAGTCAACAGTTAGAGGTTTTCAGCTTTCTTTGAAATATCTTCTTTAGTGGTAAACAGAATAAAGAAACTTATAACGGGTTTGAACCACTTGAGGGAGCGTAATTGAGTCAATTTTTGGGTGAACTATCCCCATTACAGCCTCAAGCAACAGTTTACGCTTTATCTAAGTTCCCTTTAATATTCAAATGATTTTTTGCATGAAAAAAAAAATCAATAAATTTGACCCTATTGCCGTAAGTATATCCATGCAACATAAGGTTTTGTTGTCCAGGGTCATGCATACATGAACGCAGATGCTTCTGATTACACAAACCTTGATTGCAGGTTTTGCTGCCTGAATGCAATTCATAACGTAACACTCGTGCACTCTCAAATGTTGCACACTGTAACCACAAGCTTGCAATGCATTGGCCAAGAATGTGCGTTTGTGGCTGTAAAGTTTATGGCCTAATCAAACCCAAATGAAACGAATAATAACATGACGGTCCCTATCATACGCATGCGTTTTTGTTAGTTTCTGCCTGGCGTTGGTATCATTTTCACGTCTTGCATTTGCTTAAAAAGCAAATGCATTTGCGCCCATGGGCATGCTGGTCTGAAAAGGAGGTGTGTTAGACTGTGCCACTGACCAATTAAAAGCTTCGCTAAAGTCAACGGCGCAGTTTTTATTTGTTATTAAAAGAGTGTGTTAGAAATGCCAACTGAACCAGCGACCTTCTTGCTGTGAGGCGACTGTGCTACTGCGCTATTTGTCTTCATGTGTAAATATGTATTTGAAGAGAGATTAACTTACAGACAGCGAGGCATCTTTATCTAGCTGGTACTTCGCAGCAACTCCGAACCGTGTGTTGTTGCTGCCGGCGGTCCAGGCTAAAGTGACGGCCGTCTCCAGCTGATCGCTGACCTTCTGATACACAGATCCACCAAACTCTGCACCATCATTACTGAGGACACACAACACAGTTCATTTAACCTATCTACGGCTATTAGGTTTTGGTTGAATGAAGATAAAATCGTTAAAAGTGTAGATGGACGGATGGATGGATGGATACTGTAGAAAGATGGATAGATGGATGGATAGATAGACAGATAGACAGACAGACGGACGGACGGACGGACGGACGGACGGACGGACGGACGGACGGACGGACGGACGGACGGACGGACGGACGGACGGACGGACGGACGGACGGACGGACAGACAGACAGACAGACAGATAGATAGATAGATAGATAGATTTATAGATAGATAGATAGATAGATAGATAGATAGATAGATAGATAGATAGATAGATAGATAGATAGATCTACATGATGGCTAATAAGTGTGTGTTCAACTGTGTATGTGTGTTTACTCTTCAAATGAATACACACTTAGCCTTAAATATATATATTCAGACATGATTTATGCTAAGGATAATTTCTTAAGCACTTTCTTTAACTAGTTGGATTTGTGAGTCGCTTACACATTAGTGTGAAGCTGGAAGTCTCCAGTCTTGTATCCCAGAGCGAAGTTGTTTTGCACCAGTTTGGACTTGGCTGTGTCAAACGCCACCAAGTATCCCAAGAGCCAGCCTTCGTATCCCAACACAGCTGCAGAATGAACGACCGGACCCTCGAAATCAAGGTCACAGCTCACGTTGACGAACTCCCGCTTGTAGCTGGTCTTCAGTTTACCGCTCTTCTTGCTAAAGAGAGATTAACACTGTCAATTAAGAACAACCTAAATCATCACACCAGACGCAACCAATGCAAACAACTCACCCGGTGTTTGGTACAAAAGATGTGTCCAGGGCCACTTTGAGCCCCTCTGCAAGCTGAGGAGACAACATCAGACATCATACGTCTGCAAATAACAAATATGTGACCCTGGACCACAAAACCTGCCCCTACACTAGCCTGCTCTCTGATTCCCACCTGTTAGCCGCCTGCCCCGACATTAGCCTGCCTTTTCTTACTCTGCATCTGCTGCTTTCTTCAAATAAAACTGCAAATGGATCCTCAGTCTCCAGAGTCTTCATCACAAGAACATTTTGCAAACAAAAAATTAATTATAGAGCAAAAAATTAATAAATAAATGCATATATCCAAATAGCACAAAGCAAAATTAAATTTGAGAAATACAAAAAAAAGAACTGCAAATAAAAATCTAACAAAAATATTTGCAATAAAAAAAAGATATATATTTGCACAACAGTTTCTATAGCATTGCCTTTACAAAACCCGTCCAGTCAATTGCAATGCTCTTTTTGATTGGCTTTATAGTCAACCGTAAGTTTGTAATGCTGTTTTCACTTTGCACTTCACGTTTCTGTGCGTTTCACTTTGTGGCCCTGATTTGACAAGGGGGCGAAGTCAAGGGAACTTGGGTGTTTATGGAAGGATTGGACCTGCCTCGATTTAAGCAACTTCATCACCTGGGCCCGGTTTTTCAAAAGTAATCCACTAGGATTTTGGATAACGGATTGGATCAAATCTTGAAAATGGGTTTTTCAAAAGAAAAAACGGATTACCTAATCGGATTAGATCACATAATCTAATCTTGGTTTTGATCGGGATCAAACCTTTAGTTTGGGGTTTTCAGACCTTTTTTGTAGGATTTGGATCACTTTGATCCAAAAAACATGGATTAAACTGATCCCATCAGAAGGGTGGATTCAACGTGGATTTCATGCCTAAAATGTAATGAAAACTTAAAAATGTATTAAATAATACTATTTTTGGATCTTACGAGATATACTATTTATTCATAAGGTTTTAATTTTATTTGTTCATCTGTCAGGCTATAGTGATTATAGGCTTTAACGTATTCAGCCTTTCAGTATAGGCCTACAGCAAAGTAGAAAGAGTTTGGCCTCATAAAATAATCCCCCAAATAGCTGTAAAATTTACCAAAAACAATAAAAAAATTTCTGTCACTAATTGATATATATATATATATTCATCACAATAGAAAATATTTTTCTTTTTAGAATATTTATTAGTGATGCATGCAATGATTACAGAATAACCAAAAATAAAAATAAAAATGCAAAGAATGGCAATGACTTTAGATTTCTCTTTCAACAATTGCAAAAAGAGACTGAAAGAGCAGAAGCACAGCTTCATCTGGCAGAGAACAACTGACTCTGACCAAACTGCAGCAAACCAAGGCCAGACTTGAGATTCGCCTCCTAAAGGCTTTGCTCAGAAAGCTGCTCTCTCCACATCAGATGAGGAAGTCTGAACTTATTGTGGAGTTTTTGACATTAAGTCTTTTTTTATTTACATCTATATTTGAAACTTATTATAAATATCCTCAATGTACAGTGTTTGTGTTGTAGGTCTCAGATGAGCGGACTGCTGGAAGAGGATGGGCTGGGCTTTTTCTTGTTTTTCTTATTTATTATTATTATTATTATTAATTTAATATTTATTAAATTTTCTTAGTTTTCATTAAAAAAAAAAAAGTAATATTGACCCCACGCTGGCTATTCTACTTGTCGCTCTTTACATATCTATAGTTCTACATTGTGATTTCCTATCCTGTTTGAGCACTGGTTATCCAGATTTAGTGATCCTGAAAAGTTCCTATCCAGATCAGATTGATCCAATCCAATGTTGCTTTGAAAAACTGGCTCAAAAAGTAAGCTGGATTACCTTTTAGAATACTTTTAGAATATTTATTAGCGATGCATGCTATGATTGCAGAATAACCAAAAAAAATGCAAAGAATGGCCATCGCTGATTTTTAAAATCACTTTCAACAATTGCAAAAAAGAAAAATTATTGTGATGTTTTTGATATTAAGTCTTTTTTTTTTTATTCAATACATCTATATTTGAAACTTGTTATAAATATCCTCACTGTTCAGTGTTTGTGTTGTAGGTCTCAGACTGCTGGAAGAGGATGGGGTGGGGGTTTTCTTGTTTTTAGCTTTTTTTTTTTCTTTTTTTTTAATGTGTGTGTTTTCATTTCAAATAAAAATAAAGCTAAATTGACCTCACACTGGCTATTCTACTTGTTGCTCTGTACATATCTATAGATCTACATTGTGATTTCCCTGTTTGAGCACTGGTTATCCAGATTTAGTGATCCTGAAAAGTTCCTATCCAGATCAGATTGATCCAATCCGATGTTGCTTTGAAAAACTGTCTCAAAAAGTAAGCTGGATTACCTGATCACAAATCGCAAGAACAGGATTACTAAATCCGAATTAGTTTTATTTGGAATAAACCTTTTGAAAAACCGGGCCTGGAAGACTCAATAACGTTTGGTTTTGTAAAGACAATGCTATTAAAAAAAAAAAAAAAAAATATATATATATATATATATATATATATATATATAGCTTTTTTTATTATTGCAAATATTTTAGCTGCAATGCTTGATTTTATTTGCAGTTCTTTTTTTTGTTTGCAAATTTCATTTTTATTTCTTGAAACTTAATTTTCCCTTTGCAGATCTTTATTTTTGTGAGCAAAATAAATTTTTAAATTGTGATTTTTGAAGATTTAATTATTTATTTTTTGCTGAACACTTTAGTTTTTGTTTGCAAAATTTTCTTTTATTTTGCAAGTATATTTGGCCCTCGATTGACTCCATAAATATTGTCATTTTCTAACAAAGCAAACATCGATGAAAAGCTTATTTATTCCGCTTCCAAACTGCTTTGTTCAGTTTATTCCAAAAAAGACATTTATAATCGGTTTTGTGGTTCAGGGTCACGTATGTTTGATAGTATTGTGCTTGACTGGCTGACCTGGTCTTCCACAGAGACTTCAGTCGTGAGCATGTTGTCCGTGTTCCACTTCTGGTTGAAACTCAAACCCAGATCCTTCAGCTTATACTTGGTCTCCAAACTCCCGGCGGCTTTTCCCGTGTCCGTGTTGGTTGATCCAGATGTGTTAAACTCCTGTGGTTTTAAAAAGAAAACAACGACAACTAAGCATGCATCTGTGACCACATCAGTATCTGCTATACTAGTTATATACAGTTAGGACTTACAATGAACAAATAAAAAAATAAGAAAATAATAAATAATGTGTCAAAGTCCAAATAAAGTCCAAATAAACATGGTGCAAATCCTCAGTAAAAAAATAGATATAAATATTTACTATACTATAAATAGTTACATAACGAAACTAGATTCAATATGGAACATCCTTAGGTTTTATGTGCCAGCATGGATATGGTTGTCTGTGGATATGGATTTGGATATGGATGTCTGCAATGCAGACAAACAGCTGCACCTTCATTAGCGTCTTTTGAAAACAGCAAGAGCAGCAGTTCGTCTTTGCTGTGTCACTGTTTTGTCATGTTTCTGTGCTGCTGTGCATGCACAAGTACTTAGTATGAGAATTATTTCATGCAAAACTTTTTTTTTTGCGTTTTATTTAGCCGCGCATAAATGTATGCCTATCTCTCATTCCGTGTTGTTCAAAAAGCTCATTGTTTGGTCCACAAACAAAAGCGAAACCTATTCGTATTGGTTGTGATATAGCGAGTTTGAACCAATCTGGGCATGGAGGAGGGACAATGCATCAATGTATCATGTCTGGTTTGTCCGGAGACACAGTGACGAGCGTTTCTTTGTCAAATCAGCGTGGTCAAATTTTGATGACGTAACCGCACTGATTCTGGAGCCTCTAAAAGTCCGAATGTTATGTGATACAGCACTGGAAAGCTGAGATTCTCTTCTTTATGCCAATCTTTGAATTGTATGAATCGGATCAGCGGATCAAAAGTTATTACACATTTAAGAGCAATACTTATTTTTAGCCGCGGGCGGCTGTCTCGGTCTTTAAGGGTTAAAACCGTTGATATGCAATTGTTCATGGTATGATAATCGTGCACGTTCAAATCGTGGTAGACCGTCATACCGGTATATTGTTACAACCCTAGTTGTATGTGTCACTCCCCGTGTTACAAAAACAATGAAAAGATAAAAATGTTACAAAAATGATTATTTTTCTACATAAATATAAACACCACTGCCTCCATGCCATCTTCACCTCGGGGGGCTTTATTCAGTTTATTCATGACAGTCTGTATTTGTATAATGTTGTTATTAAAAGCAGTATTATTTATTATATGCAGATTTATATTTGTTTGAGTAAAAACTAGTTTAGATTTGTCCACCTTTCAGGTTTTGGAGCGGTCTGCATTACCATATGGGGAATAAGAACAGGATGTGTGTTTAGATATAACTCAGTTTTTTGAGCACACTTCATTATTATTGTTCATTTATTCGTTGCTAGAAATTAGAACTGAATTTAGAAATAGTTTTAAAACAAATCTTTGTGCTTAAACTAAATGAAATATGTGGGCTAATGGATGTCTTCAGTTGAGTGCATACAACACCGCTTTCTTACTCCTTGTTCAAGCTCTTGTTCTCTCCAAACTGGATTACTGCAACTCTCTACTAGCCGGGCTTCCAGCTAACTCTATCAAGCCTCTTCAACTGCTCCAGAACGCAGCAGCACGAGTGGTCTTCAATGAACCTAAACGAGCACATGTCACTCCGCTGCTAGTCCGTTTGCACTGGCTGCCAGTTGCTGCTCGCATCAAATTCAAAGCTCTGATGTTTGCCTACAAAGTGACTTCTGGCCTTGCTCCTTCTTATCTGCACTCACTTCTGCAAATGTATGTGCCCTCCAGAAACTTGCGTTCTGTGAATGAACGTCGCCTCGTGGTTCCATCCCAAAGAGGGAAGAAATCACTTTCGCGAACGCTCACGCTCACGCTCAATCTGCCCAGTTGGTGGAATGAACTCCCTAACTGCATCAGAACAGCAGAGTCACTCGCTACTTTCAAGAAACGACTAAAAACTCAACTATTTAGTCTCCACTTCACTTCCTAATCTGCAATTGCCTCTTTGAATATCACACTAACTGTACAAAAAAATATATATATTACTAATACTACTAAAACTTCCCTTCTTAGACTTTACAGACCTGAAACTTGCCTATAGCACTTATTCATTGTTGCTCTTAGTTGTGTAAATTGCTTCCTTGTCCTCATTTGTAAGTCGCTTTGGATAAAAGCGTCTGCTAAATGACTAAATGTAAAAGTAAATGTACAATTATTGTGTGTAGAATGTTGAGGAAATAAATGAATTTCATCTATTTTGAAATAAGGCTGTAACATAAACAAAATGTGGAAAAGTGAAGCGCTATCAATACTTTCCTGATGCTCTGTATATAGTATATATTTTTAGGTTCCTGAAGTTAGTAGTTCAGTTATCTATCAAGGCAACATTTCTAATCTTCATTTCAGTTTTGTAAGTTTGCTTTTAACTCAAATTTAGCACGTTAAAAAGTGAATATTTGAGGTTTGGTTAACAACAAAAGTGTTAGTGTGTGCTAAAACTGTTTTTTCAGAAAGCCTATACTGGAAAATTCTCGAAAAAAAGTCTAAAAGATAACATTAGTTCTGTTTTGAATCTGCCATTATGCTGACACACAGGTATTTATAGCTCCGCCTCTCATTTGAATTTAAAGCGAAAAAAACGCCATAATTTGCATCAAAGCCTAAAAGGGGCATATTCATAGAGTTATAACACATTATTAGTGTGGTATTTGGAGCTGAAACTTCACACACACTCTGGGGACATCAGAGAGTTATTTTGCATCTTATTAAAAAGGGACATAATAGGTCCCCTTTAATGCTGAAACACAAGCATGTGAGCAGGTGGCTCATGACATTACTGAATGGCAGATGCTGAGCGATGGGATTAAATCAGGTCTTTTCTGAATGAAACACAGGCTGATGGGAAGTGACTCAGCATTCAGCTAGACTGACGTTGGTAATGTATTTAAATAAAAACTAATTTACGCATGAAATGAAAATAGTTGCCCACAGAAAACTGCCATCAAGATAAAGATCCAAGCAGTTCCGTCTGTATGGTAAATGATGTGTAATGGAGACCACAAGCATGTATGGGACTCTAGAGAAAAACTTTCTCTACACAAAAACGCTCTTACAAACGTCTTACCATCTAAAAACATTGCCCAAAATGAGCATCGAGAAAAACTTAAACGTTGTTATCATTTTTGAGCATGTCGCAGATATAATACTAGTCTTTTTGGGTGACCCATTTTGGTAACTCTTCACAATATATTAATTAACACACTAATATATGTGCAGCTTACAAATAAGATTTAGTACAGTATACACTCACCGGTCGCTTTATTAGGTACACCTTACTAGTAGCTCAAACCAGTCTGGCCATTCTCCTTTCACATCAACAAGGCATTTGCGCCCACAGAACTGCCGCTCACTGGATATTTTCTCTTCTTCAGACCATTCTCTGTAAACCCTTGAGATGTTTGTGCGTGAAAATCCGAGTAGATCAGCAGTTTCTGAAATACTCAGACCAGCCAGTCTGGAACCAACAACCATGCCACATTCAAAGTCACTTAAATCCCCTTTCTTCCCCATTCTGATGCTCAGTTTGAACTGCAGCAGATGTCTACATGCCTAAATGCATTGAGTTGCTGTCATGTGATTAGAGGATAAGAAAATTGTAAAAAGAAAATTGAAGGGTTGTCAATTTTGACTGTCTGTTGTATTATTTTATATTTTATATTTGTTATCATTTTTGTTTTGCTATTACTTTTATTATAATTTGTTTACATTATTTTCCTGAATGTTGATTTTGTGTTGTGAATTTTGTGGGGTATAAAAGATCAAAATAAAATAAAAGTCCATTGACCAAAAAAAAACCAAAAAAAAAAAAAAACAGAAACTACCAATACAGGTTTAGCCTTGGCTGAAAGTATCATCTGGCCATTTGTTAGACAAAAGACACAGCCGTGCCTGGAACTGACAATATGCATTACTTCGGAGACATGATACTGTATTTCACACATAGTCGTCAGGCCTGGTGTATCTAGCACTTATAATTTGCATTACTTTGGATAAACGATACTGTCTCTTACACATAGGCAGTCAGAGCTGATGTGCATAGAACTAATAATTATCCCTCAGAATGCATCTTTACAATGTAAAAACATCATTTATATAATTAAAGAAATTGTAATCTTTCAGGTGGTTATAAACTAATAATGTAAATATTATGAACGTAAACATTAGGTGAGCAGGTTACATTGTAACCCTTTGTCCTAATAACACTCTACATGACAAGTTTTGCAGTGATGAGCAATTTGGTTGTTTGCACCAGACAAAACACGACAGAAATGTAAATACAGCCATCTAGAAGCACAGAACAGAGCACTCACTGCACTCCAGCCAAATAGTAAGGTTTATAATGTAATCAACACATATTAAACCTCTTTAACATGATAAAATGTAGATGCTGAATCACAGATATGAGTTGGTTTGCACATATTCTAAAGTTCATTTTCAAATGGTTTATTTTATTTTCAAGATCTGATGTGAACCATCTGCTGCTGCTTTCAGTAGTATTGCAATAAATGTGATGTAAAATGGCATTAAAACTCACATTATTAGCATTTAACACTGAATAAAGCACATGAGGTGTACCTGAGGTGATCATTGCTTTTTCTGTTGTTGCAGGAAATAGAAGCTGTTTCTAAAATATAAATTCCAGATGTTGGTTAGGACAAAAACTATTTTTAATAAGGAAAAATAACCCTTTAATTGCGTGCGGTTGCTTTTATTTAGAACATGACTTAAATCAGCCTTTAGGCTTGACAGTCAGTCACACTGCTGTTGGTGTCGTCAATCTGGCAACCTGCACTTGTGTGTGTTTTGAACCAGCTGTGAAATACCTAGTTCAACCACTGGGTGTCAAACATTCATACTGCAAGTGATGTTATCTAATGCATGAACAAATGCATGAGTGTATGTGTAAGTAACATAAATTTTTTAAAAGATCTATCATTGTATGTCCAAAAAAAAATCAGGTTTTAGTTGTAATTTGACCCCCAAAGATGTTATTTTTTATTTTGTTTCTAACAATTTATCCGTGGAATTTATAATGAATCTTTTGATTTTATTTGGTAAATGTCATGTACATAAATGCAGATTAAATAACTCTAAACCTTATTTAAAGGTTGCTATTATAGATTTTCATTTGTATATAGAATCGCTCCAATATATTAATAGCAAAAAATGTAAAAATACAATTATAGTGGCAAAGGAGCTGAAGCTGATTGATTAGTAATCTTGCTGTCAATTGGATGAGTTAAAACATAATATCATTGTAAAGATCTCTATGTTGAATTGTCTTTTATTTAATGTAATTTATATTTTAGTCTATTTTATGTTATTAGTTACATTTGTATTTTTTGGATGTCATGTTTAAATTGTATATTTGCTGTTGTTCAATAAAAAAAATTGTGTATGTGTAAGTAAACAATTATGAACTAACTATGCTGTTAATGTAAAGAGGGGCATTAGAATAAGTTACATTAACCAAGATTATGTCATGCTTAACAGATGTGTTGTTCACTGTTAATTCATGTTAGTTAATGCATTAACTAATACACCCTAATTGTATAACGTTACCCGCGTTTTAGGTTAATCTTACAAGCTACATATTAAACAACTCACCACTCCATTTTGAGATTTAGTCTTGAGGTCCAGTTTAACAATGCCAAAACCTGCAAACAAAAACAAAGATGTACTGTAAATCACTATAGAACGTGGTTTATAAATCAATGTATTGTTCAAACGGTGAGATTTCTTACCGTAACCCTTGCTGAAAATGTCCTTGGCCGATTTTCCCAGGTCTGAATACGCAGGAGGAACAGCCATTATGACTGATGTATACACAAGAAGAGAAAACATCAGTGGATTAAACAAGATTAAAACAACATTATCACTATTTAAGTGACTGTAACATGTTATACTTTAATAGCCATTGGCTGATAATATGATTACCCAATGAAATGGCAAACAATACTTTTCTGATGATATGTTATTCACGAGAAAGTCAGAATGTGTGAAATTTAAACCAGCTTTACCTCAGTTTTGCAGGTTTTGGAAAGGTACAAGTGGAGGAAATTGAGGTAAAGTTGGTTTTATATTCCCACATTTGCTCAACTTGTGACACGCTCCCCCTACATTGTTTACCATGACACTTTGATTTTGAATATTTGGTCAGAAATCATATGCAAGTATGACTAAGGCAACATTAACATTGTTTAATTGACTGTGAACCAAGTTGCACTTTGATCGCCATTGGCTGATAATATTATTTGAAGTGGCGAACAATACTTTTCTAAAATTATATTAGTAACGAGAAAGTCTGAATGAGCGAATATAAACCAACTTTACATCAGTTTGGAAGGTTTTGGAAAGGTACAAGTGGAGGAAATTGAGGCAAAGTTGCTTTTATAGTCGCAAATTTGCTCAGTGACAACTTGTGACATGCTCTCTACATTGTTTACCATGACACTTTGAATATTTGGTCTGAAATCACATGCAAGTATGACTTTAAAACAACATTAGCACTATTTATATGACTGCAACATGTTATACTTTGATAGCAATCGGCTGATAATATGATTACCCTATGAATTGGTAAATAATACTTTTCTGAAATGATATTATTAATGAGAAAGTCCGAATGTGCGAATATAAAACAACTTTACCTCAGTTTTGCAGGTTTTGGAAAGGTATAAGTGGAGGAAATTGAGGTAAAGTTGGTTTTATATTCCCACATTTGCTCAGTGACAACTTGTGACACGCTCCCTATATGAGACCCCGCCTACTGACTTGTGTCTTCTGTAGTGGACATTGTGCTTTCATGAGTTTTCTTTTAATTTTTTAAACTACTCTGTCAAGTCCTGTTGTACTGTTCAGAGGACATCTTGGGCTTTCTAGTGATTTGTCATTGGATTATATATATATATATATATATATATATATATATACACACATATATATATATATACATACATACATATATATATATACATACATACATATATATATATACATACATACATATATATATATATACATACATACATATATATATATACATACATACATATATATATATACATACATACATATATATATATATATACATACATACATATATATATATATATATATATATATAAAAATATGTATATATATATATATATATATATATATATATTTTTTTTTTTTTTTTTTTTTCCCAAAATTATATTAAAATTATATTTTGTTTCAAAATATCCTCCTTTTTTAAATGTCCACTAGTGGACACCTGGACCATCCTAATGTAATTATTGACTGCATGTTGTAGGTGGCAGAACTGAAGCAGTGAAGATTCTTTATAAGATAGTTGAGGGAGACTCTGACAATCAGACAATTAGAGAATGACAATCAGTTTTAAATCACTTTTATGTTACATTTGTTTTGGATTAACATCACTTCTTTTTTTTCTTCTTTTTTTTAGTTCGGCTCTCTTTCAGACTAAACTGTTTCAGGAATTGCAATACAAAAGGAAAAAATGGCTTTTGTTTAGTTTTTTTTTACATTATTATTGGATTAATATCCCTTTACAGCCATATCCTGTGCAGTTTTGTTGTCTGAGTGACGGTCGTTTCGTACTAAAATGGTCCTTTGGTCCACTGCAATGGACATTCTGTAAAATTAAAAATAAAAGCAAAATGTAAAAACTTTAAATTGTAGAATTTTTTAACCCAAAGCATGTAGGAAATCACTGAAAAAAAGAAAAAAAAAGAAAAAAAAAAGATTTAGGTCTCAGGATATTGTTTACCATGATACTTTGAATATTGGGAAATCACATGTAAGTATGACTTTAAAACAACATTAGCACTATTTACTTGACTGTAAACCATGTTGTACTTTAATAGCCATTGGCTGTCTATTTAGAATACTTTTCTGAAAGTATATTATTAAGGAGAACTTCTGAATGTGTGAATATAAAACCAACTCTACCTAATGTGGAGGAAGAGTAAACGGTGACAGAACTTTTATTTTTGGGTGAACTATATCCCTTTAAAGCTACTGACAAGGAGGCTAGGAACAGAAAAACGTCTCTAAACACACCAGATATGCCTACTATTAATATTAGTAACAAATACTTGCATTACTGGCACTGTAGAGACAAACACGAAAACAGCCAAGCATGTTTATGCATCAGGGGGCGTGATCTAGAGCACGATAATCTAATCAAGCCTTTAAGACTTAATCATTTGTAGAAAGTCTAACACATTCCACAGACATATACTAAAACATCAAATTTAAGTACTGTTATTAGTATTTGACAGGACGTAACTACAATGCTGAGTTGATATGTGCATTATGGTGTTATGTAAAGGTGCTGCTGGTGTCTGTTTCTCATTAACTACCACCACATGCTGCTACAACACAACTAACCGGTCTAATAACTGAAGTTGCGATCTACTTAAAATCAGGAAAACACATTCATACCGAGGACGCTGTTGCGCAGGCAGACAAAACGATGAAGCGAAAAGAAAGCAGAAGGTTTTTGCTGTCCTGTGTTTCAGATTTGACACTTAACTGCTAACAGGACAAAGTGAAGGAGACTAACTGCGCATGCGCGTTTGTGTCAGCGGAGTGTTTTCTAAATAAAGGTCCTCAGTGTAAAAAATAAAATAAAGCTCAAATAAAGCTATTTGATTGTCAAATGGTGCTCACCGTGCTAAAGTTTGGTGTTTCAAACTTTAAAGCTTTATTTAATAAAATACTCTTCGCGTAAGCAAACGAAAGAAAGCAGCATTTATTGCATTTTACAGTTAAATTACAGGTCAACATCTTGTGACAAATACACACAGTTACCAGCAGATGTCATCATCTTCACACAATTCTACAAATAACTATTTCACTAGAAAAAAAAAAGAAAGAAAGAAAAAAAAAAAAAATATATATATATATATATATTTTTTTTTTTTTTTTTTTTTTTTTTTTTTTTTTACAGTTGTTATATATGTTGTTAATATACAGTTGTTACAGTTTGTTTATTAAAACGATGTGTATCTTGTGTGCTGGTGATCTAAAGTAATGTTCCTGTAGTATATGTATGATAAAAGGATTATGTAAACCAATGATCTTGCAGACCCAAGACTTCTTTAAGAAAATTAATGCAATATGCAGAGCCTTGAACACTAGAGAGTCTGTGTTAAAAGTAGTGACTGTTTAGAGTTTTGTCTAGAGTTTAAAAAATGACATCAGGATTCTGAAATTTGTGGCAATACAATTAAAAAAAAACTGTACATGTATATATTATTGTGCTGTGTCTTCAAATGTATATTTTTAGGGGGTCTCTGGAACAAGTATAAATAAATAAATTATAAAATCTCAAAAAATAAATAAAGATATGTTAACCGTTACAACAAAAATATCTCTTAATTTATATTGAATTAACATTATATATGATTCTTGTGTAAAAAAGAGAGATTTTATATGTGTGTGTGTGTGTGTTTGTCTTAGTGTGAATGTAGACGTGTGGGTGTGTGCGCCTTGGCTGCTTCTCTCCTAGTTCAGAATGCAGAATGTTATGATGTCATAATTAGAATTCCGCTCTGGCAGAACTGCAGTTCTAAATCTGACCTTCTGTTGGTGTTCGAGGAGTTAACAGTGATCCACAGCTTCTGTTCCTTTATCTTGAATTGATTTTCGGCCTTAAGTTTTTCATGATGGTGCTGTTTAGCAGAGCCCTTCAAAAGCTTTTTGCCTGTTTTACACCTTTCTTGCGTGTTAAGGAGACACAGCAGAGTGCTCCGCAAGAATTGGTGGTGGTTGAAAAACGTTCAGAAAACGAAGCCATCTACTGCACTGAGAACGACAAAAAGTGCAGGAAGAAACAGCGCAGAAGAAAGCTGAAGGAGCCAAAGCCTCTTATGGTGACAGTCAAACCTCTGCTGACTCCTGCCAAACCTTCCGTCCTGAGGCCCAATGACGGAGACCTACCTGAGCTTTCAGGCGTCTCTGGAGACTTTGCTCTTCCAGCCACTCACATCAACTCGCTGCCAGAGTCTCCAAAATCACGGCCTGTTCCTCCACGTCCTATTCCTGCAGCAGATGAGCTGTTCTCCCACCGCTGCTCCTCAGTTCGTCCTCCTACCAGACGAGCTGCTCCTCTCAGTCCAGTAAAGCCTCAGCTGTGCTCTGCATCTCCTCCAGACATCCTGCTCCTCAACATTGAGGATGAGGAGATCCAAGCCCGCAGCTTCCCTAAAAGTCTTCGACAATTGAGACGAACGATTGCTTGGAAGGAAAAGGAGGAAGATAAAGAGGTGCAATCATGGATGAGCAATGTGATGGAGCTCCATGGAAGCAAGGAGGACTTCAGTGAAGCTGGAGACTTTGAGTTTACCTCGCAGCTCTCTATGGTGTCTCCTGACGGTGCAGTTATTCGTCCTCCTACAAGGCGAGCAGCTCTTCGGAGTCTGTTTCCTGACGCTCATGATGATGCTGCTCTGCCTGGAGCATGTGCTTCACCATATCAGATGTTCTCCCGCTCCTCAGTTCGTCCTCCTACAAGACGAGGTGCTCTTCTGAGTGCGTTTCCTGACCCTCATGATGTTGCAGCTCTTCCCGGAGCATGTCCTTCATCATATGAGGATTTCTCCCGCTGCTCTTCCGTTCGTATATTCGGAATATTTGTCGAGTGAAGTGATGGAGCTCCACTCATACAAGGAGGACCTCAGTGAAGCTGGAGACTTTGCCGAACAAGAGTTAACCTCTCAGTTCTCCATGGCGTCTATTCAGCGCAAGAACGCAAAGTTCAGAGAGTCAAGTCCCCCCTGAACCCACTGCACAATCCTCTTGTAAATAAACATGTGCAAATGCTGAATGATCTCTGAGTCTTCCTGACTATTATAAAACATGGTGCATGCACAAATAGGTACATCATTTCTGTATTGATATCGCAATATGCAAAATATGTTTTGACCTATAGGCTCATTTTAAAAAACATAGCCCTGTAGACAATTTTTGGACTTGTGAGGTGGAGTGAAGTTGACCGTGACGACAGGGTTTGAGTCCGGCGAAGAACAGTTCGAAAAAGCAGGTAAGACAAAAGCCAAAATATAAAATAAACAAGTAAATAACAGGGTGAGAATGTGGTAAAATCTCACCATTGGTTGGGTTTAAGGAAGTGGGTGGGCAGGTCAATCAGTGCTTTTGAAAACATTATTGGTTGGATTTCGGCAGGGCTTAATTTGTGATCATAATCATGATTGTGACTTTATAACTCATAATACTGACTTTAAAACTCAGAATTGTAACTTTACTCAGAGTTCTGATTTTATAACTCGAAATACTTACTCTATAACTCATAATACTGACTTTATAACTAATAATACTGACTCTATAACTCATAATACTGACTTTATAACTCATAATACTGACTCTATAACTCATAATACTGACTTTATAACTAATAATACTGACTCTATAACTCATAATACTGACTATATAACTCATAATACTTACTCTATAACTCATAATACTGACTTTATAACTAATAATACTGACTCTATAACTCATAATACTGACTATATAACTCATAATACTGACTCTATAACTCATAATACTGACTTTATAACTAATAATACTGACTCTATAACTCATAATACTGACTATATAACTCATAATACTGACTCTGTAACTCATAATACTGACTCTATAACTACTGACTTTATAACTCATAATTATGACTTTATGACTTTGTAACTCATAATACTGACTCAATAACTCATAATACTGACTTTATAACTCATAATTCTGACTTTATAACTCATAATACTGACTCTGTTACTCATAATACAGACTTTATAACTCAGAATACTGACTATATAACTAATAATAATGACTTTATGACTTTATAACTCATAATACTGACTATATAACTCATAATAATGACTTTATGACTTTATAACTCATAATACTAACTCTATAACTCATAAAACTGACCTTATAACTCAGAATACTGACTATATAACTCATAATAATGACTTTATGACTTTATAACTCATAATACTAACTCTATAACTCATAAAACTGATCTTATAACTCAGAATACTGACTATATAACTCATAATTATGACTTTATGACTTTATAATTTAGAATACTGACTATATAACTAATAAAAATGACTTTATGACTTTATAACTCAAAATACTGACTATATAACTCATAATTATGACTTTATGACTTTATAACTCAGAATACTGACTATATAACTCATAATTATGACTTTATGACTTTATAACTCAGAATACTGACTCTATAACTCATAAAACTGACTTTATAACTCAGAATACTGACTTTATAACTCATAATACTGACTCTATAACTCATAAAACTAACTTTATAACTCAAAATACTGACTATATAACTCATAATAATGACTTTATGACTTTATAACTCAGAATACTGACTATATAACTAATAATAATGACTTTATGACTTTATAACTCAGAATACTGACTATATAACTCATAATTATGACTTTATGACTTTATAACTCAGAATACTGACTCTATAACTCATAAAACTGACTTTATAACTCAGAATACTGACTTTATAACTCTTAATACTGACTCTATAACTCATAAAACTAACTTTATAACTCAGAATACTGACTATATAACTCATAATAATGACTTTATGACTTTATAACTCATAATACTAACTCTATAACTCATAAAACTGACCTTATAACTCATAATACTGACTTTATAACTCATAATACTGACTTTATAACTCGAAATTGTGAATTTACAACTCAGAATTGCGACTTTATAATTCATAATTCTGACTTTATAACTCATAATACTGACCATATAACTCAAAAGTTTGACGTTAAAACTTGCAACTGTGACTTCTTTATAACTTATAATTCTGACTTTATAACTCAAAATGATGATGTTATAACTTGGAATTGTGAGTTTATAACTCAGAATTCTTACTATATAACTCATAATTCTGTAAAACTCATAACTCTGACTTTATTATAACTCAGAATTGTAACTTTAAAACTCATAAATCTGAATATAACTCAAAATGATATAATTACAGCTCAGAATTCAGTCTATACCTGATAATTGACTTCTAAACTGAGAGTTTGTATCACGCATTTTTAAGATGAAAAGTCGCAATAACATTTTGTTTTAATTGAGATGAACTACTTCGTTCCACCTTAAGAGAATGGCGCCCCTACTGAGAGTCTCTACAGCACATTCACAGTTCACACACCGAGCCCGCCTGCCCTGCTGACAGAGAGCAGGAAACTTTGAGCTGTCAAAACACCTCGCGAGCCCGTCACTTCACTTATGATCACCGTTTGCACAACTTACACCATTTCTGCTGCTGGTTTGTCCGCAGACCCCGTTTTAAAACAAGAAAAATGTCAGGTAGCCCAAAATTCGTGAGTCCTTTCCACAGACCGCACTGTTTATCCGCCGCTGCGCCCGCCGGACAAGCCAAACTCACACACCCTGGAAAAGCCATTTTAGCTGGTAAGTGTCTTTAATTTTTTGCTTGTGAAACATTGAAGAAACAAAGGTTTGTGTTAATGCTGTGGCTGACTCCAGAGCAGCAGTTTTTGCACTGTCAT